AACAGGACCAAAATTGATTTGATTTGAACCTGACATAATCTTAGGAACTGAACATTTGTCAGTAGTTTTTTGGAAGAGAGAATTTCACTTCTTTGTCTTCATAGTCGAGTCACCACAGCAAATGTAAATTATGGTGCTGCCTCATGTGTGACTGAAAGGAAAAGCAAATCTTCAGGTCAAAAACTCTACATGTTTTTACGATCAGTCATAACCAAAAGAACATAAAAAAGAAAGCATCTTCTGTTCATACTTTCAAAGTCAGGAAAGTGCACCAGTGTCAGGTAAGACCCTTTTTTGTCATCTTGTAAACTGTTTTCCTTTAAAGAGGAAACATGTGACACTCAGCGCTTTTTAAATGTTTAATGCTTGAATTTCCTCATTTGTCAAGACAAGACTAAGACAGGTCAGTGGAGGTTTTAAAGGTTTTGTTTTTGTCCAAACTGCTACAATATTATGTTATTGCTTGTCCTGAATGTTCCACAATTAAAAGGCATTTAACCATCTATGTTCATGGAGACAAGCAGATGACTCCACCAGACCATCAGCCTCCTCAGCCTCTCCTTCTCCTCACTCATCTGTCTAAGTCTCTACTGCTTGAATCTCTTTTTTTGTGGTATATTTGATATTTTTCGGGGTCCCTTGAATCATTGTGTTACTGTGTGGTCTTTTTGTTTTAGCTCTGCCTTTCACACAACTTTTAAATTGTGTTTTGTTTTATTTTGGGGGGATTTGTTCTTATTTTAGGCATATGAACTAAAGATATTTTTTTATTAAAGTGGTTTGTAATGTTATCACACAGTCTTATACAAACACATAGTTGGATATAGTTATTTGTGTCACTATTACTTGTGTTATGGGGGCAGGCCAATCACACACACAACGCCCTGATACAATTGACATTTTCTCATTTCACACCAGAAGAGGAAGTCTAATGTCTCAGTGAAGGACTGCATTAATATGTTCCTGGTGTATTTCTTGTTCACTTTCTACTCTGAACAAAGGCTTGAAGGGTAAGTCATTTTTTATTGATTAGAGTAACACACACTGAGGGCAGGTGGGGACTTGAAACCCACAGGTCACAGTTAAATACATCACATTTAAGGACAAGGAAAGGAAAATTCTGGTACAAAGGACAGAGACGTTAAAATAACTGAAAATGTATGATAAAAATGTATTATCTGGAAGACTACTAAAAATTAATTACACAAACTCAAGCTATAAATACAAAAAGGGTATTTATTACAATTGATACATAAAAAATTTAATTTTAGAATACAAAGCTAAACAAATGATTTTTTAAGCCTCTATTACTCATGGGAACCACCCAGGGCTGCTACCTTATACTTAACACATTTGCCACAGCAGACAGCACAGGAAATGAAATGTGCAAAACTAAACTGGTGAGCCAGTGCACTAAATCACCTGCAGAAGTGGTGGAATCTGACCATTGGGCCTGGTCCAACCACCAGTATGCACCCAGCCTCACTGGACATAAACAACACTTCATTGCACTGACTCAGTTGGTGCAAACTGCTGCTTTTTAAGTAAATAAACTATAAACCAATTATAACAAATGAAAAAAAAAAACTAGAAAAAATAGACAAGGTAAAAAAAAACAACAACAAAAGGAGCTACTTAAGTCAAACAAACAAGTAAATATGAAAACAAATTATTATAAAGCAAAACAAGAACTGTAGTAAAGCAAAATGTGCAATATACAAAATGTAAAACATTACACAAAAATAATTAGGCAATTTTTCATTTGTGGGGGAACCAGACTTTCTCCCTTAATGATACAGGAACTAGATTTTATTAGGATTGTATAGAAGGCAAATTGATGTATTCCTACCTTCACAGCAGAACAAATCACCTTTATTGACAACTGCAGTGACACCATCAGGTGCTCTGCAAACAAACAGGTCTTTTAAATGAACCATCTTTGTTTTACAGAGTAGAAAGGGACCTTACCCTACTGTAAACCAGATAGGAGCAGACAGCAACCTTGAAAAAGAGATTTTGATCTCAACAGGTTTTTCACCTATTTAAATAAAGGTTAATAAATAAGTAAATAATGTTCAAGATACTGACAACACTTGACATGAGGACACATGTACAGCTACTCAGCATTGCATCAGTGTTTTAACAAAGGTATTTTGTTATTTATGTGTTTACAAGAAAATGTGTTTTTTCCATTAGACAATGAGGATCCTTCCAATCAGCTGTCTCATTCTTCTTGTGACAGGTATGACACAATGATAGTCTGTGTGGTTGTCAGTGAGTGAAAGTAAATTATTTTTTTTTTTTTTTTCTTTAGCTGTTTTCTGTTACTCAAACCGTTATGCAGAAATAGAATCAACCTTCCTGAATGTCTTTGTGGGGACATGTGTGGAGATCAAGTGTAAAGTCACTAGAGAATTATTTTACCTGATGAAGATGCTCTGTGGTTCTGGATGAAGGATGGACAATGGGATGGAAGTAAAATTGATTACAGTGGCACCATTGTTTACAGTAACAAGCCCAGAGAACTCCCCATCAGTCCACAGTTTAGAGATCGAGTCACTTACACTGGATCTGCACGATTAGAGAATACAGCCTCATATAATAATCCATCATGCAGTGTTAGAATCTGTGATCTGACAGAACAGGACAGTGGAAAGTATTTTTTCAGATATATCTCTAAGGAGCGGGACTTTAAATGGAGTACATGGAATAATGCTGTCATTTCAGTCACAGGCAAGTACATCTACTGTCACTCTTTGATTTAGAATCATGGCTGATGATTGTGTTTGTAGAACTTAGAGAACTTTAATTATAGAATTTAGAATAAGAATAATGTCTTAACAAAATAATCAGTACTTAAAGTAAATTAGAACTTTTTTCTCTTCTCAGAAAACCCATGTGCAATCACGTTCAACAAACCAGCGCCTGTACAAGAGTCTCAAACCATCACTCTCACATGTTCTACTCCGAGATCATGTTATAAATACTTGGAAATTCAAACTGTTCCTCCATCTGGTTTAGAAACATCTCAGTCTTGGTCCAGTTATTCAGCTACTGCATCCTACACCGCCTCATGGAGGGACAATGACAAAGAGTTCACCTGTCAAACACAAGGAAACAAGGACCCTCAACTGATGAAGAAGATCACGATCTCAGTGGAGTGTAAGTTTATACTTGGACTGTTCCTTTAACATGTGCAGGTGACTAAAGACATATGAAATTTAGCACACTATATAATTGTGATATATCTACATTTATGTAGATTCTCCTCATGGAACACAGGTCCCCTAACTGTCTCCCCTATGCATTTGTGATTGCTGCAAATAAATAAACAAGACGCTAATATTATACAACTGTGACAAAGTGAGTGGGATGCTTCTACAGTACACATACAGTATATCAACAATTTTAACCAAATGATCCAAAAGAAAGCAGTGACAGCGCCTGTGGATACTGCCACACAACCAAACCCTAGGCCAATGTTGTTCTGTTTAATGTATTTATCTGGATTTTCATTGATTTTATGTTTATGAAAAAGTAATGAGGAAACTGTATTTGTTGCAGACAAACCAAAGAACACCAGCATTGAAATAGTTGGTCAGAGCAGAGAAGTAGCAGTGGGTCACTCTGTGACTCTCAAATGTAACAGTGATGCCAACCCTCCTCCTCACACATACGATTGGTTTAAAGGCAGTCAATATCTTCAGAGAACAACTGAAAACAGACTGGAGCTGAAGAAAGTGCAGAGAGCAGACGAGGGCTGCTACATCTGCAAAGCTGCCAACAAACACACGGACACGGCTACAGCACAGACCTGTGTATAAAAATGCTCTGAAAGTCACTCTGGGTCCTCACTCACTCTGGCTGTACTATAGTAATTTGTGACAGATAAGTGTAAGAAGTGCAGCTGATATATCTCTAACAGTAATCAGTGGTGTGTGTGTGATGAGTCTTAGGTGAGATGGGGAGGTTTATTTTCATTACTGGTGTGTGGAATTTTCATGCTTTTATTTCGTGTTTTTGATCTGCTGATTATTTGTGGAGATTTTTCACATCCTCACATCAGCACAGACATACAAACCCAAAGCATGTGATACTTTTTTGGCCAATGACCACAGCTGAAAGGTGAAAGGGAGACAGACAGAGGAGAGTTCGCCCAGAATTGACAACGTGCTGCTGCACATGGGCCACAAACCAGAACAGCGCATCATGACGCCAGATCAACACAGAGGGGCAGTGAGGAAGTCCTTGTGTGCAAGTGTTGTACACCTTTGAGTGGTGCTCCAGCTCGACAGCCTTTGGTTGCAGTAGGCTAACAGAAGTTGTGTAATCAGACACGTCAGTGGTGATGGTGGAGCCTGGGTACAGTGAGGATGGAGAGACCTGAGAGAAACAGAGAACAAAGATTCAAGAGATTTAAAGAAAGGCACCATGACACTGAACCAGTGCAGTGGTGAGAGTGAGGAGCTCTGTCTTGGCCTGGGACACAAACACAGATCATAAGGAGGATGATAGGAGTCTCTTTCCCCAAACTGCAAACTGCCCCCTCATTTTAACCCAGGCCCACCTAGTGTTTTAGTTCAGTCGCTCTCACTTCATTGATTTTATGAGTAATATTCCTAATTTGGCTATTATGTTTTTATTAATAAGCCCCAACCCATGCTACATGCACTAGAAACAAATATAGCTCATTATGAGATGTTTTTGTAATGGGTCTGTGTTAATGTACATTCTACGTACATTTAGACTTGCGTGTGTTTAACACAATTCACAATTATTAGGTATAAACTGGTTTCAAATGCCAGTAGGCCACTCTTTCAAGCATAAAACTCAGTTCAAACTACAGGCACCAGACTAATTTCTGAAGAATAGGCTGTTCAGATGAATTTAATCATTAATCCTAAATGATGTCTGTTAACACAAAGAGTCATGCCAGTATAAAAACATATAGAACTGCCTTAATTCTGTGTTAGTGTGTGACTATGGTGTTTCCTCCACAGCTCCTCCCACCAGTCTGACTCTGTCCATGGACTCAGAGGTGACAGAGGGACAGAATGTCTCCATCACATGTCGTGTGGACAGTTCTCCAGTGTCCACCCTGACCCTCAGCAGGACCTCACAGGGTTCTCCAGTGGAGCTGCTCAGAGACACTGAGCACAACTCTCTGATCTACTCTGTCACTGTGACCTCTGCCCATTCAGGAGAATACACCTGCTCCTCCCACAACAGTGTGGGCTCAGACAGCACCAAGAGGTCACTCACCGTCAAATGTGGGTCAAGTTGGGTTTTACATGTTTCACAATCAGGCCAGTCTGTATTTAGTCTAATGACTATTTAGAATGACATTTGAATACACTTACACGCTCTAAAAGATTCCAAAATGGAAGGAGACAGAACCTTAGTTGGCTTAATGATGGTGTAAGTTTTATTTGCATAGCATCACCAGCTTTCTGTAATCTTATGGAGGTGTCTAGGAATCTCCGTTGAAAAGAGTCTGTCTTCTATAGTCACTTACATTTCCATAAGTACAGTATTGTGTGTCTGCAGATGCTCCTCAGAAGGTGAGAGTCCAGGCTGATCCAGGTCTGATGGTCAAAGAGAACACAACACTGACGTTACACTGCAGCGCTCTGAGCCATCCTCCTGTGAGCTCAGTGACCTGGAGCAGGGGCCCCACGGGGCAGGAGTCCCTTGTGCACACGGGGCCCACCTTCAGTGTGAGCTCAGTCAGTGTGAACGACAGTGGCCTCTACAGCTGCACCGCCCACAACCAGGTCGGACAAGGAACGTCTCCACCAGCTGAAGTTCAAGTCATGTGTGAGTATGCTTAAACAGAAAACTTAGTCTGGCACTAATGTGTGTGTGAATTCCACACTTAGTAAAAGCGCCTTGTGCATGTTGAGTTGGTCCAAATCAGGCTGTGGTGCTGAGAGCAGAGGAGGAGCAGGGCCCTGATGGGAGCAGCTCAGTGACTCTGAGCTGCAACAGCCACAGCTTCCCCCCGGTCAACCTCTACACCTGGTACAGGAGGACGGAGGACGGAGAGCTCAAAGTGTCTGAGAACATCAACTACACTGTGCTGTCCACACAGCCCGGAGTCTACTACTGCACTGCCAAGAACCAGATCAGTGAGAGCACGTCTGAGCCAGTCAGCCTCTTTCTACAGGGTAAGGAGACACTATAACACAATAACAACAAAACAATTGGAGTGATGGATATTAAGATTTTATTTCATAAAATAACTAAATTAGCTGTGGAGCTGATGATGTGTTTCTTCTCTGCAGAAAGCTTTGTGAAGTACATTGGCCTGGCTCTGGTGCCCCTGCTGATCATCTTATGTGCTTTCATTGTTTACAGGTACCATGAGAGATTATACTGAATAATGTTATAGGATTGCACAACAGATGAAACTGAGTTTAAATCAAGTACAAATTACAAAACAAAATCAGGAATGACAGAATTTTATCTTAATATCAGATTCAAAGTGTCTCTGTGTTTTTTGTTTTTCAGGCTGAAAATAAAGAGGTCTGTTGAAGGGGTAAGAACCAACAAGCCCTGGTGGAGGAGTTGTTCAAAGGCTCTGGTAATATTTTCTATATCTAGATGTATGACACAGTACTTATTTTTTATTTGTCAAAAATATCTAAATGAATAATGCAGTTAGTTTGGCCTGTGTCTCTTAAAGTGATTGTTTTCAGGCTCTGGAGGAGTATAGGGCTGCAGTAACTCCTCAAATTAGACTGGACCCGAGTGCAAACATTTGAAAACAATTAATAACATTTTAACTGACCCTATATGAACAGGGACCATGCAGGTCACACAGCACAGTGTGATGGTTCAGTTCTTAGTATTTGTCAGCAGACGAGCTTTGCAGCGTTCTGGACGTGTTGTAAGCTGCAGCGTGCAGGGAGCTTTGATCTAACCCTAGATACAAAGATTGCAATAGTCAGGCGTGATGTTACATAGCATGCTCTTTTGAACTCTGCTCGTGGGAGGTAGGGCTTTACTTAGTGAGGAGCNAATCCTAAATGATGTCTGTTAACACAAAGAGTCATGCCAGTATAAAAAACATATAGAACTGCCTTAATTCTGTGTTAGTGTGTGACTATGGTGGTTCCTCCAAAGATCCTCCCACCAGTCTGACTCTGTCCATGAACTCAGAGGTGACAGAGGGACAGAATGTCTCCATCACATGTCGTGTGGACAGTTCTCCAGTGTCCACCCTGACCCTCAGCAGGACCTCACAGGGTTCTCCAGTGGAGCTGCTCAGAGACACTGAGCACAACTCTCTGATCTACTCTGTCACTGTGACCTCTGCCCATTCAGGAGAATACACCTGCTCCGCCCACAACAGTGTGGGCTCAGACAGCACCAAGAGGTCACTCACCGTCAAATGTGGGTAAAGTTGGGTTTTACATGTTTCACAATCAGGCCAGTCTGTATTTACTCTAACGACTATTTAGAATGACATTTGAATACACTTACATGCTCTAAAAGATGCCGAAATGGAAGGAGACAGAACCTTAGTTGGCTTAATGATGGTGTAAGTTTTATTTGCATAGCATCACCAGCTTTCTGTAATCTTATGGAGGTGTTCAGGAATCTCCGTTGAAAAGAGTCTGTCTTCTATAGTCTCTCTACATTTCCATAAGTACAGTATTGTGTGTCTGCAGATGCTCCTCAGAAGGTGAGAGTCCAGGCTGATCCAGGTCTGATGGTCAAAGAGAACACAACACTGACGTTACACTGCAGCGCTCTGAGCCATCCTCCTGTGAGCTCAGTGACCTGGAGCAGGGGCCCCACGGGGCAGGAGTCCCTTGTGCACACGGGGCCCACCTTCAGTGTGAGCTCAGTCAGTGTGAACGACAGTGGCCTCTACAGCTGCACCGCCCACAACCAGGTCGGACAAGGAACGTCTCCACCAGCTGAAGTTCAAGTCATGTGTGAGTATGCTTTAAACAGAAAACTTAGTCTGGCACTAATGTGTGTGTGAATTCCACACTTAGTAAAAGCGCCTTGTGCATGTTGAGTTGGTCCAAAGCAGGCTGTGGTGCTGAGAGCAGAGGAGGAGCAGGGCCCTGATGGGAGCAGCTCAGTGACTCTGAGCTGCAGCAGCCACAGCTTCCCCCCGGTCAACCTCTACACCTGGTACAGGAGGACGGAGGACGGAGAGCTCAAAGTGTCTGAGAACATCAACTACACTGTGCTGTCCACACAGCCCGGAGTCTACTACTGCACTGCCAAGAACCAGATCAGTGAGAGCACGTCTGAGCCAGTCAGCCTCTTTCTACAGGGTAAGGAGACACTATAACACAATAACAACAAAACAAGTGAAGATCAGGGTGTCCTGGAAATCCAAGCATCAAAAGTATTTATTCATGTATTTGGTTCAGAGATCTACACTGTTAAATGTGGAACACAGTTTCGAAATAGTATTCATATATTAATTACTCTTAAAAAAATAATAATAATAAGTGGGCTAATTTTACATTTGTCAAACTAAAATAAACACTAATTATGAAGTTCACATTATTTCTTGTCGCAACAACTCAACCCCAAATCTAATTTGGGGAAATAGAGTCTAAGTGTAAGTCACACAGGTAAGAATATCAAAGAGGGATAGAGCCAAGTTCCATCATTTACACAATCTTTATTTTTGTATTTTAAAACACAAGTTTAGCTACAGCAATTAATAAAAATAGGCAACACAGTAAAACAAAACAGTGGAGGAAACACCAAACATAGATCAGATGTGCAAAATGGGGAGACGAGAACAGACAAAAACAGCTGCAGCACAGGCGGTGTGCTCACGCCGCTGCAGGCCACCGCTGACACCTAAAAATTTAATTTTGGGAATTATAATCTGAGCCTGTAGTACAAGATTTTGGACTATAGAACACATACCGCAGTTGGAAGCACAAGTGCGCTACCCCAGGCTGAATTAAAGACAACTCTACGCAGAACTTCTGCTTCTAGACGTTGTCCGAACAACGTGAACTGGTACATCCTATAAACAGAACACAACTGAGTAGGTTGGTTGGCACAGGTAGCACTTTGTAGTAGGGCTTTGGTTACCTGTCCCCACGGTTTAGGGGACACAGCAGCGCACAGCAAAGCGCATAGAGCGAGGGACTCAGTGGGCTCACCCGTGGAACTAAGGAGAGACACCGGTAAGAATGTGAGCATGAATGAATGAATGGAGGATTATCGGGCGTGTATTACCTGTTGGAAGAGATGAAAGCGCACACTATGTGCTACAGTGGAGAATCAATACTTTTAAATAGCGTTTGGATAATGGTTTAGGATTGTTTTTATTTATGTATTTCATAAAATAACTAAATTAGCCGTGGAGCTGAGGAGCTGATGGTGTTTCTTTTTTGCAGAAAGCTTTGTGAAGTACATTGGCCTGGCTCTGGTGCCCCTGCTCATCATCTTATGTGCTTTCATTGTTTACAGGTACCATGAGAGATTATACTGAATAATGTTATAGGATTGCACAACAGATGAAAATGAGTTTACATCAAGTACAAATTACAAAACAAAATCAAAGTGGCAGAATTTTATCTTCTCTAATACCAGATTCTCTAATTGTGTTTTGTTTTTCAGACTCAAAATAAAGAGGTCTGCTGAAGAGGTAAGAACCAACAAGTGCAGGTGGAGGAGTTGTTCAAAGGTTCTGGTAATACTTTCTGTATCTAGATGTATGACACAGTACTTATTTTTATTTGTCAAAAATATCTAAATGAATAATGCAGTTAGTTTGGCCCTGTGTCTCTTAAAGTGATCAAATGTGTTTAAGTTTTCTTTAGTATTGAGTTGTCTGTGGTCACTACAATTTCACATTTTTTTCAGTAAGTGGCAAAAGTCTAGGGGTATTTTTAAGAGTGGTTTACACTATAGTCTAGGGAAGCAGATTTTTGCCTGGAAAAATAAAAAAATAAAAACCTCACAGGAAGTAATTACAAGTTTTAAAGTCATCATTATTTTATTTTATTTATCTATTTGTTTATTCAGTTTCCAGTGGGACAGTGGACATTAATCAACTGTTTTAAATTCTAGTCAAGTAAAGTACCTGAAATAGCTTGTTGTTGAGTTTAAAAGTCATAATTACAAGTTTTCAATTTTTCCATACAAGCATATGGACTGGTATGACCATTTTGCTGGAGAAGCCAGGAGGTCAGGACTTTCAGATGACATCCCAACATTATTTATAGGCCAATATTTTTTCTTAAGGATGAGGGAGAGCTAAAATAATTATTCTTAAAGTAATTTGTAAAGATATATTTGTGTTTATATACATTAAATAAGAGGGTCTGATCATTAATAAACATGATCAGGTCTGAGCACAGATTATACAGGCTATGGGTCCAACATATTTCTTTATGACTGTAGTGAACCAAACAGAAAGGTAAAGACAAGGTATAAAAATAAGTCCAATGTAATAAAGTCAAAAATAAATGTAATTTAACAAAGGCTCAAATTAGGTGAATCAGTAAACAAAAAAACGTCAGGCCCAACTGGGGTAACTTAAATCAAACTGAACAGAACAAAACCAACCCCACCAGACAAAGAACAGGAGTGTTACGAGGGCCAACTAAAACTGAACACAAGAGGGGAGGATTACACTAAATACTTAACTAAACTACTAACTTAATCAAAATAACAAGAAGGCAAATAAGTATAATACAGAAAATAATAAGTGAAAATAAAGTGACCTTAAACAAACTAGACAAACAAACTTGGTAAAACTAACTAAATATTGCTCCCCTCTTTGTTCGGCGTGGATGGTCTCTGCCAAGGGTCTTTCCTCTGGCCACTCAAACCAAAAAAAAAAAAAAAAAGAACAAGTGTAAGTAAATAATTCAGACTTATATTAACTAAAATGTGTGCACCCAAATTAGAATGTAAGTCTAAATAAAAGCATTAAATTAAACTATATGTGCTGTAATTAACTTAATGTAAATGAAATGAAATGAAATAATACTAACACTGTGGAGTGGTGGCAGAGGGATCCACCACAATAACTATCATGAAATCAATGGCAAACTTATCCCCCATGAGAGTATGACTTCATGTAGAATCTGAAAACCACCAACACAAACTTGATATAATGAAACAAGACTTAAAAGTTTTATTATCATCTTGTGTTCAGGGACGATGGCACAGCTCCAGAGGCTGCTCAGAGGATGTCCATGCAGAGACACCTGGAAGGAGAGATGTCCCACCACCTCAGCAGAGAGCAGACGTGATGTGAGTGAAAACAGATAAAGAGAATGCACAAACACAATGTCTGATAGTATTCACTCAGGGAAGATGCTGTTTACTTGTCTTTATGTGTTGACAGGAACAGTACATCCAGTGCCAATGCTCTTTACTCCACTGTGAACCTCCCCAAACATAAACAAGTATGTATTTAAGAACAGAGCAATAATGAGAAGGTCCCTTCACCAAGTAGTAGGGATGGGACAAGATCTTGTGAGATCAAATTACCACAAGATTGTGCACTCTGGAACAGTCTTCCTGAACATGTGAGACAGGCCTTTGATGTTGTTTTAAATCCAGGCTCAAAAATTTCTGTTTAACTGTGCATTATGACTGAAAGGTTTTCATTCCGCACTCTTCTCTCCAATTTATGTCTCTCTTTTTTAATTTTAATCTTCATGATTATTTATGTTTTGATTTGTTTTTATTATGATTTTAATGTATTTCTTATTCTGTAAAGCACTTTGAATTACTTTGTGTACGAATTGTGCTATACAAATAAACTTGCCTTGCCTTGACTTGCCACTCCAGTAACATGGATTCACGCAATTGTGAGTTCACAAACTCATGAGAATCCATCTTGGCATGATAGCAGGACACAACAGCTGGTGGGCGACCAATCACAGAGCAGCATTGAGGTTTGTGTGGAATTCAAAGAACTCAAACGGACCAAAACTAATTTTTTTTTTCATGTGAAAAAAGAAGCAGAAGGTGAGAGCTTTGTGCATCTGTGGATAGAAAAGATGTCTGTACTTTTGTCTCAACTGGATTTAACTAAAGTTTGAGTTTTTTGGCTTGGTCCACTGTTGTGACACTTTGACCAATCTGATTCAAGTAATCTCCTTGACACTGCATGTTTTCTGATCACTTTCAGCGAGAGCCATCCCACATTAATAATGGTATTTTTGTTAATGTATTTAGGACCCCCTCCCAGACGAGCTGCTACATCTCAAGGGGCTTCCTTTTTAAATAAAGAAATAAATAAATTGTAGAACTGAATTCAGAGTGACACACAGATGAATCTGTTTTGAGGCAGATTCTTTTACATTTGGACAAACATAAACCTTCACATTAAGGGTTAAATGCTGATGAGTTGCATTTTTTCAGAAGCTGTGCTCCAATGAACATTGGAAATAAAAATAAATCGTGTCTTGTCCCACCCCGACTAAGTAAAAGAACTGTCTATGTGTTGTGTGTAAGGCTTGGGGCTTGAGTTTGTCAAAAATCTACGAGTTTCAGTGTTTTTTTTTGGTTTTTGTTTGTTTTGTTTGTTTGTTTTTGTTTTTTTTGACGCCACAGTCTAATTCATGACTCAACTTTTTCACTATTTCACTTCTCAGAGCCGTCCTGGCACAAGTGATGAAAACATCGCCTCATTCTTCTACGCCTCAGTGCACTTTGACAAGAACCCATCGTAAGTTCCACACAGTAACATGAGTAAAAGTCCATTCAAACAGTCACATTACAATCTGTCTGTAGGACTCTGATCCCCAAAGAAAGAGAGGAAGTCGTCTACTCCACTGTAAAGAAGCATCATGAGGTAAACCAAGTGTCACCAATGCACTTTTTACACACATTTTGGTTAAAGCTGCACTATGTCACTTTTCTGGTGGAGCATCCACCACCTGATGTTTCCATGGAGAAGTTATTATCTTATCTACAATTTTCCACACTATGGTCAATGTATTAAACTTATCTACTTTCAGAGGCAGGTGGTACTTAACATTTACTTGAGTAACTTTCTAAAGAAGTACTGTTCTAGCAATATACTTTTACTCCTATTTGAGTAATATTTAACTTAAATAAAAGTTTTGGTTACCGTAAATTCTGGACTATAAACTGCTAATTTTTTCTCACACTTTGAACCTTGTGGCTAATAAAATGATGCTGCTAATATATGGACAGATTCTTTGTTTGGCACATTGTCCATTCATATATACAGTCTGTGGTTTGGCAACACAGCAGATACACGCAGCCTGAGTGCAGAAAACGCCGCAGTCTGTGCGGTTCACACATGGATCTATTGTTAACGTGAAGGTACAACACTAGCTAGCGATATTGTCAGTGCACTCAAATACTTTATCACCGTGTGATAAAATAAGTTATGATGCTAAATGAACATTAGTGAGGGGGATATCTCTTACCTGTATGCATAAATGATGAGAAGAAACATCTCAAACTTCAGTAGCTGGACATCCACTCATACCTGATCTCATACACACACTCCTCGTGGAAAACACACAAAGTGCAGATGATGCAGCTTTTAAGTTAATGACAATTAATGTGGCTGTGGAAGAAGGAAATCAAGCAGCTGCACGTGAGCTCAGCATCAATGAGTCAATGGTGAGATTTTGGCGACAGCAGCGTGACGAACTGACTCAATGCAAAAAGACAACAAAAGCTTTCAGAGGAGATGAAAGCAGATGCCCGAACTTGAAAACGTCCTTGAAGACGTGGACACCTGCAGCTTATATTCAGTTGTTGCCTATATATGTACAATTTTAAAATTTATTTGATGCAGCTTATATTCAGGTGCGCTCTATAGTCTGAAAAATACGGTACTCATCTCGACATTGAGAGGAGCAGCTGAGGTGGCTCAGGCATCTGTTACTGTGAGGGTGTCGCCTCTCCACAGATTTGACCTGTAACGTGGCCTGGTAGCATGACCAGCTTTGGGACAGAGCAGACAGATGTTAAATGCCATCCTGTGGAAAACAAATAATAAAAGCAATTACACTTCCATAAAAATAACTATAAAAGTTACATATTGCAGCTTTAAAGACAGTTTCAGAAACCTGTGTATTATTTTGTGTTACAGGAAGCAGGAGATGTCTATGAGAATGTTAGAAAAAAGGTGGATTGTTCAGCTGCAGCAGACAGCAGTGAGGATGAGGTGGATGTGAGTTACTCCAAGGTGAACTTGAGGAGTCGAGTGACGGCAGCGGAGGAGGAGTACTCAGAACTCAACTTCTAAACACACTTAGGATCTATTGACTCTGTGCACAGAAGTATGTTAGCTAGCTCACTGTGTCTCAAAACTAACAGTCACTAGAGTTAAATTATTTTACATGTTGTCAGTGACATCCACCCACAACTCTCTGTCCACTGCCTTATCTTTAAGTATTTATCCATTTTAGCACGACTCAGCAAAAACACATAGATATACAATTACATAGGAAGTAGTGAGTCTAACAGTGTGTTTGCCGGGCCTGTTGTGCACAGAGAATATTACAAGAAACTCATGAAATACTGTAAATGAAACCAGGAACACCTCACCCTTACACTGCCTACAGACGCCACATCTCAACCCATCTTCACCACAGCAGCAGAACCATCAGCCTCCTCAGTCTCTCCTTCTCCTCACTCATCTGTCTAAGTCTGTTGAAGTCTCTCCTGGTTGAATCATTGTGTTACTGTGTGGTCATTTTGTATTAGCTCTGCCTTTCACACAGCTTTTAAATTGTGTTTTGTTTTATTTTGGGGGGATTTATTCTTTTTGTATGCAAAGATATTTTCAATAAAGTGGTTTGTAACGTTATAGCAATATTTGGTTTAACAATAACTTTTGTATATAGTAATACACTTTATCACACAATCTGTATTAAACAAACACATAGTTATATATAGTTATTTGTGTCACTATTGCTTGTACATGTGATGTGTCTGGCTCTACACACAACACTCTTGTATAATTTAGCACATTTTTCTGCAACGTCATGTCACATTGAAAGAGGAAGTCTGTCTGAGTGGAGGACTACATTAATGTGTTGTTGGTGTATTTCTTGTTAACTATCTACTCTGAACAAAGGCTTCAAGGGTAAGTCATTTTTTATTGATGCTTAGTAACATAAAGTTTACATACTATTTTGAGTCCATATATTCAACACTTGTACTTTGCTGATACTAAATAAACACTTATATTAAAAATACATCAGTCAAATGAATAAACAATAAATCAGCTCATTAACTCTTTAATATGACCTTAACTTATCCATAGTTAAATGTATTATGTATTTTGCAGAAGTTAAAAAACTCTTGTAACCTCTTTGGCAATGATCTTAATTGTCAATGTGATTTGTTTTAATTTCTTACCATCTGCAGTATATAAAGACAGTTTGGTGCATTTACTGCTCAATGCTCAAAACCACTATATGACATATATATACTGTATGTATAATGTTCAACATACAACTACTTGACCCAGATAACTTCTCTCAATCAACTACTGTGGGACATGCAAAGAATATTGTTCTGATAAACCACATTTAATCTTAGGAATTTCTTATTTGAGGCAAAAACAACTGGCTCTACCACACATGATGCAAATGTGAAAGTACATCCAAACAACCAGTGTTTTCACAAAGGGATTGATTTTATTTTATTAGTGTCAGGATGTTTGTTTCTGGTGTAAGTGTCAAAGAGGACCATGAATCTGAAATGTAAGTCACAAGGGTTTATGGAGTCTGGAGCTGTATGTGTGTGCATCGTTAGCATTAGTACATCAAGATAAAAGTGTGACAATAAAGTGTGTTGCTAAAATGTGAATATTTTACATGAGCTTCACAAGAACATGTGTTGTATTTCCAGTGTTAATAGGAGGAAGGTTGGACGATGATGATCCTTCCAATCAGCTGTCTCATTCTTCTTGTGACAGGTATAACACAATGATGATAGTCTGTGTGGTTGTCAGTGAGTAAAAGTAAATTTTTTTTTTTTTTTTTTTTTTTTTTTTTTTTTCCATCAGCTGTTCCCTGTTACTCAGTCAGTTATAGAAAAATAGAAACAACTTCCCTGAATGTCTTTGTGGGGACATGTGTGGAGATCTTTCTAATGTTTATTGATTAAATTTATCTTTTCATGTCTTTATCTTTTCCTTCAGGTGTTCCATGTTACTTAGTCAATTATATAAAAGTAGAGACAACCCCACTGACTGCTGTTCAGGGGACATGTGTGGAGATCAGATGTAAAGTCACTGGAGTTTTACCTGATGAAGATGCTCTGTGGTTCTGGATGAAGGATGGAAAATGGGATGAAGGCAAACTCAGTGGCACCATTGTTTACAGTAACAAGCCCACAGAACAACACATCAGTCCACAGTTTAGAGATCGAGTCAATTACACTGGATCTGCACAATTAGCAAATAGAGCCTCATCCTCCAATAATCCATCATGCAGTGTTAAAATCTGTGATCTGACAGAACAGGACAGTGGAGAGTATTTTTTCAGATATATCTCTAAGGAGCGGGACTTTAAATGGAATACAAATAATGCTGTCATTACAGTCACAGGCAAGTACATCTACTGTCACTCTTTCATTTAGAATCATGGCTGATGATTGAATTTTTATGTAGAGTTTAGATTTATTTATTTATCGTCTTTTTGGTTAATGTCTTTATTATCTTTTATGAATAAATTATAATCACTAATAAAACGTCTTTCCCTTCTCAGAAAACCCATGTCCAATCACATTCAACAAACCAGCATCTGTAGAAGAGAATCAAACCATCACTCTCACATGTTCTACTCCGAGATCATGTTCTGAAAACTTGGAAATTCAAACTGTTCCTCCGTCTGGTTTAAGAACATCTCAGTATGGTTACAGTTATTCTGCTACTGCATCCTACAGAGCCTCATGGACGGACGACGGCAAAGAGTTCACCTGTCAAACACGAGGAAACAAGAACCCACAGCTGATGAAGAAGATCACGATCTCAGTGGAGTGTAAGTTTAGACTTGGACTGTTCCTTTAACATGTGCAGGCGACTAAAGACATATGAAATTAAAGACACTATATAATTGTGATATATCTACATTTATGTAGATTCTCCTCATGGAACACAGGCAGTAATGAGCTCCACTAGTGTTAAAGAGGGTCATTCTGTAACTTTGACTTGTTCGGCCAAAGGAAATCCGGCCCCAGTCTTTACCTGGTACAAGAACAACCAGAGGAGTTCCTCCTCTCACAGTGGAGCCATTTGGAAAATTGACTCAGCTCAGACTGAACACAGTGGAGAGTATGTTTGTACTGCTCAAAACAAACATGGGACAGAAAGATCCAACTCTGTCCACATAGATGTTCAGTGTAAGACACTTTTATAACAAAGTCATTATACACTAGAATTGGCTCATACACTTCCCTTTTGTTTCAGATGCACTGTTGTAGAGGTGAGAGTGTCTTCACCTCAAACCTCCATATAAACAAGACCAGACATTCCTAAATGGAATGAGACAGAAAATTTGTTAACATAATGATGATTTTATGGAGGAGTTCAGGAAAAGAGTCTGTCTTCTATAGTCACTCTACATTTCCATAAGTACAGTATTGTGTGTCTGCAGATGCTCCTCAGAAGGTGAGAGTCCAGGCTGATCCAGGTCTGATGGTCAAAGAGAACACAACACTGACGTTACACTGCAGCGCTCTGAGCCATCCTCCTGTGAGCTCAGTGACCTGGAGCAGGGGCCCCATGGGGCATGGAGTCCCTTGTGCACACGGGACCCACCTTCAGTGTGAGCTCAGTCAGTGTGAACGACAGTGGCCTCTACAGCTGCACCGCCCACAACCAGGTCGGACAAGGAACGTCTCCACCAGCTGAAGTTCAAGTCATGTGTGAGTATGTTTAAACAGAAAACTTAGTCTGGCACTAATGTGTGTGTGAATTCCACACTTAGTAAGAGCGCCTTGTGCATGTTGAGTTGGTCCAAATCAGGCTGTGGTGCTGAGAGCAGAGGAGGAGCAGGACCCTGATGGGAGCAGCTCAGTGACTCTGAGCTGCAGCAGCCACAGCTTCCCCCCGGTCAACCTCTACACCTGGTACAGGAGGACGGAGGACGGAGAGCTCAAAGTGTCTGAGAACATCAACTACACTGTGCTGTCCACACAGCCCGGAGTCTACTACTGCACTGCCAAGAACCAGATCAGTGAGAGCACGTCTGAGCCAGTCAGCCTCTTTCTACAGGGTAAGGAGACACTATAACACCTTCACCACATTCAAGTAGACAATAAAGTCAAGAACAATCTGAGAACTTTGGCTACAACTGAAATCCAAACATAAAAAAAGATCAGATTCACAGGGAAGAGCATGTACAACCATATTAATGACCCATTAATAAACCTAAAAGAGAAAACAATGTAGTGATGCATATTAAAACCACATTTTTGGTACAAATGTTCATGCTTGTCCTGTTTTGGTCCTGGTTTTATCCCAGTTTAGTCCTGATGTAGACCAGGTTTGTTTCTGGTTTAGCCCTGTTCTGGTCTAATTCCAGGTTTAGTCCCAGTTTAGTCCTAATTTTTCACAAGTTTTGTTCCTAACGGCTGCACTCTCTGAAGTTGCTTGGCTTGTTCGCTTAGCCTTAACAATTCCAGCCTGAATCATCTTCAGGTCGATGAAGCTCCTGTCTGTTTCAGTGTGTTTGTAATCTAACATTTATTTGTCCGACAGAAAGATACTTGAAGTTTATCTACCCTGCTTTTAAACTGGCAGTTATAGTGTTGGTTCCTGTTTTTATTTACAGGTATGTTGCCATTAAAGAACATAAAAATGAAAAATCTTCATCCTCTGTAACATGATTTCATGTTCATCTTTCAGACTGGTGAGAGACCTTAAAAACAAAGTCCAGGACTCAAGATGCTACTTCAAACCAGTGTCAGGTAAGTTGTTGCATTCATTAGATCCATCCTAAACTGTACCTTTCTGTTACATCCAATACCAACTGTAAACTGTTTTCCTCTGTATCTTAGGAAACTTCAGACTCGTATGAGAACATCAGCCTGGGACAAATGGAGACAAGTCCTCAGCGCTCGGACAGAAGTGAGTCAGAGGTGGAAATAGATGTTTGCAGGTCCCAGGTGAAGTTCAGGACCACAGAACTCAGACTGTCAGAGGAAGAGGAGGATCTGTAGACAAATAATACAAGCACTGTGGAAAAGTAAATACAATCAAAACCTGTTGAATACGACTGGACAAATGTTGGACTTGCATTTTTGTTACTTTTAGCTTTCTTGTTATCTTAAAGTGAGACTAAACACCTCATCTCCATAAACAACCACATTTGAACCAGAGCTGCTGAACTGGGCAGTACCTGGAGGACTAAAGAAAAGAGTGAGGCGGGAGGAGGGGCGGGGCCTGGAGGTATAAGGAGCAGTGTGATTGGTCTAACAGGATCCACAACACTTCACACTCCGCCCCTGCAGCCAGGTTTTTATCATCAGAAACCCCTCACTTTAATGAAGACATCCTGTGTGATGTCACCAAGTACTTACATTTGTAGTGTGCACTGAAGGGAGCATACACACATTTTTGAACACAAAGCTGTAAAAATATGTAATTAAAATAGTCAGAAAATGTCTAGGAACAGCGGATAATGATTTTAAAACAACATGCATACAGTTTAGTTGCAAAAGTTGATTTAGTGTTTAGTTCCACTTTAAGAATTGTGCTTTAAAGCTGTTTATTTTTTATTTTTTATACCAGTAGATGGCAGATGTGACCTGTTTATTTTGTGTTTTTTCAATTACTGTACATTAAACTGACTTGTAAAGGCATTGACAATATTTTTTGTAAATCACTGGACACCAGCAGAGCCAACAGGACCAACAATTGATTTGATTTGAACCTGACATAAACTTAGGAACTGAACATTTGTCAGTAGTTTTTTGGAGGAGAAATTTCACTTCTTTGTCTATAGTCGGTCACCACAGCAAATGTAAATATGGTGCTGCCTCATGTGACTGAAAGGAAAAGCAAAACAAAAATTCTACATGTTTTTTGATCAATAACCAAAGCTGGACTGATACTTTCACAGAAGTGCACCAGTAAAGACCCTTTTTTCACTTGTGCTTTAAAGAGAAACTGTGATGCTATTTTTAAATGTTTCATGCTTGAATTTCCTCATTTGTCCAGACAAGATAAGACAGGTGAGTAGTAAGTGTTTTTTTGTCCCAACTGCTACAATATTATGTTATTGCTTGTGCTGGAATGTTCCACAGTAAGGCATTTAACCATCTATGTTCATGAAGACAAGCAGATGACTCCACCAGACCATCAGCCTCCTCAGCCTCTCCTTCTCCTCACTCATCTGTCTAAGTCTGTTGAAGTCTCTCCTGGTTGAATCTCTGGGGTCCCTTGAATCATTGTGTTACTGTGTGGTCATTTTGTATTAGCTCTGCCTTTCACACAGCTTTTAAATTGTGTTTTGTTTTATTTTGGGGGATTTGTTCTTATTGTATGCAGATGAACTAAAGATATTTTCATTAAAGTGGTTTGTAATGTTATGGCGATCTTTAGTTTAACAACAACTTTTGTATATAGTAATACACTTTATCACACAATCTGTATTAAACAAACACATAGTTATATATAGTTATTTGTGTCACTATTGCTTGTACATGTTGATATGTCTGGCTCTGTAAACAACACCCTTGTACAATTTAGCACATTTTTCTGCAACTTCATGTCACATTGAAAGAGGAAGTCTGTCTGAGTGGAGGACTACATTAATGTGCTGTTGGTTTATTTCTTGTTAACTTTCCACTCTGGCTTCAAGGGTAAGTCATTGTTTATTGATTAGAGTAACACAAAGTTTGCATACTATTTTGAGTCCATATATTAAACACCGGTACTTTGCTGATACTAAATAAACACTTTTCTTAAAATAGCTCAGCTCAGATCTTCATCAACTCTTAACTTATCCGTAGTTAAATGTATTACGTATTTTGCAAAAAACTCTTGTAACCTTTTTGGCAATGATCTTAATTGTCAATGTGAGTTGTTTTACTTTCTTACCACCTGCAGTATATAAAACAGTTTGGTGCATTTACTGCTCAATGTTCAAAACCACTATATGACATATATATACTGTATGTATAATGTTCAACATACAACTACTTGACCCAGATAACTTCTCTCAATCAACTACTGTGGGACATGCAAAGAATATTGTTCTGATAAACCACATTTAATCTTAGGAATTTCTTATTTGAGGCAAAAACAACTGGCACTACCAGACATGATGCAAATGTGAAAGTACATCCAAACAACCAGTGTTTTCACAAAGGGATTGATTTTATTTATTAGTGTCAGGATGTTTGTTTCTGGTGTAAGCGTGTATGGAGTCTGGAGCTGTATGTGTGTGCATCGTTAGCATTAGTACATCAAGATAAAAGTGTGACAATAAAGTGTGTTGCTAAATGTGAATATTTTACATGAGCTTCACAAGAACATGTGTTGTATTTCCAGTGTTAATAGGAGGGAGGCTGGACGATGATGATCCTTCCAATCAGCTGTCTCATTCTTCTTGTGACAGGTATAACACAATGATGATAGTCTGTGTGGTTGTCAGTGAGTAAAAGTATATATATTTTTTTTTTCCTTCAGCTGTTCCCTGTTACTCAGTCAGTTTTGCAGAAATAGAAAGAACCTCCCTGAATGTCTTTGTGGGGACATGTGTGGAGATCAGATGTAAAGTCACTGGAGTTTTACCTGATGAAGATGCTCTGTGGTTCTGGATGAAGGATGGAAAATGGGATGAAGGCAAACTCAGTGGCACCATTGTTTACAGTAACAAGCCCACAGAACAACACATCAGTCCACAGTTTAGACATCGAGTCACTTACACTGGATCTACACGATTAGAGAATACAGCCTCATCCTCCAATAATCCATCATGCAGTGTTAGAATCTGTGATCTGACAGAACAGGACAGTGGAAAGTATTTTTTCAGATATATCTCTAAGGAGCGGGACTTTAAATGGAGTACAAATAATGCTGTCATTTCAGTCACAGGCAAGTACATCTACTGTCACTCTTTCATTTAGAATCATATCTGATGATTGTATTTGTAGAGCTTAGAGAGTTTTAATTTGTGTGTGTGTGTGTGTGTGTGTGTCTGTGTGTGTGTGTTTTTTCTCAGTCAAATTATCAGCTGAAGCAAATTTTATTCTTATCTTATCAGAACTTCTTTCTCTTCTCAGAAAACCCATGTGCAATCACATTCAACAAACCAGCACCTGTACAAGAGAATCAAACCATCACTCTCACATGTTCTACTCTGAGATCATGTTCTAAATACTTGGAAATTGAAACTGTTCCTCCTTCTGGTTTGGAAACATTTCAGTCTAGCTTCAGTTATTCTGCTACTGCATCCTACAGAGCCTCATGGAAGGACGACGGCAAAGAGTTCACCTGTCAAACACGAGGAAACAAGGACCCACAACTGATGAAGAAGACCGCGATCTCAGTGCCATGTAAGTTAGGACACAGAGATAGATTTATATAGCTACTCCCCATGCTCTGATTTCCCCCATCAACCCTTAACATGCTACATAGGTCTCCAAGAAGAACAGCTGATAGCCAGTGTTGTGCCTGAACGAGTTCAAAAGAACACGCTCACTGAACACGTTCATTTTTCAGTGAACTTTGAATTGAACGTAACACATTTGTAAATCAAGAACTTGAACATGAATTCGTTCAAATTATGTGAGATGAACGACGTACGTCACTGTTGGGGTTCAATTAAATGTCGGAATTAGTTTTCACCTGATGAGTCGCGTGCCAAGATCTGCTCACACTTTTTAGTTTCAATGTAGACCTGATACAAGAGGCTTAACACTCCCAGTCAGGTTTGATTGTCTTTCCCACTGAGAAACACAGAGCCTTGCCGCACGTGTACCTCCTGCTGCAGCTGCCGGTGGAGTCGCCTTTGCGTTGACGTGCGGCTGTGGTTTCGCCAGGGTGCGGCTCTGGCTCTGTGTTTCTCAATAGGAAAGCATTAATTAACAGTCGTTCTGGACCTGGGCTCTTTCACACGATACAGAACTGCCCCGGGAGAACGTTGTGCAGATGGTAAACGCACAAATACAACGATAGATGCATGCTCTCTATATATTTTGGTGGGGATACGTGCCTACACTTTTGTAGAGCGTCAAACAAATAGGATGGATCCTGCTGCTCCATACGTGCTCCTAGCGTGAGGTCACTTTCAGTGCATTCTACAAATTACGCATCCAAAAGTTGCTGTGACATCCCTCTGTCATAGAAAGAACACATAGTTGTGTCCTTTAGTCCGACAGAAGCTGCTGCATAAGCCACAAGGAAAAAGCAGCTTTTTTCGAGCAGTTTATGCAAATTAACCATGCGATTTTAAGTTTCGTTTCTGTAAGATGTAAACAAATGTGGCAAAGCTGAATTAAACACATTATAATATCAAACGGACTGATGTGGCTCTATAGTGGCTATGGTATATATATTGTAAAGATGTTGTAAACTGGAAGTCAGTTTGAAAATTAAGTTCAGCCTTTCATTTACATATCTCACCTAAAACTAAAATGGACTGAACTTTGAACTAGTTCAAAATTAAAGTCGTGAACTATGAACGTGAACTGTTCACTTTGAACATGTGTGAATTGAAGTTTGAACTAGTTCATGAAAAGTGTGAACTTGTACAACACTGCTGATAACTAACGTCAATTAAATACAATCAATCAATTAACTACTCAACAGGAGGAAATTATCACTGGTGCCACAACCTGGTACAAAACATCTCTCCTGTTAAGGTTAATGTAAACTGTGCACTGTCCCTGTCTCATTAAATAAATAAACTAAATAAAATATCGCTGGTATAAAATTGAGCAAAGTGTCCTGGTGGAGACAGACGTGTGTTAAGACTCTGCAGCCTGAAGACAGTGGCTCTTACACATGCTCCGCTGAAAACACTGTGTCCTCTGCAAAGTCAGGACCTCTGCAGATAGATGTTGAGTGTGAGTTTCAGAACTGTCTCCCCGATGCATTTGTCAAAACAAATGTAAACAACATGTTAATGTGCAAAACTGTGGAAAAGTATTGATTTTATTGTTTCTGTTGAACAAAATTCAACACTAATCTTTATCAAAATTTTTACATTCAAATCCTTACGAGACCTCAAAATATGTGTGACTTAGTTTTACTTTTTACTCTTTAAGTACATTTTAAAGGTACTTTAATACTTCTTCTTCTACTAAAGTATTTTTTTCATGTGATGTTTTTACTTGAGTATTTCTTTGCTCCAGTATTTGTACTTTTACTTAAGTAACAAAATTGAGTACTTCCACCCCTGATCCTAAATGATGTCTGTTAATGAGCACAAAGTATTCTGCCAGTATCATCTGAAAACATGTACATAATATGAATTCTGTGTTAGTGTGTGTGACTATGGTGTTTCCTCCACAGATCCTCCCACCAGTCTGACTCTGTCCATGGACTCAGAGGTGACAGAGGGACAGAATGTCTCCATCACATGTCGTGTGGACAGTTCTCCAGTGTCCACCCTGACCCTCAGCAGGACCTCACAGGGTTCTCCAGTGGAGCTGCTCAGAGACACTGAGCACAACTCTCTGATCTACTCTGTCACTGTGACCTCTGCCCATTCAGGAGAATACACCTGCTCCTCCCACAACAGTGTGGGCTCAGACAGCACCAAGAGGTCACTCACCGTCAAATGTGGGTCAAGTTGGGTTTTACATGTTTCACAATCAGGCCAGCCTGTATTTCCTTTAAGAGCTTTATTTTTTTATTTTATACCAGTAGATGGCAGATGTGACCTGTTATTTTGTGTTCTTCAATTACTGTACATTAAACTGACTTGTAAAGGCATTGACAATATTTTTTGTAAATCACTGGACACCAGCAGAGCCAACAGGACCAACAATTGATTTGATTTGAACCTGACATAATCTTAGGAACTGAACATTTGTCAGTAGTTTTTTGGAAGAGAAATTTCACTTCTTTGTCTATAGTCGGTCACCACAGCAAATGTAAATATGGTGCTGCCTCATGTGACTGAAAGGAAAAGCAAAACAAAAACTCTACATGTTTTTCGATCAATAACCAAAGCTGGACTGATACTTTCACAGAAGTGCACCAGTAAAGACCCTTTTTTCACTTGTGCTTTAAAGAGGAACTGTGACACTATTTTTAAATGTTTAATGCTTGAATTTCCTCATTTGTCAAGACAAGATAAGACAGGTCAGTGGATTTTAAATTTGTTTTTGTCCAAACTGCTACAATATTATGTTATTGCTTGGAATGTTCCACAATAAGGCATTTAACCATCTATGTTCATGGAGACAAGCAGATGACTCCACCAGACCATCAGCCTCCTCAGCCTCTCCTTCTCCTCACTCATCTGTCTAAGTCTCTACTGCTTGAATCTCTTTTTTTGTGGTATATTTGATATTTTTCGGGGTCCCTTGAATCATTGTGTTACTGTGTGGTCTTTTTGTTTTAGCTCTGCCTTTCACACAACTTTTAAATTGTGTTTTGTTTTATTTTGGGGGGATTTGTTCTTATTTTAGGCATATGAACTAAAGATATTTTTTTATTAAAGTGGTTTGTAATGTTATCACACAGTCTTATACAAACACATAGTTGGATATAGTTATTTGTGTCACTATTACTTGTGTTATGGGGGCAGGCCAATCACACACACAACGCCCTGATACAATTGACATTTTCTCATTTCACACCAGAAGAGGAAGTCTAATGTCTCAGTGAAGGACTGCATTAATATGTTCCTGGTGTATTTCTTGTTCACTTTCTACTCTGAACAAAGGCTTGAAGGGTAAGTCATTTTTTATTGATTAGAGTAACACACACTGAGGGCAGGTGGGGACTTGAAACCCACAGGTCACAGTTAAATACATCACATTTAAGGACAAGGAAAGGAAAATTCTGGTACAAAGGACAGAGACGTTAAAATAACTGAAAATGTATGATAAAAATGTATTATCTGGAAGACTACTAAAAATTAATTACACAAACTCAAGCTATAAATACAAAAAGGGTATTTATTACAATTAATACATACAAATTTTAGTTTTAGAATATAAAGCTAAACAAATGATTTTATAAGCCTCTATTACTCACGGGAACCACCCAGGGCTGCTACCTTATACTTACCACATTTAGCACAGCAGACAGCACAGGAAATGAAATGTGCAAAACTAAACTGGTGAGCCAGTGCACTAAATCACCTGCAGAAGTGGTGGAATCTGACCATTGGGCCTGGTCCAACCACCAGTATGCACCCAGCCTCACTGGACATAAACAACACTTCATTGCACTGACTCAGTTGGTGCAAACTGCTGCTTTTTAAGTAAATAAACTATAAACCAATTATAACAAATGAAAAGAAAACTAGAAAAAATAGACAAGGTAAAAAACAACAACAACAAAAAGAACTAAAGTCAAACAAACAAGTAAATATGAAAACAAATTATTATTATAAAGCAAAACAAGAACTGTAGTAAAGCAAAATGTGCAATATGCAAAATGTAAAACATTACACAAAAATAATTAGTCAATTTTTCATTTGTGGGGGAACCAGACTTTCCCCCTTAATGATACAGGAACTAGATTTTATTAGGATTGTATAGAAGGCAAATTGATGTATTCCTACCTTCACAGCAGAACAAATCACCTTTATTGACAACTGCAGTGACACCATCAGGTGCTCTGCAAACAAACAGGTCTTTTAAATGAACCATCTTTGTTTTACAGAGTAGAAAGGGACCTTACCCTACTGTAAACCAGATAGGAGCAGACAGCAACCTTGAAAAAGAGATTTTGATCTCAACAGGTTTTTCACCTATTTAAATAAAGGTTAATAAATAAGTAAATAATGTTCAAGATACTGACAACACTTCACATGAGGACACATGTACATCTACTCAGCATTGCATCAGTGTTTTAACAAAGGTATTTTGTTATTTATGTGTTTACAAGAAAATGTGTTTTTCCATTAGACAATGAGGATCCTTCCAATCAGCTGTCTCATTCTTCTTGTGACAGGTATGACACAATGATAGTCTGTGTGGTTGTCAGTGAGTGAAAGTAAATTATTTTTTTTTTCTTTAGCTGTTTTCTGTTACTCAAACCGTTATGCAGAAATAGAATCAACCTCCCTGAATGTCTTTGTGGGGACATGTGTGGAGATCAAGTGTAAAGTCACTAAAGAGAGAGAATTACCTGATGAAGATGCTCTGTGGTTCTGGATGAAGGATGGACAATGGGATGGAAGTAAAATTGATTACAGTGGCACCATTGTTTACAGTAACAAGCCCAGAGAACTCCCCATCAGTCCACAGTTTAGAGATCGAGTCACTTACACTGGATCTGCACGATTAGCAGAATACAGCCTCATATAATAATCCATCATGCAGTGTTAGAATCTGTGATCTGACAGAACAGGACAGAGGAAAGTATTTTTTCAGATATATCTCTAAGGAGCGGGACTTTAAATGGAGTACATGGAATAATGCTGTCATTTCAGTCACAGGCAAGTACATCTACTGTCACTCTTTGATTTAGAATCATGGCTGATGATTGTGTTTGTGTAGCTTAGAGAACTTTAATTACAGAATTTAGAATAAGAATAATGTCTTAACAAAATAATCAGTACTTAAAGTAAATTAGAACTTTTTTTCTCTTCTCAGAAAACCCATGTGCAATCACGTTCAACAAACCAGCGCCTGTACGAGAGTCTCAAACCATCACTCTCACATGTTCTACTCCGAGATCATGTTCTAAATACTTGGAAATTCAAACTGTTCCTTGGTCTGGTGTAAAAACATCTCAGTCTAGCTCCAGTTATTCTGCCTTTGCATCCTACAGAGCCTCATGGAGGGACAATGACAAAGAGTTCACCTGTCAAACACGAGGAAACAAAGACCCACAACTGATGAAGAAGATCACGATCTCAGTGGAGTGTAAGTTTATACTTGGACTGTTCCTTTAACATGTGCAGGCGACTAAAAACATATGAAATTTAGCACACTATATAATTGTGATATATCTACATTTATGTAGATTCTCCTCATGGAACACAGGTCCCCTAACTGTCTCCCCTATGCATTTGTGATTGATGCAAATAAATGTAAACAAGACGCTAATATTATACAACTGTGACAAAGTGAGTGGGATGCTTCTACAGTACACATACAGTATATCAACAATTTTAACCAAATGATCCAAAAGAAAGCAGTGACAGCGCCTGTGGATACTGCCACACAACCAAACCCTAGGCCAATGTTGTTCTGTTTAATGTATTTATCTGGATTTTCATTGATTTTATGTTTATGAAAAAGTAATGAGGAAACTGTATTTGTTGCAGACAAACCAAAGAACACCAACATTGAAATTGTTGGTCAGAGCAGAGAAGTAGCAGTGGGTCACTCTGTGACTCTCAAATGTAACAGTGATGCCAACCCTCCTCCTCACACATACGATTGGTTTAAAGGCAGTCAATATCTTCAGAGAACAACTGAAAACAGACTGGAGCTGAAGAAAGTGCAGAGAGCAGACGAGGGCTGCTACATCTGCAAAGCTGCCAACAAACACGGACACGGCTACAGCACAGACCTGTGTATAAAAATGCTCTGTAAGTCACTCTGGGTCCTCACTCACTCTGGCTGTACTATAGTAATTTGTGACAGATAAGTGTAAGAAGTGCAGCTGATATATCTCTAACAGTAATCAGTGGTGTGTGTGTGATGAGTCTTAGGTGAGATGGGGAGGTTTATTTTCATTACTGGTGTGTGGAATTTTCAAGCTTTTATTTCGTGTTTTGATCTGCTGTTATTTGTGGAGATTTTTCACATCCTCACATCAGCACAGACCTACAAACCCAAAGCATGTGATACTTTTTGGCCAATGACCACAGCTGAAAGGTGAAAGGGAGACAGACAGAGAATTGACAACGTGCTGCTGCACATGGGCCACAAACCAGAACAGCGCATCATGACGCCAGATCAACACAGAGGGGCAGTGAGGAAGTCCTTGTGTGCAAGTGTTGTACACCTTTGAGTGGTGCTCCAGCTCGACAGCCTTTGGTTGCAGTAGGCTAACAGAAGTTGTGTAATCAGACACGTCAGTGGTGATGGTGGAGCCTGGGTACAGTGAGGATGGAGAGACCTGAGAGAAACAGAGAACAAAGATTCAAGAGATTTAAAGAAAGGCACCATGACACTGAACCAGTGCAGTGGTGAGAGTGAGGAGCTCTGTCTTGGCCTGGGACACAAACACAGATCATAAGGAGGATGATAGGAGTCTCTTTCCCCAAACTGCAAACTGCCCCCTCATTTTAACCCAGGCCCACCTAGTGTTTTAGTTCAGTCGCTCTCACTTCATTGATTTTATGAGTAATATTCCTAATTTGGCTATTATGTTTTTATTAATAAGCCCCAACCCATGCTACATGCACTAGAAACAAATATAGCTCATTATGAGATGTTTTGTAATGGGTCTGTGTTAATGTACATTCTACGTACATTTAGACTTGCGTGTGTTTAACACAATTCACAATTATTAGGTATAAACTGGTTTCAAATGCCAGTAGGCCACTCTTTCAACCATAAAACTCAGTTCAAACTACAGGCACCAGACTAATTTCTGAAGAATAGGCTGTTCAGATGAATTTAATCATTAATCCTAAATGATGTCTGTTAACACAAAGAGTCATGCCAGTATAAAAAACATATAGAACTGCCTTAATTCTGTGTTAGTGTGTGACTATGGTGGTTCCTCCAAAGATCCTCCCACCAGTCTGACTCTGTCCATGAACTCAGAGGTGACAGAGGGACAGAATGTCTCCATCACATGTCGTGTGGACAGTTCTCCAGTGTCCACCCTGACCCTCAGCAGGACCTCACAGGGTTCTCCAGTGGAGCTGCTCAGAGACACTGAGCACAACTCTCTGATCTACTCTGTCACTGTGACCTCTGCCCATTCAGGAGAATACACCTGCTCCGCCCACAACAGTGTGGGCTCAGACAGCACCAAGAGGTCACTCACCGTCAAATGTGGGTCAAGTTGGGTTTTACATGTTTCACAATTAGGCCAGTCTGTATTTACTCTAACGACTATTTAGAATGACATTTGAATACACTTACATGCTCTAAAAGATTCCGAAATGGAAGGAGACAGAACCTTAGTTGGCTTAATGATGGTGTAAGTTTTATTTGCATAGCATCACCAGCTTTCTGTAATCTTATGGAGGTGTTCAGGAATCTCCGTTGAAAAGAGTCTGTCTTCTATAGTCACTCTACATTTCCATAAGTACAGTATTGTGTGTCTGCAGATGCTCCTCAGAAGGTGAGAGTCCAGGCTGATCCAGGTCTGATGGTCAAAGAGAACACAACACTGACGTTACACTGCAGCGCTCTGAGCCATCCTCCTGTGAGCTCAGTGACCTGGAGCAGGGGCCCCACGGGGCAGGAGTCCCTTGTGCACACGGGGCCCACCTTCAGTGTGAGCTCAGTCAGTGTGAACGACAGTGGCCTCTACAGCTGCACCGCCCACAACCAGCTCGGACAAGGAACGTCTCCACCAGCTGAAGTTCAAGTCATGTGTGAGTATGCTTAAACAGAAAACTTAGTCTGGCACTAATGTGTGTGTGAATTCCACACTTAGTAAAAGCGCCTTGTGCATGTTGAGTTGGTCCAAATCAGGCTGTGGTGCTGAGAGCAGAGGAGGAGCAGGGCCCTGATGGGAGCAGCTCAGTGACTCTGAGCTGCAGCAGCCACAGCTTCCCCCCGGTCAACCTCTACACCTGGTACAGGAGGACGGAGGACGGAGAGCTCAAAGTGTCTGAGAACATCAACTACACTGTGCTGTCCACACAGCCCGGAGTCTACTACTGCACTGCCAAGAACCAGATCAGTGAGAGCACGTCTGAGCCAGTCAGCCTCTTTCTACAGGGTAAGGAGACACTATAACACAATGACAACAAAACAATTGGGGTAGTGGATGGATATTAAGATTTTATTTCATAAAATAACTAAATTAGCTGTGGAGCTGAGGAGCTGATGGTGTTTCTTCTCTGCAGAAAGCTTTGTGAAGTACACTGGCCTGGCTCTGGTGCCCCTGCTGATCATCTTATGTGCTTTCATTGTTTACAGGTACCATGAGAGATTATACTGAATAATGTTATAGGATTGCACAACAGATGAAACTGAGTTTAAATCAAGTACAAATTACAAAACAAAATCAGGAATGACAGAATTTTATCTTAATATCAGACACAAGTGTCTCTGTGTTTTGTTTTTCAGGCTGAAAATAAAGAGGTCTGTTGAAGGGGAAAGAACGAACAAGCCCTGGTGGAGGAGTTGTTCAAAGGCTCTGGTAATATTTTCTATATCTAGATGTATGACACAGTACTTATTTTTATTTGTCAAAAATATCTAAATGAATAATGCAGTTAGTTTGGCCCTGTGTCTCTTAAAGTGATTAAATGTGTTTTATGACAGTCTTCTTTAGTATTGAGCCAACTGTGGTCATTACATTTTTAAGAGTGGTTTACACTAGTCTAGGGAAGCCCATTTTCACCAGTAAATAAAAAATAAAAACCTCACAGGAAATCATCATTACAAGTTTAAAAGTCATAATTATGAGTTTTAAAGTCATCATTATTTTATTTATTTTGTTTTCAGTGGGACAGTGTATCTTAGACTTAGAGTTAGACAAACTTTATTGATCCAAAAGGACATTTTTTTGGACACAGTAGCTCACACATCACAAAATAATATAATAACAAAGAGTAAAAAATATAACTGGTAATAATAAGTTCTGAATAAGTAGCAAAAAAGATAGAAAGAGACAGGTGTCCAAAAAGGCATAATTCAAATCAAGTTTATTTATATAACACATTTAAAATAACTTCACCTGACCAAAGTGCTTCACGTACAAGTCAACAAAATAGAGGAAACAGTTACATATACATATATACAGATAACAGGTGAAAACTACAATAAAAACACCAAGATAACCTGACTAGCTACTACTCAATGCCAGGGACAAGAGGTGAGTTTTCAGTCTCGTCTTAAACTGTGTTACTGACTGAGAGGATCTGACAGGAAGAGGAAGGTTGTTCCACAGTCTTGGCGCAGCCACAGAAAAGGCTCTGTCACCTCTCGTCTTGAGCCTAGTTTTGGTCATGACCAACAGGAGCTGGTCAGTTGATCTCAGGGCTCTGGGAGGAGTATAGGGCTGCAGTAACTCCTTCAAATAGACTGGACCCAGAGTGCAAACATTTGAAAAATAACTAATAGCATTTTAAACTGCACCCTACATGAGACAGGGAGCCAGTGCAGGTCACACAGCACAGGTGTGATGGGTTCACGTTTCTTAGTATTTGTCAGCAGACGAGCTGCAGCGTTCTGGACGTGTTGTAAGCTCTGCAGGGAGCTTTGATCTAACCCTAGATACAAAGAATTGCAATAGTCCAGGCGTGATGTTACATAGCATGGATAGCTCTTTTGAACTCTGCCCGTGGGAGGTAGGGCTTTACTTTAGTGAGGAGCCTCAACTGAAGGAAGCTGGACTTAATCACAGTGCTAATGTGCTTGTCCAGTTTAAACATGGAGTCCACAATCACCCTAAGATTCCTCACTGCAGGGAGACAATAGGAGGACAGAGGACCAATCACACTGTCCTGCCCAAGCAGTGGGTTAGTTTGCCCAAACACCACAATCTTGTTTTTTATGAATGAAGGTTCAGGAAGTTTCCGCTCAACCAGGTCTGTACATCCTGCAGTCCTGCAGAGCTTTGATCGTGCTCTGGCTGTCAATTGCGGTCACTGACAGATACATTTGAATGTCATCTGCAAAACAGTGAAAAGTGACATTGTGCTTTCTACAGGGCATACAGAGCAGGTGCTAATGTATAACCCTGGGGAATACTGTACTGTAAGGGAGACACAGAGGAGGAGTACTGTCCTAAGTTAACAGAAAAACTCCTGTCTGACAGATATGACCGGAACCAACAGAGCGCTGTCCCCTTAATGCTCACATGTGTCTCCAGACGAGACAGAAGAATGCTGTGAGTCACCGTGTCAAAGGTGGCTGTTAAGTCTAAAAGCAAAAGAACAGTGGATTTCCCACAGTCAACAGTTAAAAGATCATTAAAAACTTTTAAAAGAGCTGTTTCAGTACTGTGCTGAGATTTAAAACCAGATTGGAATTTTTCACCAATGTCATTAAGATTAAGGTAAGCCTGTATTTGGTCATAAGTAACCTCTAAAATCTTACATTAAAAGGGCAACTTTGAGGTAGGTCTAAAATTACCAAGAACATTTGGGTCAAGATTAGGCTTTTTGATAAGTGGTTGGACTACAGCATATTTCAGGGCAATGGGAAAACAACCAGACATCAGAGACGAGTTCACAACATAAGTAATATAAGGTCCAATAGAATCGAAAACATCCTTGAACAGACGACTTGAAATAATATCTAGAGGACAGAAGGAAGGCTTTAGCTGTTGAACAATTTTTTTCAGGTCCAAAATAGACACTGGTTCAAAACATATATAGCTCCACTGTTGTCCTCTTCCTCCTGAAGTCAATCACCAGTTCTTTGGTCTTATCAATGTTCAGGGGCAGATGGTTTGCCTGGGAACACACCACAAAACTTGTACTCCAGCTCCTGTCCATCTCTGATACACCCTTCCACTGCAGAATCATCAAAGGACTTCTGCAGGTGGCAGAACTCGGAGAACTACTGGAAATCAGAGGTGCTTCCCAGTCACACATACTGAGGCCTGCCTGACAGGTAGTCAGTAATCCAGGAGACAATGGAGGAGCTGACACCCATCCTGAGCAGCTTCTCACTCATCAGAAAGGGCCACATTGTATTAAAGGCACTGGAGAAATTGAAAAAAAAAAATCCTTATAGAGCCCTTCATACTATCCAGGTGTGAGTGAGCCCGCGGCACAAAATAGATCATTGCATCTTCTGTGCCAAAATAGCACTGATATGCAAAAAACTCCAGGGATGGTGCCACTAGGGATCTGAGCTGAGTCTCTCAAACATTTTCATGAAAAGACACTTCAAAGTAACTGATCTGAAGTCACTGAGTCCAGATGGAATAGGCTTCTTGGACACTGGCAAATACAGGAGGTTTTCCATATCCTTTCAAGCTTCAGACTCAGAGTGAAGACAAAGTGCAGGATCTCAGTGAGCTGTGCAGCACATGTCCTCAGCACACGGGGGTTGACTTGGTCTGGTCCAGGAGACTTGCTTAGATGAACTTTCTCCTGCTGTTAATTAATCAACTGTTTTAAATTATATTAATGTAAATGTACCTGAATTGGCAAAATGTTGAGTTTAAAGGTCATAATCAGGAGTTTAAACATCATAATTACAAGTTAATAGTCATAATTACAAGTTTTCAAATTTGCCATGTAAGAATATGGGCTGGTGAGACCATTTTTCTGGAGAAACCATCCACCAGGAGGTCAGGACTTTCAGATGACATCCCAACATTATATAGGCCAATAATATTCCATAAAGATGGGGAACAGCTAAAAGAATTATTCTTAACATAATTAGTAAAGATATATTTGTGTTTTTATATAGCAAATACAAGGGTCTGATCATTAATAAAAATGATCAGGTCTGAGCACAGATTTTACAGGCTATGAGTCCAACATATTTCTTTATGACTATCATGAAATCAATAGCAAACTTATCCCTCATAAGAGTATTACTTCATGTAGAATCTGAAAACCACCACCACAAACTTGATATAATGAAACAAGACTTAAAAGTTTTATTCTCATCTTGTGTTCAGGGAGGATGGCACAGCTCCAGAGGCTGCTCAGAGGATGTCCATGCAGAGACACCTGGAAGGAGAGATGTCCCACCACCTCAGCAGAGAGCAGACGTGATGTGAGTGAAAACAGATAAAGAGAATGCACAAACACAATGTCTGATAGTATTCACTCAGGGAAGATGCTGTTTACTTGTCTTTATGTGTTGACAGGAACAGTACATCCAGTGCCAATGCTCCTTACTCCACTGTGAACCTCCCCAAACATAAACGAAGTATGTATTTAAGAACAGAGCAATAATGAGAAGGTCCCTTCACCAAGTAAGTAGGGATGGGACAAGATGTGCCACAAGATCTTGTGATTACCACACGATTGTGCACTCCAACAACATGGATTCATGCAATATTTGTGAGTTCACAAACTCATGAGAATCCATGTTGGCGTGCCCCCGTGATAGGACACACCAGCTGGTGGGCGACCAATCACAGAGCAGCGTTGAGGTTTATGCGGAATCCAAACTTGAAAAGCTCAAACAGACCAAAACAAACAAGGGAATGCTGACAGATGTGCTTCAGCCAATATTTGCATCAATACAGATTTTTTTTTTCCTTGTGAAAAACTTGCAGAAGGTGAGAGCTTTGTGCATCTGTGGACAGAAAAGATGTCTGTACTTTTGTCTCAACTGGATTTAACTAAAGTTAGATTTTTTGACTTATTCCCTTGTTGTGACGCTTTGACCAATCCAATTCAAGTAATCTCCTTGACACTGCATGTTTTCTGATCACTTTCAGAGTCATCCCACATTGATAATGTGTAGAACTCAATTCAGAGTGACACACAGATGAATCTAGTGTGAGGCAGATTCTTTTACATTTGGACAAACATAAACCTTTACATTAAGGGTTAAATGCTGATGAGTTGCATCTTTTCAGAAGCTGTGCTACAATGAACATTTGAAATAAAAATAAATCAGAAAGTGTGAGGCCAAAATTGAGGATTGGATTGCATGTATTTTTATAAATTAAATCTTGTCTTGTCCCACCCTGACTAAGTAAGAGAACTGTCTATGTGTTGTGTGTAGGGCTTGAGTTAGACAAAAATCTACTAGCTTCAATGTGTTTTTTTTCTTTTTTTTCCTTTCATTGTTTGACGCCACAGTCTAATTCATGACTCAACTTTTCCACCATTTCACTTCTCAGAGCCGTCCTGGCACCAGTGATGAAAACATCGCCTCATTCTTCTACGCCTCAGTGCACTTTGACAAGAACCCATCGTAAGTTCCACACAGTAACATGAGTAAAAGTCCATTCAAACAGTCACATTACAATCTGTCTGTAGGACTCTGATCCCCAAAGAAAGAGAGGAAGTCGTCTACTCCACTGTAAAGAAGCATCATGAGGTAAACCAAGTGTCACCAATGCACTTTTTACACACATTTTGGTTAAAGCTGCACTATGTCACTTTTTTGGAGCATCCACCACCTGATGTTTCCATGGAGAAGTTATTATCTTATCTACAATTTTCCACAGTATGGTCAATGTATTAAACTTATCTACCTTCAGAGGTAGGTAGTAATCAGTAGTAATTATATATTTACTCAGTAACATTTACTTGAGCCACTTTTTAATGCAGTACTTTAATAGCAATATACCTTTACTCTTACTTGAGTAATACTTTAAGTTAAATAAAAGTTTTGGTTCCTCATCTCGACGTGGAGAGGAGTAGGTGAGTTGGCTCAGGCATCTGTTCTGGACGCCTCCTGGGGAAGACCGAGGACATACTAGAGGAACTTTGTCTCTCGGCCTGGGAAAACCACGGGATCCCCCCAGAAGAGCTCCTACAAGTGTGTGTGGAAAGGGAAGTCTGGACCTTCCTGCTCTCTGCGACCCGACCCCGAATAAAGCGGAAGAAAATAGATGGAGTTACTCTTGAAGTTACTCTTACTTGAGTTTAGTAGTTTTCCCAATACTTTTTTACTACTTATTTGAATAATTTCTTGGACTACTTCTTTTTACTTCTATTTGAGTAATATTATTTTATAGTAAGTAACATTATGCTTACTTGAGTAAAATTTTTGGCTAACTGTGTCTCTCTTACATTGAAAAAACATCTTGTGTGTGTTTTACTGTGAGGGTGTCGCCTCTCCACAGATTTGACCTGTAACGTGGCCTGGTAGCATGACCAGCTTTGGACAGAGCAGGCAGATGTTAAATGCCATACTGTGGCATACTTAATAATAAAGCAATTACACTTCCATAAAAATAACTATAAAAGTTACATATTGCAGCTTTAAAGACAGTTTCAGAAACCTGTGTGTATTATTTTGTGTTACAGGAAGCAGGAGATGTCTATGAGAATGTTAGAAAAAAGGCGGATTGTTCAGCTGCAGCAGACAGCAGTGAGGATGAGGTGGATGTGAGTTACTCCGAGGTGAACTTGAGGAGTCGAGTGACGGCAGCGGAGGAGGAGTACTCAGAACTCAACTTCTAAACACACTTAGGATCTATTGACTCTGTGCACAGAAGTATGTTAGCTAGCTCACTGTGTCTCAAAACTAACAGTCACTAGAGTTAAATTATTTTACATGTTGTCAGTGACATCCACCCACAACTCTCTGTCCACTGCCTTCTCTTTAAGTATTAATATATTTTAGCATGACTCAGCAAAAACACATAGATACACAATTACACAGGAAGTAGTGAGTCTAACAGTGTGTTTGCCGGGCCTGTTGTGCACAGAGAATATTACAAGAAACTCATGAAATACTGTAAATGAAACCAGGAACACCTCACCCTTACACTGCCTACAGACGCCACATCTCAACCCATCTTCACCACAGCAGCAGAACCATCAGCCTCCTCAGCCTCTCCTTCTCCTCACTCACTGTCTCTCCTGGTTGAATTTCTTTATTTGTGGTATATTGATATATAGATTGTGGGGGGTTCCTTGAATTATTGTCTTACTGTGTGGTTCACACAACGTTTTAAAATGTGTCTTGTTTTATTTTTGGGTAAGATTTTTTTTTTCTTTTTATTGTATGTATATAAAATAAGGATATTTCTGTTAAAGTGGTTTGTAATGTTATGGATGTTTTTGTAACAATGCGTGAACCTGCAGAGGGCATGAGAAATAACAATTATTGATTACTGCTACTGCTACTACTGCTACTACTACTACTACTACTACTACTACTACTACTACTACTAGTAGTAGTAGTACTTTGAGAACTCTCTGCCCACATAATTATTGCAGTGCCACCTGTTAATGCAGGAAATATTCAGTTTTACCCCAACCAAGGCAATGCAGATGAATGACAGACATCAAAAGGTTTACAATAAGTTCTAGATCTCTATTTTAGTGAAAATGGTGTTCACATCCACAAAATCGCATCAAAATAGAATAGATTTCCTTAATGTGTCCCTATCCCTCTGCAGCAGAAATAGGCCACCTTACTTTCTTACAAACCAGTAGACCTAAAAGTTGTCCCACTATTGAAACTTATTGAGATCGGTGAAAGATACTTGATGATCTTTTTTTCTCTGTGATATCCACCAGCTTCATCCAGACACAGGTAACTGTCAGGACCTGTGTCTTGCAGCTTCCTCCTTAGTATTGTCCCTCAACTTGCAGGAGCACGTTACTTCAGTCAGCTCAGACTCTTCTATCAGACCATCTGGGGGAGTAAACCAGATAGGCACGACCCTGGTCACCCCAGCTTCCTTCCCATTCCTCAAAAGCTTTTATTCCTTCAATTTCATTGGTATTCCCCCATTGTGGCCATACCGGCTTGTCAAAGTCTGATCCTGTCAGATCTCAGAAGCTAAGCAGGGCTGGGCCTGGTTAGTACTTGGATGGGAGACACTGGGAAAATCAGGTGCCACAGGGGGTATTTACAGGTATGTTGCCATTATAGAACATAAAAAAAACAATATCTTCATCCTCTATAACATGATTTCATGTTCATCTTTCAGACTGGTAAAAGCCTTAAAAACAAAGTCCAAAACTCAAGATGCTACTTCAAACCATTGTCAAGTAAGTTGTTGCATTCTCATTAGATCCATCCTGTACTGTACCCTTCTGTTCCATCCAATGCCAACTGTAAACTGTTTTCCTGTATCTTAGGAAAGTTCAGACTCGTAATGAAAACATCATATCTTACATAAAAATGTAAGATCTGGAAGTCTACTAAAAATGAATTCGACAAACTCAAGCTATAAATACAAAAAGGGGATTTATTACAATTAATACATAAAAATTAGAATTTTAGAATATAAAGCTTAAAAAATGATTTTATAAGCCTCTATTACTCACAGGAACCACCCAGGGCTGCTACCTTATACTCACCACAGTTGGCACAGCAGACAGCACAGGAAATGAAATGTGCAAAACTAAACTTGTGAACCAGTGCACTAAATCACCTGCAGAAGTGGTGGAATGTCACAATAGGCCTGGTCCAACCACCAGTATGCACCCAGCCTCACTGGACATAAACAACACTTCATTGCACTGACTCAGTTGGTGCAAACTGCTGCTTTTTAAATAATTAAACTATAAACCAATCATAACAAAAGAAAAAACTATGCAATGTTAAAATCTAAAGTAGATGTTTAAACTAAATCAAAGACAAGGCAACAAAAATATTTAAGTAAAACAAACAAACTAAATATGAAAACAAATTATGATAAAGCAAAACAGGAACTGTGGTAAAGTAAAATGTGCAGTATGCAAAATGTAAAACATTACACAAAAATAATTAGGGAATTTTTCATTTGTGGGGAGAACCAGACTTTGCACCCTTACAGGAACTAACTAGACCAGCACTGTATAAAAAAAATAATTTAGTTATTTTAGGAGGATTGTACAGAAGGCAAATTGACCTATTCCTACCTTCACAGCAGAACAATTCACCTTCATTGACAACTGCAGTGACACCATCAGGTGCTCTGCAAACAAACAGGTCTTTTAAATGAACCATCTTTGTTTTACAGAGTAGAAAGGGAGCTTTTTTCCTACCCTACTATAAACCAGACAAGAGCAAAAGAGCCCGGCAGCAGACAGCAAAGAGGCAGCCATATTGGCAACTGAAGCCTTAAATAGAAGGAGCAGGAATCTATGGGAGGCTCATGATTCAATTTGATTCTGAGGCTCATGAGTCCATGCAAGAACGATTATCGATGCATCTTTATGTTTTACTTAGTGGTTACTTTTTCAAACGTGCAAATATGAAATTACTTTTATTCAACACAATTGTTTTTCTTTCAGGGATTAATTTCACAGGTGGGAGATAATATCTACTACAGAGTAGCTGTTAGCAGTGCTTCATGCTCTCTGCCAGGGGGCGGAGCCAAGAGGAGCACTTCACGGGCAGCAGGGAAAACAGACACCCCTGTTTTGCCCTGCTGTGTAATTATGTATTTAGCAGAAGTGGAAAAAAGTAGGCTCTTGTAACTGCTTTAAAACTTCAAATAATTACTCATATTTATTGGTAAAGTCAGTAATTTATTATAATGTGCAGTATATAAAGACAATGTTAACACCATTTAAAGGTCAAAGTTCAAAACTAAAATGTGACATATAAACTGTATGTATAAACAAAGAGTGAAAATCCTTCAGACATTTTAAATGTAATTCTATTAAAATCATTTTACTTTTAGGACAATATATAAATGATTTTTCATGTGTTGTAGTTTGACTTTGGCCTGGGTCAACCTTGAAAAAAGAGATTTTGATCTCAACAGGTTTTTCACCTATTTAAATAAAGGTTAATAAATAAGTAAACAATGTTCAAGATACTGACAACACTTGACATGAGGACACATGTACATCTACTCAGCATTGCATCAGTGTTTCAACAAAGGTATTTTGTTATTTATGTGTTTACAAGAAAATGTGTTTTTCCATTAGACGATGAGGATCCTTCCAATCAGCTGTCTCATTCTTCTTGTGACAGGTATGACACAATGATAGTCTGTGTGGTTGTCAGTGAGTGAAAGTAAATTCCTTTTTTTTCCTTCAGCTGTTCCCTGTTACTCAGTCAGCTTTGCAGAAATAGAAAGAACCTCCCTGAATGTCTTTGTGGGGACATGTGTGGAGATCAGATGTAAAGTCACTAGAGAATTACCTGATGAAGATGCTCTGTGGTTCTGGATGAAGGATGGACAATGGGATGGAAGTAAAATTGATTACAGTGGCACCATTGTTTACAGTAACAAGCCCAGAGAACTCCCCATCAGTCCACAGTTTAGAGGCCGAGTCACTTACACTGGATCTACACAATTCACAAATAGAGCCTCATCCTTCAAATATCCATCATGCAGTGTTAGAATCTGTGATCTGACAGAACAGGACAGTGGAAAGTATTTTTTCAGATATATCTTTAAGGAGCAGGACTTTAAATGGAGTACAAATAATGCTGTCATTTCAGTCACAGGCAAGTACATCTACTGTCACTCTTTCATTTAGAATCATGGCTGATGAGTGTGTTTGTGTAGCTTAGAGAGTTTTAATTTGTGTGTCTGTGTGTGTTTTTGTTTTTTTTGTTTTTTCAGTTAAATTATCAGTTGAAGTAAATTTGAATCACTTATCAGAACTTCTTTCTCTTCTCAGAAAACCCATGTGCAATCACATTCAACAAACCAGCACCTGTACAAGAGTCTCAAACCATCACTCTCACATGTTCTACTCCGAGATCATGTTCTAAATACTTGGAAATTGAAACTGTTCCTCCGTCTGGTTTGAAAGCATCTCAGTCTTCAATTACTTATTCTGCTACTGCATCCTACAGAGCCTCATGGACGGATGATGGCAAAGAGTTCACCTGTCAAACACGAGGAAATGAGGACCCACAACTAATGAAGAAAATCACGATTTCAGTGCAGTGTAAGTTTAGACTTGGACTGTTCCTTTAACATGTGCAGGCCACCAAAGACATATGAAATTAAAGACACTATATAATTGTGATATATCTACATTTATGTAGATTCTCCTCATGGAACACAGGCAGTAATGAGCTCCACTAGTGTTAAAGAGGGTCATTCTGTAACTTTGACTTGTTCGGCCAGAGGAAATCCGGCCCCAGTCTTTACCTGGTACAAGAACAACCAGAGGAGGTCCTCCTCTCACAGTGGAGCCATTTGGAAAATTGACTCAGCTCAGATTGAACACATGTTTGTACTGCTCAAAACAAACATGGGACAGAAAGCTCCAACTCTGTCCACATAGATGTTCAATGTAAGACACTTTCACAACACACTCATTAGGCACAAGTGCCAGAAGCTGGTGAAGGGACTATTAGTATCACAAAGCGATGCTCCAAGTGGGCAGGAAGTGAAATGATGCCATGTGACTCTCCCATAGTGACCAGGGACCCTTGCCATGATGTAGGAATGCACAGAAGTTTTCCAAAAATGTATAATTAGCTAAAAAAAAAAAAAAAAAAAAAAAAAAAAGAAAAAAAGAAAACATTGTTCTCATATCAATATTTTTCTTCTTCTTCTTCTCTTCACTTCTTTAACTTTTGGGTATTTTCATTTTCCAAAAATAAATAAAATGCCACGTCAGCGCCCCCAACCAATTCAAAAATGCATTGGGGTATATGAATGAGGACAAAAAAAAATAAAAAAATTATGATGTCTTCACCTTCATAGCAACCCCCCTCCTGACAGATTTAAGGCAGCACGGTGGCTGAGTGGCTAGCACTCATGCCTCACATCAAGAAGATTTGGCTTTGATACCCGGGTCGCCTGGGCCTAGAGTTTGCATGTTTCTCCCCGTTTGTGGATGGGTTTCCTCTGGGTGCTCCAGTTTCTCCCATCAACCCATAACAGACTACATAGGTCTGCAAGAAGAACAGCTGATAGCTAATGTCAGTTAAATACAATCAATCAATTAACTGCTCAGGGACGACAGGTGAAATTATCACTGGTGCCACAACCTGGTACAAAACATCTCTCCTGTTAAGGTTAATGTAAACTGTGCACTGTCCCTGACTCATTAAATAAATAAACTAAATAAAATATAGCAGGTATAAAATTGAGCAAAGTGTCCTGGTGGAGACAGACGTGTGTTAAGACTCTGCAGCCTGAAGACAGTGGCTCTTACACATGCTCCGCTGAAAACACTGTGTCCTCTGCAAAGTCAGGACCTCTGCAGATAGATGTTGAGTGTGAGTTTCAGAACTGTCTCCCCGATGCATTTGTCAAAACAAATGTAAACAACATGTTAATGTTAATGTGCAAAACTGTGGAAAAGCATTGATTTAATTGTTTCTGTTAAACAAAAGTCAACACTAATCTTTATCAAAATTGTTACATTTAAAGCTTCACTAGACCTCAAAATCTGTGTGACTTAGTTTTACTTTCTACTCTTTAAGTACATTTTAAAGCTACTTTAATACTTCAACTTAAGTATTTTTTCATGTGATGTTTTGACTTGAGTATTTCTTTGCTCCAGTATTTCTACTTTTACTTAAGAAACAAAATCGAGTACTTCCACCCCTGATCCTAAATGATGTCTGTTAATGAGCACAAAGTATTCTGCCAGTATCATCTGAAAACATGTACATAACATTAATTCTGTATTAGTGTGTGACTGTGGTGTTTCCTCTACAGATCCTCCCACCAGTCTGACTCTGTCCATGGACTCAGAGGTGACAGAGGGACAGAATGTCTCCATCACATGTCGTGTGGACAGTTCTCCAGTGTCCACCCTGACCCTCAGCAGGACCTCACAGGGTTCTCCAGTGGAGCTGCTCAGAGACACTGAGCACAACTCTCTGATCTACTCTGTCACTGTGACCTCTGCCCATTCAGGAGAATACACCTGCTCCGCCCACAACAGTGTGGGCTCAGACAGCACCAAGAGGTCACTCACCGTCAAATGTGGGTCAAGTTGGGTTTTACATGTTTCACAATTAGGCCAGTCTTTTTTTACTCTTAACGACTATTTAGAATGACAAATTTGAATACACTTACACGCTCTAAAAGATTCCTAAATGGAAGGAGACAGAACCTTAGTTGGCTTAATGATGGTGTAAGTTTTATTTGCACAGCATCACCAGCTTTCTGTAATCTTATGGAGGTGTTCAGGAATCTCCGTTGAAAAGAGTCTGTCTTCTATAGTCACTCTACATTTCCATAAGTACAGTATTGTGTGTCTGCAGATGCTCCTCAGAAGGTGAGAGTCCAGGCTGATCCAGGTCTGATGGTCAAAGAGAACACAACACTGACGTTACACTGCAGCGCTCTGAGCCATCCTCCTGTGAGCTCAGTGACCTGGAGCAGGGGCCCCACGGGGCAGGAGTCCCTTGTGCACACGGGGCCCACCTTCAGTGTGAGCTCAGTCAGTGTGAACGACAGTGGCCTCTACAGCTGCACCGCCCACAACCAGGTCGGACAAGGAACGTCTCCACCAGCTGAAGTTCAAGTCATGTGTGAGTATGCTTAAACAGAAAACTTAGTCTGGCACTAATGTGTGTGTGAATTCCACACTTAGTAAGAGCGCCTTGTGCATGTTGAGTTGGTCCAAAGCAGGCTGTGGTGCTGAGAGCAGAGGAGGAGCAGGGCCCTGATGGGAGCAGCTCAGTGACTCTGAGCTGCAGCAGCCACAGCTTCCCCCCGGTCAACCTCTACACCTGGTACAGGAGGACGGAGGACGGAGAGCTCAAAGTGTCTGAGAACATCAACTACACTGTGCTGTCCACACAGCCCGGAGTCTACTACTGCACTGCCAAGAACCAGATCAGTGAGAGCACGTCTGAGCCAGTCAGCCTCTTTCTACAGGGTAAGGAGACACTATAACACCTTCACCACATTCAAGTGGACAATAAAGTCAAGAACAATCTGAGAACTTTGGCTACAACTGAAATCCAAACATAAAAAAAGATCAGATTCACAGGGAAGAGCATGTACAACCATATTAATGACCCATTAATAAACCTAAAAGAGAAAACAATGTAGTGATGCATATTAAAACCACATTTTTGGTACAAATGTTCATGCTTGTCCTGTTTTGGTCCTGGTTTTATCCCAGTTTAGTCCTGATGTAGACCAGGTTTGTTTCTGGTTTAGCCCTGTTCTGGTCTAATTCCAGGTTTAGTCCCAGTTTAGTCCTAATTTTTCACAAGTTTTGTTCCTAACGGCTGCACTCTCTGAAGTTGGTTGGCTTGTTCGCTTAGCCTTAACAATTCCAGCCTGAATCATCTTCAGGTCGATGAAGCTCCTGTCTGTTTCAGTGTGTTAATAATCTAACATTTATTTGTCCGACAGAAAGCTACTTGAAGTTTATCTACCCTGCTTTTAAACTAGCAGTTATAGTGTTGGTTCCTGTTTTTATTTACAGGTATGTTGCCATTAAAGAACATAAAAAAGAAATATCTTCATCCTCTATAACATGATTTCATGTTCATCTTTCAGACTGGTGAGAGCCTTAAAAACAAAGTCCAGGACTCAAGATGCTACTTCAAACCAGTGTCAGGTAAGTTGTTGCATTCATTAGATCCATCCTAAACTGTACCTTTCTGTTCCATCCAATACCAACTGTAAACTGTTTTCCTGTATCTTAGGAAACTTCAGACTCGTATGAGAACATCAGCCTGGGACAAATGGAGACGAGTCCTCAGCGCTCAGACAGAAGTGAGTCAGAGGTGGAAATAGATGTTTGCAGGTCCCAGGTGAAGTTCAGGACCACAGAACTCAGACTGTCAGAGGAAGAGGAGGATCTGTAGACAAATAATACAAGCACTGTGGAAAAATAAATACAATCAAAACCTGTTGAATACGACTGGACAAATGTTGGACTTGCATTTTTGTTACTTTTAGCTTTCTTGTTATCTTAAAGTGAGACTAAACACCTCATCTCCACACACAACCACATTTGAACCAGAGCTGCTGAACTGGGCAGTACCTGGAGGACTAAAGAAAAGAGTGAGGCGGGAGGAGGGGCGGGGCCTGGAGGTATAAGGAGCAGTGTGATTGGTCTAACAGGATCCACAACACTTCACACTCCGCCCCTGCAGCCAGGTTTTTATCATCAGAAACTCCTCACTTTAATGAAGACATCCTGTGTGATGTCACCAAGTACTTACATTTGTAGTGTGCACTGAAGGGAGCATACACACATTTTTGAACACAAAGCTGTAAAAATATGTAATTAAAATAGTCAGAAAATGTCTCAGAACAGCGGACAATGATTTTAAAACAACATGCATACAGTTTAGTTGCAAAAGTTGATTTAGTGTTTAGTTCCACTTTAAGAATTGTGCTTTAAAGCTGTTTATTTTTTATTTTTTATACCAGTAGATGGCAGATGTGACCTGTTTATTTTGTGTTCTTTCAATTACTGTACATTAAACTGACTTGTAAAGACATTGACAATATTTCTTGTAAATCACTGGACACCAGCAGAGCCAACAGGACCAACAATTGATTTGATTTGAACCTGACATAAACTTAGGAACTGAACATTTGTCAGTAGTTTTTTGGAAGAGAAATTTCACTTCTTTGTCTATAGTCGGTCACCACAGCAAATGTAAATATGGTGCTGCCTCAGGTGACTGAAAGGAAAAGCAAAACAAAAACTCTACATGTTTTTCGATCAATAACCAAAGCTGGACTGATACTTTCACAGAGGTGCACCAGTTTTTTTCACTTGTGCTTTAAAGAGGAATGTGAATTTCCTCATTTGTCAAGACAAGATAAGTGTCCAAACTGCTTATTATGTTATTGCTTGGAATGTTCCACATAAGGCATTTAACCATGTTCATGGAGACAAGCAGATGACTCCACCAGACCATCAGCCTCCTCAGCCTCTCCTTCTCCTCACTCATCTGTCTAAGTCTCTACTGCTTGAATCTCTTTTTTTGTGGTATATTTGATATTTTTCGGGGTCCCTTGAATCATTGTGTTACTGTGTGGTCTTTTTGTTTTAGCTCTGCCTTTCACACAACTTTTAAATTGTGTTTTGTTTTATTTTGGGGGGATTTGTTCTTATTTTAGGCATATGAACTAAAGATATTTTTTTATTAAAGTGGTTTGTAATGTTATCACACAGTCTTATACAAACACATAGTTGGATATAGTTATTTGTGTCACTATTACTTGTGTTATGGGGGCAGGCCAATCACACACACAACGCCCTGATACAATTGACATGTTCTCATTTCACACCAGAAGAGGAAGTCTAATGTCTCAGTGAAGGACTGCATTAATATGTTCCTGGTGTATTTCTTATTAACTTTCTACTCTGAACAAAGGCTTGAAGGGTAAGTCATTTTTTATTGATTAGAGTAACACACACTGAGGGCAGGTGGGGACTTGAAACCCACAGGTCACAGTTAAATACATCACATTTAAGGACAAGGAAAGGAAAATTCTGGTACAAAGGACAGAGACGTTAAAATAACTGAAAATGTATGATAAAAATGTATTATCTGGAAGACTACTAAAAATTAATTACACAAACTCAAGCTATAAATACAAAAAGGGTATTTATTACAATTAATACATACAAATTTTAGTTTTAGAATATAAAGCTAAACAAATGATTTTATAAGCCTCTATTACTCACGGGAACCACCCAGGGCTGCTACCTTATACTTACCACATTTGCACAGCAGACAGCACAGGAAATGAAATGTGCAAAACTAAACTGGTGAGCCAGTGCACTAAATCACCTGCAGAAGTGGTGGAATCTGACCACTGGGCCTGGTCCAACCACCAGTATGCACCCAGCCTCACTGGACATAAACAACACTTCATTGCACTGACTCAGTTGGTGCAAACTGCTGCTTTTTAAATAAATAAACTATAAACCAATTATAACAAATGAAAAAAAAAAAAAAAAATTAGAAAAAATAGACAAGGTAAAAAAACAACAACAAAAAGAGCTACTTAAGTCAAACAAACAAGTAAATATGAAAACAAATTATTATTATAAAGCAAAACAAGAACTGTAGTAAAGCAAAATGTGCAATATGCAAAATGTAAAACATTACACAAAAATAATTAGTCAATTTTTCATTTGTGGGGGAACCAGACTTTCTCCCTTAATGATACAGGAACTAGATTTTATTAGGATTGTATAGAAGGCAAATTGATGTATTCCTACCTTCACAGCAGAACAAATCACCTTTATTGACAACTGCAGTGACACCATCAGGTGCTCTGCAAACAAACAGGTCTTTTAAATGAACCATCTTTGTTTTACAGAGTAGAAAGGGACCTTACCCTACTGTAAACCAGATAGGAGCAGACAGCAACCTTGAAAAAGAGATTTTGATCTCAACAGGTTTTTCACCTATTTAAATAAAGGTTAATAAATAAGTAAATAATGTTCAAGATACTGACAACACTTGACATGAGGACACATGTACATCTACTCAGCATTGCATCAGTGTTTTAACAAAGGTATTTTGTTATTTATGTGTTTACAAGAAAATGTGTTTTTCCATTAGACAATGAGGATCCTTCCAATCAGCTGTCTCATTCTTCTTGTGACAGGTATGACACAATGATAGTCTGTGTGGTTGTCAGTGAGTGAAAGTAAATTATTTTTGTTTTCTTTAGCTGTTTTCTGTTACTCAAACCGTTATGCAGAAATAGAATCAACCTCCCTGAATGTCTTTGTGGGGACATGTGTGGAGATCAAATGTAAAGTCACTAGAGAATTACCTGATGAAGATGCTCTGTGGTTCTGGATGAAGGATGGACAATGGGATGGAAGTAAAATTGATTACAGTGGCACCATTGTTTACAGTAACAAGCCCAGAGAACTCCCCATCAGTCCACAGTTTAGAGGCCGAGTCACTTACACTGGATCTGCACGATTAGAGAATACAGCCTCATATAATAATCCATCATGCAGTGTTAGAATCTGTGATCTGACAGAACAGGACAGTGGAAAGTATTTTTTCAGATATATCTCTAAGGAGCGGGACTTTAAATGGAGTACATGGAATAATGCTGTCATTTCAGTCACAGGCAAGTACATCTACTGTCACTCTTTCATTTAGAATCATGGCTGATGATTGTGTTTGTGTAGCTTAGAGAACTTTAATTACAGAATTTAGAATAAGAATAATGTCTTAACAAAATAATCAGTACTTAAAGTAAATTAGAACTTTTTTCTCTTCTCAGACCCATGTGCAATCACGTTCAACAAACCAGCGCCTGTACAAGAGTCTCAAACCANAGCAGACAGCAACCTTGAAAAAGAGATTTTGATCTCAACAGGTTTTTCACCTATTTAAATAAAGGTTAATAAATAAGTAAATAATGTTCGAGATACTGACAACACTTCACATGAGGACACGTGTACATCTACTCAGCATTGCATCTGTGTTTTAACAAAGGTATTTTGTTATTTATGTGTTTACAAGAAAATGTGTTTTTCCATTAGACAATGAGGATCCTTCCAATCAGCTGTCTCATTCTTCTTGTGACAGGTATGACACAATGATAGTCTGTGTGGTTGTCAGTGAGTGAAAGTAAATTATTTTTGTTTTCTTTAGCTGTTTTCTGTTACTCAAACCGTTATGCAGAAATAGAATCAACCTACCTGAATGTCTTTGTGGGGACATGTGTGGAGATCAAGTGTAAAGTCACTAGAGAATTACCTGATGAAGATGCTCTGTGGTTCTGGATGAAGGATGGACAACGGGATGGAAGTAAAATTGATTACAGTGGCACCATTGTTTACAGTAACAAGCCCAGAGAACTCCCCATCAGTCCACAGTTTCGACATCGAGTCACTTACACTGGATCTGCACGATTAGCAAATAGAGCCTCATACTCCAATAATCCATCATGCAGTGTTAGAATCTGTGATCTGACAGAACAGGACAGAGGAGTGTATTTTTTCAGATATATCTCTAAGGAGCGGGACTTTAAATGGAGTACAAATAATGCTGTCATTTCAGTCACAGGCAAGTACATCTACTGTCACTCTTTCATTTAGAATCATGGCTGATGATTGTGTTTGTGTAGCTTAGAGAACTTTAATTACAGAATTTAGAATAAGAATAATGTCTTAACAAAATAATCAGTACTTAAAGTAAATTAGAACTTTCTTTCTCTTCTCAGACCCATGTGCAATCACGTTCAACAAACCAGCGCCTGTACGAGAGTCTCAAACCATCACTCTCACATGTTCTACTCCGAGTTCATGTTCTAAATACTTGGAAATTCAAACTGTTCCTCCGTCTGGTTTAAGAAACATCTCAGTATGGTTACAGTTATTCAGCTACTGCATCCTACAGAGCCTCATGGAGGGACAATGACAAAGAGTTCACCTGTCAAACACGAGGAAACAAAGACCCACAACTGATGAAGAAGATCACGATCTCAGTGGAGTGTAAGTTTATACTTGGACTGTTCCTTTAACATGTGCAGGCGACTAAAGACATATGAAATTTAGCACACTATATAATTGTGATATATCTACATTTATGTAGATTCTCCTCATGGAACACAGGTCCCCTAACTGTCTCCCCTATGCATTTGTGATTGATGCAAATAAATGTAAACAAGACGCTAATATTATACAACTGTGACAAAGTGAGTGGGATGCTTCTACAGTACACATACAGTATATCAACAATTTTAACCAAATGATCCAAAAGAAAGCAGTGACAGCGCCTGTGGATACTGCCACACAACCAAACCCTAGGCCAATGTTGTTCTGTTTAATGTATTTATCTGGATTTTCATTGATTTTATGTTTATGAAAAAGTAATGAGGAAACTGTATTTGTTGCAGACAAACCAAAGAACACCAAGCATTGAAATTGTTGGTCAGAGCAGAGAAGTAGCAGTGGGTCACTCTGTGACTCTCAAATGTAACAGTGATGCCAACCCTCCTCCTCACACATACGATTGGTTTAAAGGCAGTCAATATCTTCAGAGAACAACTGAAAACAGACTGGAGCTGAAGAAAGTGCAGAGAGCAGACGAGGGCTGCTACATCTGCAAAGCTGCCAACAAACACGGATCAGGCTACAGCACAGACCTGTGTATAAAAATGCTCTGTAAGTCACTCTGGGTCCTCACTCACTCTGGCTGTACTATAATAGTTTTGTCATGGCCGATGCTGTGACAGATAAGTGTAAGAAGTGCAGCTGATATATCTCTAACAGTAATCAGTGGTGTGTGTGTGATGAGTCTTAGGTGAGATGGGGAGGTTTATTTTCATTACTGGTGTGTGGAATTTTCAAGCTTTTATTTCGTGTTTTGATCTGCTGTTATTTGTGGAGATTTTTCACATCCTCACATCAGCACAGACCTACAAACCCAAAGCATGTGATACTTTTTGGCCAATGACCACAGCTGAAAGGTGAAAGGGAGACAGACAGAGGAGAGTTCGCCCAGAATTGACAACGTGCTGCTGCACAGGAGCCACAAACCAGAACAGCGCATCATGACGCCAGATCAACACAGAGGGGCAGTGAGGAAGTCCTTGTGTGCAAGTGTTGTACACCTTTGAGTGGTGCTCCAGCTCGACAGCCTTTGGTTGCAGTAGGCTAACAGAAGTTGTGTAATCAGACACGTCAGTGGTGATGGTGGAGCCTGGGTACAGTGAGGATGGAGAGACCTGAGAGAAACAGAGAACAAAGATTCAAGAGATTTAAAGAAAGGCACCATGACACTGAACCAGTGCAGTGGTGAGAGTGAGGAGCTCTGTCTTGGCCTGGGACACAAACACAGATCATAAGGAGGATGATAGGAGTCTCTTTCCCCAAACTGCAAACTGCCCCCTCATTTTAACCCAGGCCCACCTAGTGTTTTAGTTCAGTCGCTCTCACTTCATTGATTTTATGAGTAATATTCCTAATTTGGCTATTATGTTTTTATTAATAAGCCCCAACCCATGCTACATGCACTAGAAACAAAATATAGCTCATTATGAGATGTTTTGTAATGGGTCTGTGTTAATGTACATTCTACGTACATTTAGACTTGCGTATGTTTAACACAATTCACAATTATTAGGAATAAACTGGTTTCAAATGCCAGTAGGCCACTCTTTCAACCATAAAACTCAGTTCAAACTACAGGCACCAGACTAATTTCTTAAGAATAGGCTGTTCAGATGAATTTAATCATTAATCCTAAATGATGTCTGTTAACACAAAGAGTCATGCCAGTATAAAAACATATAGAACTGCCTTAATTCTGTGTTAGTGTGTGACTATGGTGGTTCCTCCAAAGATCCTCCCACCAGTCTGACTCTGTCCATGGACTCAGAGGTGACAGAGGGACAGAATGTCTCCATCACATGTCGTGTGGACAGTTCTCCAGTGTCCACCCTGACCCTCAGCAGGACCTCACAGGGTTCTCCAGTGGAGCTGCTCAGAGACACTGAGCACAACTCTCTGATCTACTCTGTCACTGTGACCTCTGCCCATTCAGGAGAATACACCTGCTCCGCCCACAACAGTGTGGGCTCAGACAGCACCAAGAGGTCACTCACCGTCAAATGTGGGTCAAGTTGGGTTTTACATGTTTCACAATTAGGCCAGTCTGTATTTACTCTAACGACTATTTAGAATGACATTTGAATACACTTACACACTCTAAAAGATGCCGAAATGGAAGGAGACAGAACATTAGTTGGCTTAATGATGGTGTAAGTTTTATTTGCATAGCATCACCAGCTTTCTGTAATCTTATGGAGGTGTTCAGGAATCTCCGTTGAAAAGAGTCTGTCTTCTATAGTCTCTCTCTAGTCACTTTACATTTCCATAAGTACAGTATTGTGTGTCTGCAGATGCTCCTCAGAAGGTGAGAGTCCAGGCTGATCCAGGTCTGATGGTCAAAGAGAACACAACACTGACGTTACACTGCAGCGCTCTGAGCCATCCTCCTGTGAGCTCAGTGACCTGGAGCAGGGGCCCCACGGGGCAGGAGTCCCTTGTGCACACGGGGCCCACCTTCAGTGTGAGCTCAGTCAGTGTGAACGACAGTGGCCTCTACAGCTGCACCGCCCACAACCAGCTCGGACAAGGAACGTCTCCACCAGCTGAAGTTCAAGTCATGTGTGAGTATGCTTAAACAGAAAACTTAGTCTGGCACTAATGTGTGTGTGAATTCCACACTTAGTAAAAGCGCCTTGTGCATGTTGAGTTGGTCCAAAGCAGGCTGTGGTGCTGAGAGCAGAGGAGGAGCAGGGCCCTGATGGGAGCAGCTCAGTGACTCTGAGCTGCAGCAGCCACAGCTTCCCCCCGGTCAACCTCTACACCTGGTACAGGAGGACGGAGGACGGAGAGCTCAAAGTGTCTGAGAACATCAACTACACTGTGCTGTCCACACAGCCCGGAGTCTACTACTGCACTGCCAAGAACCAGATCAGTGAGAGCACGTCTGAGCCAGTCAGCCTCTTTCTACAGGGTAAGGAGACACTATAACACAATAACAACAAAACAATTGGGGTAGTGGATGGATATTAAGATTTTATTTCATAAAATAACTAAATTAGCTGTGGAGCTGATGGTGTTTCTTCTCTGCAGAAAGCTTTGTGAAGTACATTGGCCTGGCTCTGGTGCCCCTGCTCATCATCTTATGTGCTTTCATTGTTTACAGGTACCATGAGAGATTATACTGAATAATGTTATAGGATTGCACAACAGATGAAACTGAGTTTAAATCAAGTACAAATTACAAAACAAAATCAGGAATGACAGAATTTTATCTTAATATCAGACACAAGTGTCTCTGTGTTTTGTTTTTCAGGCTGAAAATAAAGAAGTCTGTTGAAGGGGAAAGAACGAACAAGCCCTGGTGGAGGAGTTGTTCAAAGGCTCTGGTAATATTTTCTATATCTAGATGTATGACACAGTACTTATTTTTATTTGTCAAAAATATCTAAATGAATAATGCAGTTAGTTTGGCCCTGTGTCTCTTAAAGTGATTAAATGTGTTTTTTATGACAGTCTTCTTTAGTATTGAGCCAACTGTGGTCATTACATTTTTAAGAGTGGTTTACACTAGTCTAGGGAAGCCCATTTTCACCAGTAAATAAAAAATAAAAACCTCACAGGAAATCATCATTACAAGTTTAAAAGTCATAATTATGAGTTTTAAAGTCATCATTATTTTATTTATTTTGTTTTCAGTGGGACAGTGTATCTTAGACTTAGAGTTAGACAAACTTTATTGATCCAAAAGGGACATTTTTTGGACACAGTAGCTCACACATCACAAAATAATATAATAACAAAGAGTAAAAAATATAATTGGTAATAATAAGTTCTGAATAAGTAGCAAAAAAGATAGAAAGAGACAGGTGTCCAAAAAGGCATAATTCAAATCAAGTTTATTTATATAACACATTTAAAATAACTTCACCTGACCAAAGTGCTTCACGTACAAGTCAACAAAATAGAGGAAACAGTTACATATACATATATACAGATAACAGGTGAAAACTACAATAAAAACACCAAGATAACCTGACTAGCTACTACTCAATGCCAGGGACAAGAGGTGAGTTTTCAGTCTCGTCTTAAACTGCGTTACTGACTGAGAGGATCTGACAGGAAGAGGAAGGTTGTTCCACAGTCTTGGCGCAGCCACAGAAAAGGCTCTGTCACCTCTCGTCTTGAGCCTAGTTTTGGGCACGACCAACAGACCAACAGATCATCAGCTGGTCAGTTGATCTCAGGCCTCTGGGAGGAGTATAGGGCTGCAGTAACTCCTTCAAATAGACTGGACCCAGAGTGCAAACATTTGAAAACAATTAATAACATTTTAAACTGCACCCTACATGAGACAGGGAGCCAGTGCAGGTCACACAGCACAGGTGTGATGGGTTCACGTTTCTTAGTATTTGTCAGCAGACGAGCTGCAGTGTTCTGGACGTGTTGTGAGCTCTGCAGGGAGCTTTGATCTAACCCTAGATACAAAGAATTGCAATAGTCCAGGCGTGATGTTACATAGCATGGATAGCTCTTTCGAACTCTGCCCGTGGGAGGTAGGGCTTTACTTTAGTGAGGAGCCTCAACTGAAGGAAGCTGGACTTAATCACAGTGCTAATGTGCTTGTCCAGTTTAAACATGGAGTCCACAATCACCCTAAGATTCCTCACTGCAGGGAGACAATAGGAGGACAGAGGACCAATCACACTGTCCTGCCCAAGCAGTGGGTTAGTTTGCCCAAACAACACAATCTTGTTTTTTATAATGAAGGTTCAGGAAGTTTCCGCTCAACCAGGTCTGTACATCCTGCAGTCCTGCAGAGCTTTGATCGTGCTCTGGCTGTCAATTGTGGTCACTGACAGATACATTTGAATGTCATCTGCAAAACAGTGAAAAGTGACATTGTGCTTTCTACAGGGCATACAGAGCAGGTGCTAATGTATAACCCTGGGGAACACTGTACTGTAAGGGAGACACAGAGGAGGAGTACTGTCCTAAGTTAACAGAAAAACTCCTGTCTGACAGATATGACCTAGAACCAACAGAGCACTGTCCCCTTAATGCTCACGTCTCCAGACGAGACAGAAGAATGCTGTGAGTCACCGTGTCAAAAGGTGGCTGTTAAGTCTAAAAGCAAAAGAACAGTGGATTTCCCACAGTCAACAGTTAAAAGAAGATCATTAAAAACTTTTAAAAGAGCTGTTTCAGTACTGTGCTGAGATTTAAAACCAGATTGGAATGTTTCACCAATGTCATTAAGATTAAGGTAAGCCTGTATTTGGTCATAAGTAACCTCTAAAACCTTACATTAAAAGGGCAACTTTGAGGTAGGTCTAAAATTACCAAGAACATTTGGGTCAAGATTAGGCTTTTTGATAAGTGGTTGGACTACAGCATATTTCAGGGCAATGGGAAAACAACCAGACATCAGAGACGAGTTCACAACATAAGTAATATAAGGTCCAATAGAATCGAAAACATCCTTGAACAGACGACTTGAAATAATATCTAGAGGACAGAAGGAAGGCTTTAGCTGTTGAACAATTTTTTTCAGGTCCAAAATAGACACTGGTTCAAAAACATATATAGCTCCACTGTTGTCCTCTTCCTCCTGAAGTCAATCACCAGTTCTTTGGTCTTATCAATGTTCAGGGGCAGATGGTTTGCCTGGGAACACACCACAAAACTTGTACTCCAGCTCCTGTCCATCTCTGATACACCCTTCCACTGCAGAATCATCAAAGGACTTCTGCAGGTGGCAGGACTCGGAGAACTACTGGAAATCAGAGGTGCTTCCCAGTCACACATACTGAGGCCTGCCTGACAGGTAGTCAGTAATCCAGGAGACAATGGAGGAGCTGACACCCATCCTGAGCAGCTTCTCACTCATCAGAAAGGGCCACATTGTATTAAAGGCACTGGAGAAATTGAAAAAAAAAAATCCTTATAGAGCCCTTCATACTATCCAGGTGTGAGTGAGCCCGCGGCACAAAATAGATCATTGCATCTTCTGTGCCAAAATAGCACTGATATGCAAAAAACTCCAGGGATGGTGCCACTAGGGATCTGAGCTGAGTCTCTCAAACATTTTCATGAAAAGACACTAAGTCAAAGTAACTGATCTGAAGTCACTGAGTCCAGATGGAATAGGCTTCTTGGACACTGGCAAATACAGGAGGTTTTCCATATCCTTTCAAGCTTCAGACTCAGAGTGAAGACAAAGTGCAGGATCTCAGTGAGCTGTGCAGCACATGTCCTCAGCACACGGGGGTTGACTTGGTCTGGTCCAGGAGACTTGCTTAGATGAACTTTCTCCTGCTGTTAATTAATCAACTGTTTTAAATTATATTAATGTAAATGTACCTGAATTGGCAAAATGTTGAGTTTAAAGGTCATAATCAGGAGTTTAAAACATCATAATTACAAGTTAATAGTCATAATTACAAGTTTTCAAATTTGCCATGTAAGAATATGGGCTGTGAGACCATTTTTCTGGAGAAACCATCCACCAGGAGGTCAGGACTTTCAGATGACATCCCAACATTATATAGGCCAATAATATTCCATAAAGATGGGGAACAGCTAAAAGAATTATTCTTAACATAATTAGTAAAGATATATTTGTGTTTTTATATAGCAAATACAAGGGTCTGATCATTAATAAAAATGATCAGGTCTGAGCACAGATTTTACAGGCTATGAGTCCAACATATTTCTTTATGACTATCATGAAATCAATAGCAAACTTATCCCTCATGAGAGTATTACTTCATGTAGAATCTGAAATCCACCACCACAAACTTGATATAATGAAACAAGACTTAAAAGTTTTATTCTCATCTTGTGTTCAGGGAGGATGGCACAGCTCCAGAGGCTGCTCAGAGGATGTCCATGCAGAGACACCTGGAAGGAGAGATGTCCCACCACCTCAGCAGAGAGCAGACGTGATGTGAGTGAAAACAGATAAAGAGAATGCACAAACACAATGTCTGATAGTATTCACTCAGGGAAGATGCTGTTTACTTGTCTTTATGTGTTGACAGGAACAGTACATCCAGTGCCAATGCTCCTTACTCCACTGTGAACCTCCCCAAACATAAACAAGTATGTATTTAAGAACAGAGCAATAATGAGAAGGTCCCTTCACCAAGTAGTAGGGATGGGACAAGATGTGCCACAAGATCTTGTGATTACCACACGATTGTGCACTCCAACAACATGGATTCATGCAATATTTGTGAGTTCACAAACTCATGAGAATCCATGTTGGCGTGCCCCCGTGATAGGACACACCAGCTGGTGGGCGACCAATCACAGAGCAGCGTTGAGGTTTATGCGGAATCCAAACTTGAAAAGCTCAAACAGAACAAACATGGGAATGCTGACAGATGTGCTTCAGCCAATATTTGCATCAATACAGATTTTTTTTTTTCCTTGTGAAAAACTTGCAGAAGGTGAGAGCTTTGTGCATCTGTGGACAGAGAAGATGTCCGTACTTTTGTCTCAACTGGATTTAACTAAAGTTAGATTTTTTGACTTATTCCCTTGTTGTGACGCTTTGACCAATCCAATTCAAGTAATCTCCTTGACACTGCATGTTTTCTGATCACTTTCAGAGTCATCCCACATTGATAATGTGTAGAACTCAATTCAGAGTGACACACAGATGAATCTAGTGTGAGGCAGATTCTTTTACATTTGGACAAACATAAACCTTTACATTAAGGGTTAAATGCTGATGAGTTGCATCTCTTCAGAAGCTGTGCTCCAATGAACATTTGAAATAAAAATAAATCAGAAAGTGTGAGGCCAAAATTGAGGATTGGATTGCATGTATTTTTATAAATTAAATCTTGTCTTGTCCCACCCTGACTAAGTAAGAGAACTGTCTATGTGTTGTGTGTAGGGCTTGAGTTAGACAAAAATCTACTAGCTTCAATGTGTTTTTTTTTCTTTTTCTTTTTTTTCCTTTCATTGTTTGACGCCTCAGTCTAATTCATGACTCAACTTTTCCACCATTTCACTTCTCAGAGCCGTCCTGGCACCAGTGATGAAAACATCGCCTCATTCTTCTACGCCTCAGTGCACTTTGACAAGTACCCATCGTAAGTTCCACACAGTAACATGAGTAAAAGTCCATTCAAACAGTCACATTACAATCTGTCTGTAGGACTCTGATCCCCAAAGAAAGAGAGGAAGTCGTCTACTCCACTGTAAAGAAGCATCATGAGGTAAACCAAGTGTCACCAATGCACTTTTTACACACATTTTGGTTAAAGCTGCACTATGTCACTTTTTTGGAGCATCCACCACCTGATGTTTCCATGGAGAAGTTATTATCTTATCTACAATTTTCCACAGTATGGTCAATGTATTAAACTTATCTACCTTCAGAGGTAGGTAGTAATCAGTAGTAATTATATATTTACTCAGTAACATTTACTTGAGCCACTTTTTAATGCAGTACTTTAATAGCAATATACCTTTACTCTTACTTGAGTAATACTTTAAGTTAAATAAAAGTTTTGGTTACTCATCTCGATGTGGAGAGGAGTAGGTGAGTTGGCTCAGGCATCTGTTCTGGACGCCTCCTGGGGAAGACCGAGGACATACTGGAGGAACTTTGTCTCTCGGCCTGGGAAAACCACGGGATCCCCCCAGAAGAGCTCCTACAAGTGTGTGTGGAAAGGGAAGTCTGGACCTTCCTGCTCTCTGCGACCCGACCCCGAATAAAGCGGAAGAAAATAGATGGAGTTACTCTTGAAGTTACTCTTACTTGAGTTTAGTAGTTTTCCCAATACTTTTTTACTACTTATTTGAATAATTTCTTGGATTACTTCTTTTTACTTCTATTTGAGTAATATTATTTTGTAGTAAGTAACATTATGCTTACTTGAGTAAAATTTTTGGCTAACTGTATCTCTCTTACCTTGAAAAAACATCTTGAAAAATGTGTTGTTACTGTGAGGGTGTCGCCTCTCCACAGATTTGACCTGTAACGTGGCCTGGTAGCATGACCAGCTTTAGACAGAGCAGGCAGATGTTAAATGCCATACTGTGGCATACTTAATAATAAAGCAATTACACTTCCATAAAAATAACTATAAAAGTTACATATTGCAGCTTTAAAGACAGTTTCAGAAACCTGTGTATTATTTTGTGTTACAGGAAGCAGGAGATGTCTATGAGAATGTTAGAAAAAAGGTGGATTGTTCAGCTGCAGCAGACAGCAGTGAGGATGAGGTGGATGTGAGTTACTCCAAGGTGAACTTGAGGAGTCGAGTGACGGCAGCGGAGGAGGAGTACTCAGAACTCAACTTCTAAACACACTTAGGATCTATTGACTCTGTGCACAGAAGTATGTTAGCTAGCTCACTGTGTCTCAAAACTAACAGTCACTAGAGTTAAATTATTTTACATGTTGTCAGTGACATCCACCCACAACTCTCTGTCCACTGCCTTCTCTTTAAGTATTAATATATTTTAGCATGACTCAGCAAAAACACATAGATACACAATTACATAGGAAGTAGTGAGTCTAACAGTGTGTTTGCCGGGCCTGTTGTGCACAGAGAATATTACAAGAAACTCATGAAATACTGTAAATGAAACCAGGAACACCTCACCCTTACACTGCCTACAGACGCCACATCTCAACCCATCTTCACCACAGCAGCAGAACCATCAGCCTCCTCAGCCTCTCCTTCTCCTCACTCACTGTCTCTCCTGGTTGAATTTCTTTATTTGTGGTATATTGATATATAGATTGTGGGGGGTTCCTTGAATTATTGTCTTACTGTGTGGTTCACACAACGTTTAAAATGTGTTTTATTCTTGGGTAAGATTTGTTTTCTTTTTATTGTATGTATGTAAAATAAGGATATTTCTGTTAAAGTGGTTTGTAATGTTATGGATGTTTTTGTAACAATGCGTGACCTGCAGAGGGCATGAGAAATAACAATTATTGATTACTACTACTACTACTACTACTACTACTACTGCTACTACTACTTTGAGAACTCTCTGCCCACATAATTATTGCAGTGCCACCTGTTAATGCAGGAAATATTCAGTTTTACCCCAACCAAGGCAATGCAGATGAATGACAGACATCAAAAGGTTTACAATAAGTTCTAGATCTCTATTTGAGTGAAAACGGTGTTCACATCCACAAAATCGCATCAAAATGGAATAGATTTCCTTAATGTGTCCCTATCCCTCTGCAGCAGAAATAGGCCACCTTACTTTCTTACAAACCAGTAGACCTAAAAGTTGTCCCACTATTGAAACTATTGAGATCGGTGAAAGGTTGCCAAGCACCTCACAGGGTTCTCCAGTGGAGCTGCTCAGAGACACTGAGCACAACTCTCTGATCTACTCTGTCACTGTGACCTCTGCCCATTCAGGAGAATACACCTGCTCCGCCCACAACAGTGTGGGCTCAGACAGCACCAAGAGGTCACTCACCATCAGTTGTGGGTCAAGTTGGGTTTTACATGTTTCACAATTAGGCCAGTCTGTACTTACTTTAACAACACCAATTGCTCATTTTAGCCCAGGTCCACTAGTGTTTTAGTTCACTTGCTCTCCTGCTTGATTTTAACAGGTTAACAAATAACTGTAGGCTGTTCTTTCAACAACAACAACAACAAAAAAATCTTTTCAAATTATAGACCCCAGACTAATTTCTTCAGAATCCTAATCCTAAATGATGTTAATGAGCACTATGTATTCTGCCAGTATCATTTGAAAACATGTATAATAACCTTAAATCTGTGACAGTGCGTGACCATGGTGTTCCCTCCACAGCTCCTACAGAAAGTTGTAGAAGAAAGTTCATCTATCTTGCTTTTAAACTACTTGCCATTGTATTGGTTCCAGTTTTTATTTAAAGGTACGATACTGAGAGAATATGAAAAAATGTGTTAAAAATATATGGCTATAATTTCAACTACATACGTTTCCATCTTTTAGACTGGTGAGAGTCATAAACAAATCAGACCCTCCAGAGGCAACTTCAGACAGACATCCAGTTAATATCACTGTTACTGTTACAACATCATTTTACACTTTATCGATTTAACAATGCTCATAATTATTTATAATAAAATACTAGTTTTATATTGTGCTTTTCACAGTAGCTCAAATATGCTTTATAATAATGTAGCACAAAACAAAAAGAGGAAAGACAAAAAAGTAGCGAGGAAGCAGTTATCTGCATGGTTTTTTCGGCTCTGAGGAAATTGTGAGTTTTGAGCTGTTTTTTTTTTTTAAAGGATTTAATCAGTCTGAGTTTAAATAATGATAAAATAAATAAAAATGGTTATTTACATTTTATTTATACTCCCAAACACTGTCACATAGCAGCACTTAGAGACTGTATCAGATCACTGCACACCGTGTCTAATAATAATGTATTTAAATCCTAATGATGCGTGAAGGAATTGTGTTGGCAAGAAACTAACTATATACATTTAACAATCTACTTCCTCTTTTATAGTTCTGAAAATCCCCAGCCTTAAACGTGCACTGCATAACATTACTAATGGAGGGTCTGCCACCTGCTTATTTCCATGGAAATGGTATTGCTTTATCTAGAATATTCCACAGAATACATTAACCATACATCACAAGGGAGACAAACAGGTTACAGCACTATGTTACATTACAATTCACATCTATGGAGAGTCGCCTCTACAGATGTATACGTTTACTGTCACAGAACATTCCAGGCAGTATCATCTCCATGGACACAAGTAGGAAATTGTGCAGTACAACTTTAATGTTAAGTTTTAATTTAGAATGTTTTAATTCATACAGCTGGTCATTTAGTAGATTATCCTTGTGCATAATCTGTTGACAATTGAAGATTGAATGAAAGTAATTTAAAGTTTTCTATATTTGCTAACTAATTTTCAAATAGACTAAGAAATAGGCTTGATACAAATTCCAATATCACATTGTTAATTAAAAATGTAATTTCTTTAGACAATAGAATGTGATTTTCAACATTAAATCATAGTACTTTCTTTTATATTACCATGTGGCTTAATATCTGCATACTCCTCAGTGGTCCAGGTTGGTTCCATAGTGGTCCATGGGCATATGCTAGTCTATGTGCTTTTATATTTGTTCTGCTACATCTTAAAATCATTCGAAAGATATTCAGGAAAGTTTCCTTTCTATCCTGTGAATGCAACTTTTTTAGTATCGAAACCTGCTCAAATGATTTCTGATTTTTGATACTTTTGACGACCTTAATTCTATCAACTAGATTTTGAAGATTTAGATTTTTTTCCCCCCAATTAATCAAAAAATCACTACTCAATATGTATACATAACAGATACAGGTTCTTGCAATGTGCACTTACAGACATTTCTGACATATTTTCGGTATCCTAGGAAACACACGACTACGAGGAGATTGAAATGGGACCAATTGGGACAAATTATCAGTGTTTGAACAGAGGCAGATCAGCAGAAGACCAGAAACTGCAGACAAATAATGCACCCACTGGACAGCAGTGAGGGCGGTTCAAATGGGGCCCCGGAAAGATCGCTAAATGACTGCAAACATGCACGGATGACAAATAAAAACCCCTTCAGGGATGTTTTTGATGTTGGAACATTAGAACTTGGTAAACATTTTGCATAATACCCACTCTTTAAAGGTGCAATGTGTAACTTTACCGGTGGAGGGTCCGCCAACTGCTTGTTTCCATGGAGATATCTTTGTTTTGCATGGAATTTTCTACAGCATTTCCAAAAGCAAGCGAGGCCAAGTTACAAGTCAGACCTATGGAGAGGCGACTACTTTGACAATGAAAATGCATGTTTCTAAGGCATTTTTGGGCAATAAAATACCTGTAATTCATTTCATGTAAGATAGACAAGGTTAATGCTATACTGTGGAACATTCCAGGCAAAGCAACATCTCCATGGAGACCGTTAGGTTGAAGACCCTTGACCAGAAAAGTTACTCAATGCACCTTTAAATTTTATTTGTTTGAAATCAAATCCACATGTATGAGAATATAACAGGGCCAGGTTGGTCAATCTAATTATCTTTAATGACAGCTTTAATTACATGATTTTCACTTCTCAAAATAAATTTACAAATAAAATAAAAAAAATTGATTTAAATCTAAACTGGACATGAACACTTTATGGCCTCTGTAGTGCTTAAAGGGCCCATATTATTTTCTCATCTGTTACATTTCTGCATCAAAAAATACCTGGATTTGTGTTTTGTTTCATTCACACATGTTTAACAAAACATGCATATTTAGGCTGAGTTCTTCTCTCAGACAAAAAACACTCTGTTCCACCTTGTCGTGTCATGTAGTAATACAGGAAGTGCTCCATACACCTTCAGTAGAATCAATGGGATGATTTCAATCCTGGAATTTCCAGTCTCTACTGAAGTACAGGTGAAGGGTAGTTGAGTAGTTTGAGATTTAGAGATATAGACTAATAAAGTTCTAGTCAAACATGTGTGAATGAAACAAAGCACAACTTCAGGTACATTGAATAACTCTTAAAAATATAATAATAACCATAACATAACTGATACTGTGAGCAAATACAATGACCGGAAAAGTGGACATTTTAACTGGGATATCAAAATGAATAGAGTGTTACTTCAAAGCGGTTAATTTGGTCTTCAAATATTATATCCAAACAAAGGTTCTTTTTGACAGACCAGTGTGTTATTTACACTTACCTTGATATGTTTCCGATACATTCTGCATCCTTCTTTAGAATGGTCATGTGATGTTACAGTGACGTGTCTTACAGTTGATTTACTCAGATTTTGATTTACCGTAATTTTCAGACTAGTTGGACTTTTTTTCATGGTTTTGGGTGGTCTTGCAACTTATACTCCAATGCGACTCATATTTTAAAATTTTCACACTGACAGCCGTGAAAGGGCACTCTAGGCTTGTGTGTCAGTATCTGACTCTATTACTCCTGTACCACTGTCACTTGGCTCTACTGCGCATGTCTCCTGCAGAAAGAGCCACTGCCGTGTCTGTATCATGTCAGTCGATCACACCATTACCTTTGAACCATTGAAAATTTTTAATTTAAAAAACTTATAAAGACACTGAGAAAACTGAACAAAAATGCCCCCAAAAAGAAAATCATATTTTGCAAATTACAAGCTGCAAGTAGTGAAATATGCAGCTGAACACAGTAATCGAGCAGCAGAAAGAGTTTGGAGTGAGCGAGAAACTTGTGACAACCGGAGGGTGCTCCTTACAATGTTCCTGAAGTCACTGAATGGATCAACAAAGCCTGGACTTCAGTAACAACCAAAACCATCCTGTTGGGATTCAGAAAGGCTGGAATAATTCTAACTGGAACTGATGCTGAGTCTGACGACAGTGACACAGAAGAGGAAGCGGTGCTCTGTTTATCTCCAGAGGTCGCAGAGTTGCTCAGAGATGACACAGAGGATGAAGAATTCAATGGATTTAGTGATTTGGAGTGAGATGGAGAGTTTGGTAAACTTGTTAGGTTCTGTTGTTTATGTTATAGTTTATCTGAATAACTGTTCATATGTGACATTAACAGTCTGTTGTTCTCTGTTCTATTGTTATTACTAGGACTTGCCTTTCAAGATGAAATGTCGGTTCCTGGTTTCTGCTTCATTACGCATTTTTTGGCTGGTGTAACTTATACTCCACAGCGACTTATAGTCCGGGATGGAGGATGATAAATACAAACTGTGGATTAAGGAGGTTATTGAGATCCAGAAATGAGAAATCTGTGTAAATCAGCTGTAAGACACGTCACCATAACATCACATGACCCTTCTGAAGAAAGCATGCCATACTCTAGCCTGTCAAAAAGAACTGAACTAATTTTTGCAAGCCTAAGTAGTCTAGAGTAGGCTTAAATATATATACAGAAAACTTTCTTTCAACCAAGTAATAATGCATTTTGTTTTTGTTTACAATATTATGCATTGTTTTCCAAAATCTTGTCACTGAGCTGCCCGTTAACATCATTGACCTCTTTAATTACAATAGAAGACCTGTCTGATCTGATATGTCCATTCCCTTCCAGTCTTCCATTGCTCATGTGTAGAGGAGTATCTTCTCTCATCTTATCCACGTCTTGTGCACTACTGTGACAGACTGGGCCCACCTCCTCTAAATTCTGTGGGCAGAGAACGGAAAAGTAGTTGTACGTAGTTGGAAATTGTACTTCAGAATAACATGAATTACTGCAGTGGTCCAGAAAATCACTCAAATAAAAGTAAAAATGATTTGGGGTTTGCCTGTCACAATAAGTACTATATTGACTTAACGCTGAATATATGGTCACTGGATCGATATACTTTGGGGCTCTATATTTATCAGGTGTACTTTTTTTTTGTAAAAATGGGGAGATTTGGGGTAATTTTTTGTTGTAATGCAATAACATTTGAGTTGTAAATGTTGATTAAATGACTTCTGTGGCTAAATATTGGTTCATTCTACTGTTTACATGTTGAAGCTCAGGCTTTTTTAAGGATACTGTTTGTTTAAAAATGGTTTACTTGGATTATCCTGCATTATTATTATTGTGGCATTGGCATAACATAGTTTCAGTTGTTTTGCTGTGCTTTTGTATGTATTTATATTATCTTTGTACAACAGCTGTGGTAGTAAATGTGCTTTATGAATCAACTTGACCTGACCAATTGTCTGAATGTGTCATCTGTTTTATAATTTGATGTTAATGTTAATGTAATATGTAGGGAAATACAAATTAAAAGTAGTGCTCAGAATCGGTTATTTAAAAAAAAAAAGACCACAAAAACGAATCATTTGTGAAAGAGCGGTGCAAAAAACACAAACATTCAAATCATTTCATATTGTCAACGTAAAGTTTTTGTCACTTGTAGACTTACTCACAGTGACTAAAACTTTTACTCATGCAAGAGTACTGTTACTTCAAACTAAATAATAAAGGTAAAAGGTAAAAGTATGCAGTCCTAAACTACTCCAATAAGTACAATTTATTTGAATACATGTAACTGAGTATTACCTCTGATTGTGGGTCTGTCACAGTTCCATTCATATGGTTCAGAAGCACTTTGCTACAGTTGACCTGGAAACAATGCCGGTAGTTTAGCTTAAAGATGCACTGTGTAACTTTTCTGGAGGGGGTCCACAACCTCTTTGACTCCATGGAAATGTTAATGCTTTGGTTTAAATTGCTTGCATTTCTTCAGCTACAGGTGTTATTTATTGCTCAAAAATATTAATTCTTACTGTGGGGTCACATCAGTTCACCCAGTGAGTTATAGGTAAATCATAGCCAGAAAAGCCAAAATTTCAAATTTTAGCTTGACCGGACCAACGCTTTCCAAGATATCACAATTTGATTTTATTCACTTTTTTGTGTGGTCGCCGAATTTCAAATTGCATTTACTCAACAACTACAGGTCCAATATCAAAAACCAAGGTATCTCTGGAAAGGGGAAATCATAAGGAATCCAAATCTTTATTTTTGCATTTGATTACTTTTGAGATTAATTACCTTTTGACCTATATTTTGATCTTGAAATTGACAATAAGTGACACGCCTGACCTCAATGACACCAACAGAAAAAATGTAGCCCTGTACGTCTATTTATTATATATTTATTTATTTGAGACAGGGACAATGCACAATTTTTACATGATGATTGAATGATTATATTTAACTGACCTTAACTATCTGTTTTTGGAGACCTATGTAGCATGTTTTGGGTTGATGGGGGAAACCGGAGCACCCGGAGGAAACCCATCCAGACACAGGGAGAAACATGCAAACTCCACACAGAAAGGCCCAGATGACCCGAGGACCGAACCCGGAACCTTCTTGCTCTGAGGCATGAGTGCTAGCCACTCAGCCACCATACCGTCTACTACAACATATAAAAAAGACATGCCAAATGTTCCTTGTGATGTCCCCTTTCCAGAGATATCTTGGTTTTTGATATCGGACTAGTAGTTGCTGAGTAAAAGCAATTTGAAATTTGGCCACCGCACAAAAAAGTGAAAAAATTACATCGCGATATCTTAGCAACCGTTTCTCCGATCATGTTAAAATTGAGATTTTGGCTTTCTTGGCTATGACTTACCCATACACCAATTTTCTTTGCAACTGAACAATGTGAGGGTTCAAATTGCAACTTTTGGGACTTAAGGTGGAATGACCCTGTGAGTGGGATCACCTCTCCACTTTTGGGCATTGCCCTGAATCTTACAGCTAACATAAGGAGGGTTCAAATAGAGCCCATGAGAGCTAAATTACTTAAACATACATGGATGACATCTAAAAAAAATTTGAGGTATTTGGATTTGGGCATTTGAATAAATGTATGCTGGACAAGTTAAATGCAATACTGTGGAACATTCCAGGCAAAGCAATGACATATCTATGGTGGCAGGCCCCCCCCCATTAGTAATTTAAAAACAGAATCAAAGTTAAAACAATGTATAGCTTATAATATGATAACTGGTATGAGACTCTAGATCCCACTATGATGAATTCTGTTAATGACCTTGTGAGGAAGCTGACCCGACGTGGTTAAAGTAGGAGGCAGACGGAGTTAATGCAAAGGAAAGTACAAATAAACAGAAAATAAGTGACTCAAAAAGCACCAAACAATCTGCACAGAAGTCTCTCCCTTAAGTGCCAACACCTGCTTTGCTTTATACCACCCAGCAGGACGTACCTCACTTTCCAGGTCACTTTCAAAGCAAAGCGATAATTTCTTTTCCTGGGCCTAAGTCCCGTTTCAAAATCAAAATTTTTTGACATAAACTAATGTGAGTTTAAAATGGGACAAAGGCCTATTTTGTCACAGACCTAAAGAACATAATAACTCACAACTCACCTCATTTCCAGTAACAGTGTCTGATGATTCTTGTACTTTCTTGTAAGGCAAATGACTGTTTTTACTTTTCCTAAAACAAAAAGATGCACATAATATTAAAGGGATTGTATTATACTATTCTCTGATTTATGTTATAATGTTGTTTCCTCATCACAAACATATTTGGAGTTTTGTTTCGTTCACACAATTTAGGCTCTTCTCTCAAACAGAAAACACTCTGTTCCACCTTGTGATGTCATGTGGTGCTCCACTGTGTTTTTATATGCCATATATCTTCAGTAGAATCATCATCAACCCTGGGAATTGCCAATCTCGATTTACCTAAAGATAAAAGGAGCTGCTTCATGACATCACAAGGTGGAACAGAGCATTTTGAGCTTTGGAGATGTAAACAGACTAATAATAAAGGGTTACTCAAACATGTGAATATATAAAACAACTCCAAGCATGATTTTGATGAGGTAACAACATTCTAGCATGGCTTAAAGCTTATTTGAATAAATTTTGTGTAATGTAGGAACTTTAAACATCATGGAACATTCTGATTTAATATTATTATTTTACAGAATAGTCCTCTTAACCTGCAAAAGAAGAGCAGAAGTGGAAGACAGAGCACAAACATCCCCAGTGCTCCAGCTGCAGAACCAATAAGAAGAGACAAGGTATGGAGGCCTGGGGAGACCAAAAAGCACAACACATCAAATAAATGCAATCTGAAATTAGTCAATCTAATTTAAAATCTAATGTGGAATGTAACAATAACTCAAATATTGTGATATCTTATCGTCAAAAGTCTCACAAGAATATCCTGGGTGGTCACAAATTCCTTTCCTTAAATGTATGGTTTTATAGTAGCAACAGCTTATTAACATAGGGAACTACATATCCCATGATTCATTTCAGTGCAGACAACATGAAGAGATATGTTTTTGACTTGAATTCTTGGGATTATGACAGTAATAATTCACACCAAAATCTTGTCAAGGTATTTTAAAAGCAAAAAAGTGTCCCATCTACAATTATATTAGCTTCTTTAAAATAAATATTGTACCGTGAGATTTGGATATCATTACATCCCTTAATATGTCATTTAGTTTTTCTCATTTTAGACCTGGTTTAGTCCTAATCTAGAGCAGATATAGTCCAGTGCTACTTGAAAAATTAAATAATAATTTAGGTGATAAACAAATATATTTCCACATAGCCAATGAGAGAATGTAATGAATGCAGTTAAACCGAACATAGGGTATATGCAGTGTTGGGGAGTAACGGATTACATGGACCGCCGTTACGTAATCAGAGTACAAATTATGAGTAACTGTATTCCGTTACAGTTACTGTTTCAATGAGTGGTAATTGGATTACAGTTACTTTGCTGAAATAAGTGGATTACAAGGCGGTATTTTCCTGTTTTCACATTTTGTGCTACATCCATTAATTTATTTTTTTTATTTTGGTAATTTCACTCATTGCCGGAAATCCAAACAGAACGCGCGCAATAAGCGCGATGTAAACGTCATATTAAAGTTGGCGTGTCAGTCACACAGTGGAAGCAGCAGTGCATTTAAAAACGCATTTGTGTCTTGGAAATTCTTCTCCCGATGTGAGATATATATATAAAAAAACTAATATAAAATCGCCTACAACTTAAATGTGAAACTGGAGCTACTGGCACTGGTGAAAACAACCTGCATAGACTCATAATATTGCACTACTGTCCTATAGTGACCTGCCACATGAAGGGACGCGCACACAAACACACACAAACACACACCAACACACACACACACACACACACACACCTTCATCATCGTCATTAACCTGAGAACCCGCGGACCACGTCTCCTTCCGTAGTTACAGCGCGGACACCGCCGTCTCGTGCGCCGCGTGTGGACCGTGTTTTCTCGCGTAAACCGCGCTTTCTCCTGTGTGCCTCTAAACCAGAACTAATCCAGGACTAAACCAGGACTAACCCAGGACTAAACCAGGACTAAAGCAGGACTGAACCAGGTTTAACTAGGACTAAACCACGATAAACCAGAACTAAAGACCTGGTCTAGACCTGGTCTAAACCAGGTCTAAAATTAGGAGTAAACCAGGTCTAAAAATCAGGACTAAACCAGGACTAAACCAGGTCTAAAAATCAGGACTAAACCAGGACTAAACAACATGACACCTAACAGTAGGTTGACATAATTTAAGGTGATCTCATATAAAAAATAACTTCTCTATCAATAATATTTTTTAATATGGTGAAGGAAAGACTGATCTTGTTACTGTCTTTTAACAGACAAAACCTCTTATATTAAGATATCATGGTCTTTGTTTCTCTACAGTAAACAGTTGCTTATTCATGGAGACTTGGGCTCAGACAATTTGAAGAGAACAAACAAGAATTTCAGGATGTAGTTGCTACATTCATGTCGTTTAAAAAAACATGACAATATCAAGTAATCCAAAGTAATCAGATTACGTTACTCACTTTAAGTGATTTAATGGATTACGTTACAAACTATATTTTGGGGTGTGTAATCTGTAATCTGTAGGGGATTACATTTTAAAAGTAACCTTCCCAACACTGGGTATATGATCGGAATCCGTGTATCATTCGTTCATTCGTTTTTCAATTAAAACCAAAAATAAGAAAACGAAAAAACATCAGTTTTCTCGTTTATTTGTCTCAAAATGAAAAAACGGATAACGATTCGTTTTTTCAGTTTTCGATTTTGTGTTTAAATGAAGAATGGAAAAAACGGATAACGGCCGTTTCCCGTTTACGTACTTCCGTGACTGCGATGCCGAACTTTTGCACCGCGTACGGACTGAATCAGGACGGATCCAGTCCGAGACCAGACCGAGACCAGAGCGGGACTGAGACTGGGACCAGACCGGGACCAGAGCGGGACCAGGGCGGACTCCGAGCTTTGACTCCGAGCCTTCCACAGGGTCCGAGCCTCAGCTTCGAGCTCCGGCCCTGCCGTGGGCTCTGAGCCTCCGGTCTGGTCCCGGTCTGGTCCTGGTCTTGTCTCGGTCTCGGTCTCAGGCCCGCTCTGGTCCCGGTCTGGTCCTAGTCTCAGTAGCGCTTTGGTCCCGGTCTGGTCCCGGACCTGGTCCATTTGAACCAAAAGCTCTTAGTTCGATTCATTTTCATTGGTGTGAAAGCGTCAGTCAGAGGCTTTGCACCACCTCGGAACCAGCCGCGGTTCTTGAGCGCGGAGGACCAGAGCAGCTCTGTCCCGGTCTCAGTCCCGTCTGGTCTCGGTCTGGTCTCGGTCTGGTCTCGGACCTGGATCAGTCCTGATTCAGTCCGTACGCGGTACAAAAGTTCGGCATCGCAGTCACGTAAACGGGAAACGGCCGTTATCCGTTTTTTCCATTCATCATTTAAACACAACATCGAAAACTGAAAAAACGAATCGTTATCCGTTTTTTCATTTTGGTTTTGGAGACAAATAGCGAAGAAAACTGTTGTTTTTTCGTTTTCTTATTTTTGGTTTTATATTGAAAAACGATGAACGAATGATACACGGATCGGCAATGGTTTAAAGCAGAACTAAGTGATTTTCAGCGAAAGAGCTCCCCCTACAGCTCTCTTATGAGAATACAGTCTCAGGGAACAGACTCCACTTTTTTTTTCTGATTTAATTGAAATAAGTCAGTATAATCGTGCACAAAAACACAATGCTGCAAAATAACAAAAAAAAAGCCATGGTTTCCAAAGTGTATTATCTTCAAATCAAGTCTGCAATTTTTGCGTGGGTGGATTTCTTCCCAGAGACAGCAGAGAGACAACAGATGCTTCAAACACCCTGAAAACACATATTTAACCATCACAGGGATTTACAAAGACGTAGGTAAACATGTTACTTATTCTGCTTTAGTCTTTCTTTTCTTCCATCCTTTTTGCCAATTACTGTCTGCAGATGTTTTGGTTTCAAACATTATCACAGACAAAATGTATACCTCATAAAATGTCCGTGTGTGTAATCCTACCTAGTTGTACATGACTCAAGGACACGTTGAAGACCAGACTGTCTGACCCGAGCTGGTTCCCACTGTTGCAGACCAGAGAGGGCATGTCCTGGTCCAGAGCATGCAGGGTGATGGTGCTCCTCACACGGACAGTGCTCAGGGGCCCCTGGGTGATGGGGGTGAGGGCCGAGTTGTTCACCCTCTCCCCGGACACCTCCCACTGCAGCCAGGGCCCCGGGTTCCCCTGACTGTCACACGTACAGTGGATTTGGAGCAGGGTTTTCACGCAGTGAGAGGAGGGCAGGATCTGTGGGGCAACTGGAGCAGAAAGGCAAAGAATTTGAATTGTTTTAATCATTATTTTAAAGGTGCAATGTGTAAATTTCCTGGTGGTGGGTCCGCAAGTTGCTTGTTTCCATGAAGATATCTTTGTTTTAATAATAATAACAATAATAATAATAATAAGTTTAGCGTTAAGTTTAGTTCTGAACGATTCCAGAGAGGTGGCTTCTCGCATCTTAGAGGGTAGTGAATTCCACAGAGTTAGGGTGTAAATTATAAAAGCAGCATCCCAAATGTCCCAGAGTATTTTAAAAGACATGCAACATCCACTAAACTCAGAGTTTCAGCTGCTTCCCTCTGGTCAGAGGCTTTTAATCCCAAAATCTAGAACGAATCAGTTTAGAGCTTCGTTCCAGCTGCTCTCATTATGAATAAATTGTAATCTATTTATCTATCAATTTTAGTATGTTTGTCTTAGAAAAATCGTGTGTTTTTATATATTTAATATTGTGATTTTAGCCAAGCTTGATGGATGAATTTAACTAATTGTTTATGAAAAAAGCCATTCTGCACTGGAGCAATGTAACATTTTATTTTGTAATTGTGTTTTTTATACGTGTTTATTGTCCATAATGTGAATGAATGAAATGTGAAATGCGGGACATGCCTCTTAAATCTGCAAAATAAATTTACCTACAGGTACGAATAAAGTAACCTAACCTAACTAACAATTTTTTTCTTTCCTCTATTCGTGCACGTTTCTTGACGAGGAGCGGTATTGTAGCATATTGGTGATATATGTGGAGGCAAGGCCATGAACAGCTTTATAAGTGATTAAAAGAGTTTTAAAATGTACTCTAAAAACAACTGGAAGCCAGTGTTAGGAGGCTAAAACTGGTGTGATGTGACTCTTTTGCTGGTGTGCATTCGAAGACGTGCTGCTGAGTCTGTTGGTGGCATTCCTTGGAAGTATTGTTAAAACAACATTGCAGTGGTCTAATCTGATGGTAATAAAAGCATGGCTGAGTTTCTCAGCGTCATTTTGGCTTATAAATGAGCGGACTTCAGCAATGTTTCAAATGATAAAAGCTGCCTTGGTGACTTGTCTTATGTGAGGATTAAAGTCGAAGCAGAGGAAAGTTTTGCCTGGAATTTTCTACAGCACGGCATTAAACATATCCAAATAAGCAAACAAGTGACGCTTCAGCACCAAGTTATAAGTCAGATCTGTGGTGAGGCGATTACTGTGACAATGAGAATGTATATTTTTAAGTAATTTTATGTGATAAAATACCTGTAATTCACTTCATGTAAAGACAAGTTTAATGCTATACTGTGGAATAAAAGCAGTAAAATCTCCATGGAGACAATGCACTGTTAATGTACATTTTGGTTTAAACTTAAGTCCCATCAGAGGTAGCAAGAGTGGCTGAAAGCCTTGGCCCACATGGAGAACAGATGAGCTGGAACTGTGGAGAGAGTGGGAGGGAGTGTATGGTTGGAGCAGATCTTACAGTTAAGATGTTACGAGCTTGTGGAGGGTTTTGAATGTGAGTAAGAGTATTTGGAAGGTAAATAATGCTTTTGCTATACCCACATGTGACATTGATGCGTACAGTCTGGGAGAACTCCACCCCATGGACGTTGAGAGCCCCACAGTAGTACTGGTCCTGGGACAGCTTGGTCACGTTGAGCCTGTACTCTGCTCCATGTCCCACTAAAGCCCTGAGGCGCCCAGTCACTCTGTACCAGCTGAAGTCCACCGTGGAGGGGTTAGCATCCGTGGAACAGGAGAGTGTCACCGGGCTGCCATCCTCCACCGGACCAGAGGGGGAGCTAGACACCACAGTCCTCCGAGGGGGGTCTGGAATATAGAACAATGAACAATTTAACTGTCAAATGCTTTTCTTCATGACTATGTTATTACTTTGTTTGGAATATTTCACAGTATGGCATTAAACCTTTCTATCTTCATGGAGACCAAACCAAACCAAGTTACAGGTCAGATCTGTGGAGAGGTGACCCCGCTTACAGTCAGAATGGCTGTTTTTCTTGGTATTTTTGAGCAATAAGACCACTTGTATCTGAAGAAATGTAAGACAGATCTGTTTAATGTCATACTGTGGAACATTCTAAGCAGAGCAATGACATATCCATAGAAACAAGAAGGTGACGGACCGCCAACCGAAAAGTTACACAGTGGCAAAGAAAGTGAACCTACGTCAACAGTAACTAAAACATCACCAATTTAACTCTACCATCATTCTCAGTATATGGACAAGCCTGGTGTAATAATCTCAGACTCTAATAATATTAATCACCAAAACACCAAATTATAACAAACAACTTGGCCATCATTTGTAAAGCTTTTGTAATTAAGAATAAATCATTTGGAAATGTCTACCTTGTATCTGAGGACACAATCATGTCAACAGTAATTAAAATTAAAACCTTAAATTTCATCATCATCTTCTTCATGCCGGACTCATGATCCAAAAAAATACAAAACAATAAACATTTATGTTTTTAAAAGACAACCACACCAGTGTCTTCACATATTGGACTGATATCTTATTGCACTGAATCTCATATTTGTGAGTGACATTATTATTTCATTGTGAGATTTGTTCAGTCAACAGATAAAACTGTCCATTAAAATTCTTAGTGTGGCTTGCAGAGTGTTCACTTGTGCAGTAACAAACATCTCCGTTGCACTTGTCCATCGTGGCCTCCTCAAAAGTACAGCAAAGTGTCCCTGTAGACCACCTGCAGTCTTTACAAACTGGCTTTTTTATAATTAACCCAGAGGTGAGCTGTGTACAGCAGTGTACAATATGATTTAAACAATAACAACTTTAGATCCTTTGTACAAGAACCAAACTTACGCATAAGAGTATTTGCCTGAGCATAGAGCGTCCTATATTGTCTATACATACCATCATCATCTGCCATGTCCGCAGTGATGATATGCCCGAGATATTTAATTTCTTTTGTAACAAACAACACAACATTTGACAGACAAAAGTCAGGAAATCTCATGTGCTTTTCTTCTTTGGTGTTGTGTATTGTGTTGTATAAAAAAGAGGGTTTAAATTCTAACTTTGGTATTGAAAGTGAAAATTGAATATTTAGCATTTTTCTTGGTATCAAAAACATGTCAGATTTGTTTGTATTTTGTATGTAACAAAACCATTATAGTAAATACAAGAAAAGTTTTATTTTGTTTGTGTTTTTTTAATCAATACAGCATCTATTGTCGCAGAGCTTTGCAGACGGAAGGCAGCCAACTGAAGTGAATGACGGAAAAGAGCCAAGATTTCACAACACTTCCATTTTCAGCCTGAAGTTCCAGTCTCTCTCTCTCTTTGGGTCCAAGTGACATCTCAGTGTTTATTCTTACACAGAAACAACATGTGTATTATGTAGAACAAAGGTCTTCTACAAAGGTCCACTGCCCACAATGCACCACTGTCCATGTGCAGACAGTTCACATCATGTCTGCAGCCCGTTCTAGAGCGCATATAAGCGTGATGTTTAGGTCATTTTTAGCTATAACTCGAGGAAGATGATGAAAATTGATGAACACATATCGATACCATATGTTGGTGCTCAAAAGGAGTAGATAGAAGTTTAGAAAATGCATTAGGTCTTACCCCTCATTCACCTTTACATTAGCAAGTAGTTACACGCTTTCAACTTATAATCACCACCATTCAAAAGTTTTAGAACCCTAATTTTTCCAGTTATTTATTGCAGTTTAAGTCTTGCAGGTCCAATGAAGAGTTTGACATGGTACAAAGGTAAGAACTGAATATGCAGAATTTAAAAAAAAAAGGATAAAATATTCAAAATACAAGTCCAATATCTGCCAAAACTACCTCAGGAAAAAAGAACAAGACAGTGAACTTGAAAACATGGAGTGTCCAGCACAGTCTCCAGGTTTAGACCCCATCGAGCAGGTTTTGGGATGAACTGGACAGAAGAGTGAAATCCAAGCAACCTTCAAGTGCCACACATTTATAGAAACTTCTGCAACAGACTTGGGAAGAACTTTCTGAAGAATATTTTTATTGCAAAACGAATGCTACGAGTGTGTTCAGCTCTTATATCTGCCAAAGGTGGACACTTTGAGTTTAGAAGTTTAGAATATATTTTGGTGAATAAATTAATTCCATGATTTGTTTTTTCAACTCAAATCGCTTATTTATTCTATGCTTTTTTAGTGCAATGACTTCTAAAACTAAAAACGGTACAGTACATTACATATATTAGTTTGAGCGGTCCATCAATCCCTCTGTCAGTAAAAGAATTTGGTTTGGTCGTACAATTAAGGCGTTGGAGAAATAATTTTTGACTACTTTTTGTTTTAATCGCAATTATTAAAAGCACATTGTGTGACTTATCTGATGGAGGGCCCGTCAAATGCTTTTCTTCAGGGAGATGTTATTGCTTTGCCTGGAATGTTTCACAGTATGGCCTTAAACCTTTCTATCTTCATGGAAACCAAACCAGACCAAGTTAGAGGTCAGATCTGTGGAGAGGCGACCCCACTCACATGCGGAATGTCTGTTTTTCTAGGTATTTTTGAGCAGTAAAACCATCTATAATTGAGTAAATGTAAGGTAGAGCTGTTTAAAGTCATACTGTGGAACATTTCAGGCAGAGCAATGGCATCTCCAAAGAAACAAGCTGATGCAGGATCCACAACCAAAAAGTTACATAATGCACCTTTAAGTCTTTATTGTTTGTGTGGAGGAAATACATTTTGATTACAATAGGAAAAAAAATTAAATGACTCAAAAATTGTGACTGATCAGTACAATTACAGAAAAAAAAAAGTTACATTGTTAGTGGTACCTTGTTTTACTTACACTGAATGTCCAGCAGAACCGTGTGCGACCGCTCCTGTCCCAGCTGGTTCCTGGCCTCACAGTGGTAGGACCCACTGTGGCTGTGATCGGCTGTTTCCAGGACCAGGACGGCCCCCCTCACCTCGGTCTGCTCCTGCCCCTCTCTGTACCAGGTGAAGGCGAGCACCGGAGGGTTGGAACGGGTCACACAGAGCAGAGACACTGAAGTGCCCTCCACCAATGCTCCAGGAGGGTCAATCGTTACAGAGGTGTTCTTAGGAGGAACTGGGAATGAAGAGGACGAATGGTTAGTTTGGTTTATTTGAAGGGATCATCTGTGGTGGTCTGTAAAGCAATGAAAACAAAAAATAAAAAGATCTATTGCCGTGTATAGGTCCCTTATACTTACAGTGCACATCCAGCTGAGTGATGGAGGAGTTCTGGTGGCCGTGTTTGTTGCGGACATGGCAGAAGAACTGTCTTTGAGTCTCCGAGGCAGTGGTGGAGTAGTTCTGTGTGGAGCCCACCGCTGTGACCTGATCTCCATCCAGCGCGTACCAGGAGAACAAGTCCACGGGCGGGTTAGCCTCAGACACACAGCTCAGAGTGACAGGGCTGCCCTCCCTCACAGGACCAGGACTGAGCACTGACGTGTTCTTAGGAGGGTCTAGATAGGATGACAAAAAAGATAGTATCTGTTACCGCTGAGACAAGCAGAGGACACCACCAGGTCCCATTACAAGTCAGATCTGTGAAGAGGTGATAGCTCACAGTAAGTATTCATACACTCAGCATCTTCACCCTTCACTAAGACACTTAAATACACTGCACTTTTGATAGCACATAGCACTTTAAACATACTGTATTTTTCGGACTATACGTCGCTCCGGTGTATAAGTCACACCAGCCAAAAAATGCGTAATGAAGAAGACAAAAACATATATAAGTTGCACTGGACTATAAGTCGCATATTTCGAGGGACAGGATGGTTTCGGTTGTCAATGAAGTCCAGGTTTTGTCGATCCATCCAGTGACTTCCAGGAAAGTTGCATGGTGCACCCTACCGTTTCCCATGAAGCTGTGTTCTCCCTCCCCGCTTTCTGCCAGTCCTCACAAGTTTCTCGCTCACTCCAAACGTTTTTACTGCTGCTCGATTACCTTTTTCGGCTGAATATTTCACTACTTGCAGCAGGACAGTGGCAGGAGACATGCGCAGTAGAGCGCCAAGTGACAGTGGTACAGTTGCAGCTGTCAGTCTGAAAATTTTAATATACAAGTCGCACCGGAGTATAAGTTGCAGGACCACCCAAACCATGAAAAAAGGGTGACATAGAGTCCGAAAAATACAATATTTGCACATATTACAAAACAAACTGCACACAATTGGTTTATTGTCTTTCCTTTTACCACTTTTAATCCTGAGGCACTTAACCAATTACCTTTTAAACTGAGTTAGTGCAATATTATATATATATATTATATATATATATATATATATATATATATATATATATATATATATACACACATATACATACATATATATATATGTGTGTGTGTGTGTGTGTATGTATATATATATATACATATGGTGTAATATATCTGTTTTGAAATGTTATAAGTGTTGATGTGTTTGGTAGTATATTTTATAGTGTTTTAGAGAAAGCTGTGGTTTGCTTTTTACTTGCCTCCTTTTTCTTCTGTCCAGGTCTCAAAAGAGTCCCCTGGAATCAAGCTCCCTCTTTTAAGGTTCTGGGCTGGACCAAGTGTATTATAATGTACAGAGGTAGTAGGTTTGGTGTTTTATAGGTTTCTGGGTTTTAAAGTTTCAGTGGTGTATGGTTTTAGGTTTTTTATATACTGTATATAGTTGGCGTTTTGGTAGTTATTTAGTTTGGGGTTTATTTCATGGAGGGTGAGGTCAATATTTTAGGCTAATGTTAATTTTACCATCCCTGTTTTTTGAAAACAACTTTTTTTTCTCTCTCTCTCTAGTTTGGGGTATGCAAAAATAACAAAATATCAATATAGATCATAGCGTTTTCATTGATAATGCAGTATCAGTATCAGGTGTACTGATATGTTGCCAAGAGGGTTTTTTTTGTGTGTGTATATTTTATAAAATTCTTTGTGACTACCCTACAATTTTGTTAGTTGTTTAGAGGAAGGAAACTCGTTTATGCATTTTTTTATTTATTTTTTTTTACATTCACTGTTTGATGGTTAAAATGAGAGTATGTTGTGTTAAATTTGCACAGGTGGTGGTTTAACAGAGACTTAGTATCGCAGCCAGGTTTTAGTAGTATGTTGTGAGTCTTTAGAGTGTCTTTTTAAACTGCATATTCTTCTAGTTTAGTAACATGCACTAAACAAAATACACTTTGTTAATCTTCAATAATAGGGTTGATCATAAAGTAAGGGGCCGAAGCCTTTTATTTGCTATTGAACTGTATCAAATTGATTTTACATACTATATAGCTCTACTTGTGGTTAAGGTAAATTTTTGTTTTTGAGGCATGCTTCAACGCCACTGGAGCATCCAGGCAGTGTCCAGAATTGAAGGACCCATCTCAGATCTTCAGATGTAAGTTGACTGTTATGAGGAGCTAGCTGGACATTTGTGTATGTTTTGGCTGAATGGAACCCCAAAGAACCCAAAGGAAACCCATGATCCAGTCAGAATTATACCAACTTTACTACAACAGTTTCAGTCTACATAAAACATAATCATACTTACAGCGCACGTGCAGAGTCAGACTGTTCTCGTACAGCAGCTCAACGTTGACAGCGGGTTGACTGTAGAGGGCGCTGCAGGAAACCGTGAGCCCATTATGGAGATGAGAGGAAGAGAAGTTCAAAACAGATGACACAAATCCCCCCTCCATCACCTCCACCCCTTCTCCTATGGCTGGGCTCCACCCCACTACGGGAGCCTCAGAGGGACATGGGGCCACCGCTGTGCAGTTCAGAGTGACCATAGATCCCTCCAATACTTCCAGGCTGGATGGCGTTAGGGTAGGTCTGGGTAGGGCATCTGGGGTAATAAAAACTGATTTGGTAAAGGTTCATTCTGTAAAATTTCTGTAAGTCAATAGGCTCTATTCACGCTTATGTCAAGAACCAGGAAGACGGTTGGAAACATGCGATGACAACTTCCGGTGGGCTCTGTTCTAGGATTAATTAGAAAATTAAATTAGAAAATGGCAAATGTTAAATGACATTGTAGCATTCTGTTATGTTTGGCTAATCAACAACCATAACTCAGTTTTCATAATTTCGCCACAGACACAACTCTGAGCACACTGGGTACATGTGATTAGAAGAGATGAGGCGCCAAATTCAAGATGATTCCAAACAACACAATATGTATGCAGTCCTCATTTTAGAGCTGATGACATTTACTTAAGTGGGTTTTATCACAGTTGGTTGGCGAGCCCAGCTTTGGTAACTGCACCGGGAGATGTAATTACAGCTTTCCAAACGTCTTCCTGGTTTATGATGTAAGATTGAATAGCGTGAAACTATTAACTTTGACTGAATAAATACATATAAACACACGCTTTCCCCTCCATCATTGTAGGTATGTGTAGGGTGACCAGATGTCCCTATTTAACTGAGACAATCCAAGCTTTGAGCCCTGTGTCCCCTGTTCCAGCAGATTACAGATATACAAAACCAGTGATTTGTCCCAGTTTTATACAAGACGTGTCCCAGGTGTCCCAAATTTTGACTAATTTGATACTTGCCAGCAGTAAAAAAAAAATAATAATAATGCATCAGTTTTATATAGCACTTTTGTGGACACTCAAAGACACTTTACAGAGCATTATTCATTCACCCCATACCCAGTAAGCTACTATTGTAGCCACAGCTGCCCTAGGGCAGACTGATGGAAGCGAGGCAGCCAATCTGTGCCATCGGCCCCTCCAACCACCACTCCAACACTCACGCGCACACCACTTACATACTAGGCAATGTGGGTGAAATGTCTTGCCTAAGGACACAACAACAGTTCTTGCGACTGGCGCTCCACTGTGGCGCCTTATTTTCCCAGTGTCTCCCATCCAAGTACTAACCAGGCTCAGCCTTGCTTAGCTTCTGAGATCTGACAGGATCAGGCTTTGACAAGCCGGTATGGCCACATAAAAGAGGGGCATAAATTGTCATTCCTTTAGGTAAAATACAGAAAAGCTGCTTAAAAGTTTATCAAGATAAATGTAGTTAATATGATTAACTGAGATTCAGGAGCAGGACCACGCCTCAGCCGCCCTCTCCTCTCACCAGCGAACCACAACTCACCTCGACCACGCCTCTAATTTCCCAGAAGCCTATATGTAGCAGACTTTCCCATCATCCCTGTTTGTCTCGGCTAACTCGACCCCACCCTCCCATCCCCTATTTTGTCTTTCAGTCATAAGACCCCTACAAGGGGGGGTCCCATTCCGGCTGGGCCAGTTGTAGATTGAGATGGAGCCCCCACCCATAGTCTCAACCCAGCCATCTCTGCCCCGCTTCGTACATTATCAATAAACTTCTTCGCACTATGTCGTTGTTGGCGTGGTCCTAGCTAGTGAATGTGTCTATACTGATTCACATGTTAGTCATGAGTAAGCCATAAATGGGCTGAGTGCATAACAATTTTCTTTAATTACACAGTTTTGCAACTTTATTATTACTAACCACTCCAAACCGGGAGTATCCCAATTCTTGATTTTGAAAATCTGGTCACCCTCGGTATGTGCCATAACTTGTTCATCTCAGCCGTTGCAGCATAACTATTAACCACTTCAACCTTTGCATCTTTTCTTATCAATACAGGCTATAACAAATCTCTTTTGCATTAGCAGATCTAATTTAGCAGGTGTATTTTCATTACCTCTCACTTGTAGTTAGGCATGTCTCAAAAGCACAGTTTTGAGTGTGATATATTTCTTACATAAATATAGATGATAAACAATAATACTGAAACCAAATCATAAAGTAGAATTATCCCCCAAAAGTCTTCTAAATATACAATACTCTTAAATATTGTTGAGCTGCAATAAATAAACAGCAGAATACAACACTTAAAGGTGCACTATGGAACTTTTCTGGTGGAGGGTTCGCCACCTGCTTTGCCTAGAATGTTCCATGGTGTGACATTAAATATATCCATCTAGCATTTATTCATTACGGATGTTTCTACTGCTCAAAAACACAATAAATCTCTCTGTGAATAGGGCTGCCTCTCCATAGATCTGACTTGTATTGTAACTTATATAGTTGTCTCCCTTGAGATAGATACCGAAAATTCCGGACTATAAGCCGCTACTTTTTTCTCACACTTTGAACCCTGCAGCTAATAAAACAATGCACCTAATATATGGACAGATTCTTTGTTTGGCACATTGTCCATTCATAGATACGGTCTATGGTTTGGCAACACAGTGGATACACGCAACCTGACTGCAGAAAACACCGTTGTCTGTGCTACAGTAGCTAGAAGATATTGTCGGTGCACTCAAATACTTTATTGCTGTGTGATAAAATAAGTTATGATGCTAAATGAACATTAGTGAGGGGGATACGTTTTATGAGTAAATGATGAGAAAGAAACATCTCAAACTTCAGTAGCTGGACATCCACTCATATGTGATTGATAGAACTAGCCTGCTCCCGAGAGAGGCTGAAATCTGCTGAAATCCTTCAAGACACTGTCATGATACAGACAGGACAGAGGCTCTTTCTGCAGGAGACATGCGCGGGGAGAGACGGGGGTGATGCACCGAGGAAGTTTTGAACAGTGATTTTGCGCTTCATGCACACACCCTCTTCATGGAAAACATGAAGAAATGCAGATGATGCAGCTTTTAAGTTAACGCCGATTGATGTGGCTGTCGAAGAAGGAACCAGAGAGGCTGTATGTGAGCTCTGCATCAGTGAGTTGATGGTGAGACGTTGGCAACAGCAGCGTGACAAACTGACTCAATGCAAAAAGACGACAAAAGCTTTCAGAGGCGATAAAAGCAGATGGCCCTTGATAAAGTTCTTGAAGACATGGACACCTGCAGCTTATATTCAGGTGCGGCATATATATTTCAAATCTGTAAAAAAAAAATAATAATTTCATTGATGCGGCTTATATTCAGGTGCGCTCAATAGTCCGGAAAATACTGTAGTTTTAATCTCTACCATGAAACATTCTAAACAAAGCAATAACATCTCCATGGAGACAAGCAAGTGACGGACCCTCCACCAGAAAAGTTATACAGTGCAGTAATGTATTGTGTAACTTTTCTGGTGGATATAATAATAAGAATAATGCCTTGCACTTGTAATGGACTTTACTGGCAGGGGAATCAATCCTCTGATCTTCGAGTTCGAGGACCACTGCTCTAACCACTGAGCCACTTTCACACCATTATACAACAGATCCATCTGAAAATTTACCTTGAATCCGGATGAGCACACTCCCCGGGAAGTTGTACTTGAGCTGCTCACATTCTAGTCTGAAGTAGTAGTGATCGTAGTGCTGTGGGGGCAGACCGTAGAAGACCGTGGTGCAGTCTTTACTCTGCAGGTTGCCAGTTAGATTCCCCTGGACCACATTGGCGTCGGCACTGGCCCCGGAGTCATAGACCAGAGTACGGCTCCAGCTCCCTCTCCTCCACACGGCCCTACACGTTGGGTCCAGGTGGGGCTCATGCTCTGGGGGTGTGGTGAAGGAGCAGGGGAGGAGCACACAGGAGCCGCTCAGACCCACCACCTCTGCGGGCATGTCCACCGACCAGCCCTGACCCCTGCACACTGAGAAACATGTCACAGTGCACGTTAGAAAATATAGCACTAACTTAGAAGCACTTGTGGGGGTTGTTTTAAAGACTGCACTTGATGTGCAATATTTGAAATTATTTATTGTAGTTTTTTTTTTTTTTTTTTTTTTATGCTGCTGATAATCTGGATGTGCATACAATGTTTTTTTTCTGTGTTTTTTCTATTCAAATGACAAATAAATTCTGATTCTGAAATATTGCTAGTAAAAATGGTGTTACAAGTGAAGCGTTCATTACCAACTATTATATTTATTTTCATATGTTAATATTTTTTATTTTTTATATTAAAGGTCTTATATTACACTGAATTGACACTGAATTGTTATAATGCTGTGACCTCATCAAAAACATACCTGGAGTTGGAGTTTTGGCCATTTAAATAAAGGGACTTTAACTATATTTTTCCTTGTGTGATTTTTACTTTGGAGTGCCTGGAGTCCGTTGTGTTTTAAGTTTTTCCAAGAGCACCCTCTACCTGCTCCCACTGATTGGAATACCTGCAGCAAACAGCCACATTTTTGTTCTTTCTATACCTGGAGTTGTGTTTTGTTTCATTCACACGTTTGAGTTCTGAATTCTTTATCATTATTCTGTTTACAACTCCAAAGCTCAAAATGCTGTCATGTCATGTAGTGGTAGTTTTCATGTTAACAGCTCTTTTTACCTTTAGTTCAGCAGAGATTGGCAATTCCAGGGCTGTAATCATCCGAAATATTCTAATGAAGATGTATGGAGTTTAAAACACAGTGGAGCACTTTCTGTTTTACCACATGACATCACAAGTTAGAACAGCGTGCTTTCAGTTTGAGAAAAGAACTCAGCCTAAATATGCAGGGTTTGTATGTTAAAAATGTGTGAATGAAACAAAACACAACTCTAGGTATGTTTTTAAAGAGGAAACAACATAACAGATCAGAAAATAGTGTAATATGGTGCCCTTTAAATGATTAATATGCTTGCTTTTCTCTTCTTTCCTTCCACATTTTTGTCTAGGGGTACCTGGTTGCTTCTACATAAAAAAGATACATGATTTTTAGTAAATGCAAATGTTTTTTTCACTTTTCACATTATTGTTGGACAATAAGTTATAATCAAATGGTACTTCCAAGACAGTTACTCTTAGTAGTTTTCCAAAATATTTTTTTACTTTTTTTTGAGTCATTTCTTGGACCACTACTTTGAATTTGTATTACATAATCATATTATTGATGTAACTGTAGTATTATTTAAAGATGCACAGTTTAATTTTTCTGGTAGGGGGTCCGCCACTAATTTTCTAAGTTTCTATGGCGATATAACTGCTTTGTCTGGAAGGTCTCACAGTATGGCATTAAAGTCATTCAAGTTGCATATATTGGGATACAGGTGTTTTACTGGTGAAAAATACTAGGCAAAACATGCATTCTTACAGTGAGTGTGTTCACCTCTCCACAAATCTGAGCTGTAACATGGCCTGGAGGAACTGTGGACTTATCTACATGATAATAGATATGTTTAATGCCATACTGTGGGACAATCAAGACAAAGCAATAACATTTTAATGAAGACTAACAAGTGACGGACCCTCCACCAGGAAGTTACACAGTGCACCTTTAATTAAATTTCATGGCTACATTTTCTGATATGTTTGCGCAAATCTAAACTACATGGAGAGCAGTTTTTATGCAGAATAACAAATGACGGTACTTCAAAAACTGCAGCTTGAGCAATTTTGCGAACTGTGTCAAACAGAAATCTTGCAACCCTACTAAAAAAGTGTATGAATATACTCACCCAGCAGGAGGCACCACAGGAGTACAACATGAAGACTCCAGGCCATCACAGTGCTCACACAGAGGAGATCTAAAACAGATACAACTTCAAATCAACTAATACATGTAGATTCAAGACTGAATTTGGGGAAAATATCCAGCTGGTGATTTATGTTTTAATAATAAGATTCTGTTGAAAGTTCACATTTTAAACACATCCAGAAGAATAAACAAAAGGCTGATTTCAGAACATGTTTGTACAGATCTAAATATATACTATATATAGCCAGTGTTGGGAAGTAACTGAATATATGTACAGAAAATATGTATCATGTACCAGTTTCTTTCTCTTTTGGTGGCATTCAGAATACAGTTAAATATGTAGTTGCAATTTTGGCTTTAAACTCCATGATATTAGTGAAAAAAAAAAAGAAAACACAGCTCTTGAAGTTTGTGCATGTGTCATTTTTCGTCTCTAATTAGACATAAATTAATGCATAGTAAAAATAAAAATAAAGCAGTTTGTAATTCTATGTCTTTTCTACAGTAGGTATATAATGCGATTCCATGTAAAAGTATTCAGAATATTCATTATACAGTACTCTGATTGGACCATTTATCAGAGTAAGTTACAAATACATATTATTTTATTCAGGTATTCAGTATTCTTTCCATCACTTTATACATCTACATCTACAGTGTATTTTGTAGAAATGATGGTACTTCCAAAAATACAGCGTTTGAGATTTGCAATGTTTGTAATTTGAAATAAGCCTTACCTTAAAATTGTGTGAAGAAAGCCAAAGGTCTAAAAATGATATATCACTGGTAAGAAATCCTATGTTGAAATCCTAAGGACACAGTAGTAGTGATGTTCCCAAGTCAGTCCTTCCAGTGTGAAAGAGGACAGAACTAAAACATTATTGTAAGAGGAAGAACAAGTGTCCCTCGCTCCAAACTGTACCACATTTATGTAGTGCCACTGTACTGTGAATATGGTGGATACAGTACTGTGCACAGAGCGTGGACTGTTCTGAATGTTTAAAGGTCCTATATTACACAAAATTGACTACTGTGAGCTTTTAGCCTTGTTATAATGCAGTTATCACATCAAGAACAAGAACTAAGAAGAACAAGAATTAGTTTGTATACACCTCCAAAGCTGAAATTGCTCTGTTCCATCTTGTAAAATCATGAAGTGTTGTTTTCAATTTAACAGCGACCTTTTAACTTTAGTTCAGTAGAGGTTGGCAATTCGAGCGCTGAAGTCTTCCAAATGATTCTAGTGAAGGTATATGGAGTTTAAAAATATACAAAAATATACAAAAAATATATACTTTGCGATATAATTATATTTGTCCCTCGAGATCATATCAAATATGTATTAGAGCTGGCCTGCCGGCTACAGATACGCCAAAGAGACATTATTTATTTAAAATGTTGGTATTATTTTATGTTATGCTTGTTCTGGATTTAATGTTTAAGAGACATTTATTTTAATAAGAAAAGGTTTAACATTACATATGTCAAAAGAAGAGAAAACATGCAGATGTTGAAATTGTTCAATATTTAGTTTGACCCACTACTAAGTCCCAGTTTTTAATTTTGGCCCTCTGTGAATTTGAGTTCGACACCACTGATATAAAACATTTAAATCAATTATACAGATGGGAGCATTATGCAAAGGATAATTTCTGAGTAGCATGCAATTTGTAACTTGGAAATAAAAAATGATTGAAACTGTGTCTAGTATTTGAGAGCCAAGTACAAAACATTTAACAAAGCATTTAAATTGGTGCACAATACAGAAATATTAGGCAGAAGTTACTCCCATCCCATCTCCAGATCTTGAGCGGCACTTGGTCAGGACCACCTTAGCATTTTAGAGATACCAGAGTACCTGTAGAAAATCCAAACATGCAAACTCTGCACAGGCCAAACCACCAGGGAACTGAATCTGGAAACTTCTTGCTGTGCGGTGTGAGTGTTAGCCACCGTGCCGTTTCTCTTGCTAAAAAGGTGAAAACGTGTCTTATCAGTTCTTATGCATTTTTAGAATACCTACATAGTATTCCTTCATAAATCATAATCCTTATACATAGATATAATACAGCTGGTGCATATTTGCTCAGAAACAACTTAAACAAGTGTCTCAAGAGCTCTTAAAGGTGCATTGTGTAACTTTTTTGGTGGACGGTCCATCAGATGCTTTTCTCTCTTCTGTACTGACCTGTATTTGCATTTAGAGGTGTTACAATCAAACGCATGAGCCAAAGAGACAATAGAAACTCAATCTTATGAATAAACATTTAATTACACATTTAAGGTCTTCATTTCCATTACAAACCCATATATGTATTAAAAAATAATAATTTAATTCAAGAAAAGCTCATGTACAGCCTCAGAGAACAAAATATCATGTTTTTCCATCACAAAATATAGTAGAAAATGTTTTTTTAAGTCTGTTTTTGTATGATGCCCCCTTGTGGAGAAGTGTAGCATTTTGAAGTCCTGTAGTGTTACGTTTGACCACAAGAGGGAGCTCAAAGTCAACATAAGCTCATCTTGACGGCAGTTTTGGCTTCTTGATCAGTTTTGGGTTCTATTTATCATTTTGTGTAACAGTTTTCAACAGTTTCCATCTCCAAAGATTTACCATAAGTCCATGAGGTAGATCTCCACACACAAGGCAGCCCTGATTGTGTCTTTTCAGTAGTGTAGACTGTAGTAGTAGTTGAAGTATGATGAGAGGAAGAGGAGGGGGGGTCAGTACCGGCAGTGCTCGTCTGTTGCCGTGACGATAACATCCATCCAGATCCTCATGGAAACTGGGTTTGAGGCGACCAGGAAGAAGAGGCGGTCGTACGTCTTCACACAGAACGTGAGGGGGGGTCGAGGGGACTGCAGGAGAAACAGAGAGTGAGAAAGTTACGCATCAAATGATCACTTATGTCCAATTTTAAAAAATGTTGGTAAATTTAATGAAAAAAGTTTAAATTTATATAACCTTATTCATTCTGTTGAAGGTTCAAAACACAGAAAACAGAAAAATACTTTCCATTAAGTGATTGTCCCTGCATTTTGAAAGGGATATTCCCTGTTGATGATATGAGTAGAGATTTTAGAACTCACCATTACTTCCTGTATTTTTGCAGTTTCCTTCTCAACTACAACTACTACAACTACTAGTACAACTACTACAACTACCGTATTTTTCGGGCTATAAGTCGCACTTTTTATGGTTTGGGTGGTCCTGCAGCTTGTACTTTGGTGCAACTTATATATTAAAATTTTCAGACTGACAGTCACGAGAGGGTGCTCTAGGTTTGTGTATCAGTTTTCTGCACATATCTCCTGCAGAAAAAGTCACTGTCCTGCTGCAAGTAGTGAAATATGCAGCAGAAAAAAAGTTGCACGAGAAACTTGTGAGGGACTCGCAGAAAGCAGAGATGGAGAACACAGATTCAACCGGGGGGGAGTGTTCCATGCAATTTTTCTGGAAGTCATTGAATGGATCGACACAGCCTGGACTTAAGTTACAACTGACGTTGTGTGAACTTGCTCAGAAGTGACACAGAGAATGATGGATTCAATGGATTTAGTGATTTGGAGTGAGAGTGAGATTGTGAGTTTGATAAAGTTATGTTCTGTTGTTTATGCTATAGTTATGTGAATAACTGTTCATATACTATGTTAACATACCAGACGGCTATTCAGCCTGTTATTTATTCTATTGTTATTACTATAACTTGCCTTTCAAGATGAAATGTCGGTTGCTGGTCTCTGATTTTATAAAATAAATTTCTCCCAAAAAGTGCGACTTATATATGTTTTTTTTTCTTCATTGAGCATTTTTTGGCTGGTGCGACTTATAGTTCGATAAATACGCTACTTCAACTATTACAACCTGCCACCTAACTGATGTTTAACTATGATAGATATTTAACACACGTACTATCCCACCAAACCAAGTAATGACTAGAAAAACTAATGGACACTGAAGTACACTTAGCTGCCGCCACTATACTGTAATAACATTTAAAGTGGAATAAAACACCAGATTAACTTTTTTCACTACTCACTACTGTGTTTTAATAGCATCATCTACTGTTTCTAGTAATTTTTGGCAACTTTAGTGCAAAATTTTTTGCTTCCTTCAGCTCAAGTTTGATTTCTAGTAGGTGGTGACATCACAAAAGACTACCCTGAATACAGATGCTTGGCTACAGAGGCAGAGTTTGAAGTGTAGATACCTGTTAGACCAATCACACTGTTCCTCATACTTCCAGGCCCCACACCTCCTCCCTCCTCACTCTTTTCTTTAGTCCTTCTGGTACTGCCCAGTTGTGGTTGTGGGAGAAGTTTAGGTGTTTTGTCACATTTTAATATGGAATAATATATAGAGCACTAATGTAAATACTTTGACTGTAGTCGACTAAAGATGGGCCCTGTGCATCTAATAACAGGTTAATAATTAAAAAGGAAGTCCGTCATGGAATTGTCTAAATCTGGCAAAATAATTATCATCTCATACCTAATCAATTTTTGGGTTCCCTTCTCTCCAAAACATATAGTTACTGTAGAATTTTTTTATTTATATGATGAAGAGATGGATTATAGTGTACAGCAGGTATTTTGTCAATTATAAATTTAATAATCAGGTTGACAAACTTTCTCTCAGGACTATTGCAATAAAACCTGTGGAACTTCATATATTTCACTCACAGTTGCTGCTGTCCGTAGATGGTCGTAGTAAACTTCTTCTATGGCCTGGAAGTAAATGACGCCTTTCAGCTTCCTCTCATCACAATCTGTAATAAAATACAACAAGAGACACATTAGAAGCTAGAATTTTTTTGAGTATACTGATAACTTGTTAAAATCTGTCTAAATGTATTATCTGAGGTTTAAGTATCAGACAAGTGTGAAAGGATTAGGGCTGTAGTCAAACTTAAGAAACTCTTGGTTGACTATAAGGAAGGTGGTCCTGGCCAAAAGCTTTTTAAAGCTTTAAGTATCTGACTCAAACTACGCTCACAAGATTGCAGAATTGCACACAATTACAGATACTAATGCAGAAAATTACTAGTAAACTGTGTATTTGTCTGCAGATTTAACTCACAATTTACTCCCAAATGTCAAAATTACCCACTCCAAAAATTCTCCTTTGTGCTATGGTCCATAAAAAAATATTTTTAAAATCCATTATATAAATAATATGTAAACTATAAGTTTACATACCATTTAAAAGATTTTGGTTGAATAAGACACTATTGGCCAATTTATTGACTGAAACCCTATACACCTCAAAAGGACCTCACTCTCTATCCTAAATGTATAGATTTACAAGATAAATTCTTTCAATTTTTCTTTGCAAGTTCTATCCAAGTTTAATCAGTTATTTTGAAGTTTTTTTTTTTATTATTAAAGGACTCATAGTGCCCTATTTTCTGATTTTCTTCATCACCAACGTACTTGGAGTGGTGTTTTGTTTCATTCACACAAGTTTAACACACAAATTCTGCATATTTAGGCTGAGTTCTTCTCTCAGACAGATAATCTGTTCCACCTTGTGATGTCATGTGGTAATGCAAGAAGTGTTCCACTGTGTTTTTAAACTCCATACAGCTTCACTGGAATTATTTGGATAATTTCAGATTTGGAATTTCCAATCTCTACCGAACTTAAGGTAAAAGGAGCTGTTAACTTGAAAACTACCACTACATGATATCACAAGGTAGAACAGGGCATTTTGAGCTTTGGAGATGTAGACAGACGAGTTACTTAAATATGTGTGAATGAAACAAAACACTCCAGGTTTTTGAAGGGTTAAGAACATTATAACATGGCTTGAAACTCACAAGAGTCAGTTTAGTTTAAGATACGACCTTTAACACTATACTTCATATTCAAATTTAGCATATCTTCATTTATCTACTAACTGGATGTATTCAAACAGACATTTTAACAGAGGCTGTTACAAGAATCTGATATGATGAAGTTACTTTACAACCCCATACATGACTATTTCCCTATGCATGACAGCGCCCCCTGCAGTCTGACCTGTGTAGTAGGCCAGTCTTCTGTGGTCCATGTCAAACAGAAACCACCTCTTCTTCCAGGTCTTGACTTTTCCTCCGCGTTTGGTGAGGAAGCCCGCGCAGCGTCGTGACGTGAGGCGCAGGTCGATGCAGCCCGTGACCCCGTGACCCAGGGACTCAATGTGGGCGCGGAGGTCAAAGTTCGGCGAGAGGAAGAGCGGCAGGCTGCGCAGCTGTGGAGACAAATGCACTTTTTATAAACACGGGCTGGAAAAGAGGTCAGGCATTCTTGTCCGTGGAAAGACTGCGGCTATTCAGAGAGACTCATGTGGCGGTTTATGTGACGTTTAAAATGCTGATTAGTTTGGAATTGTGCAGCTGCTTTAGTGAATATGTTGTGCTATAGTTTTATTTTTCCCCCTAAATGGAAATTTCCTGAATTTTAATGACAATCATAGGATCATTATAAGACTGCTTTAGCCAAGGAACTGGCTCAGATATAAATATTAAAGCCACCGTATTTTAGCCACAATAGATTACTGTCATATTAAAGCCACAGTATGTACTTTTAGCCAGACTAGACTCACTAAAACTAAATAAAACTAAACTAAAATAACAATCTGTTTTTGTTGGTTTGTTTGTTTTTTGTTTGTCTTTAATGCACTAAAAATGTATAAAAACAAGCATCTGTATTCTGAACAGGCTTGCATCTCCACAATCCTGACTCTTATTTGGCCTCCCACAGTACTGGACGAAGTGTGTCTATCTGTATGGAATCATGCAGTGTTACGCTATATTTACATTTTTCCTTCTAAATGGAAATTTTCTAGTCAGGCTGGCGCCACCTAGTGCCTCCACTCAATTTCATTTCTCTCCAGCGACTAGGTCAGGGATCAAACCATCATACAACAGACGGTTCATAAAAACCCCGGAAGTTCAAGTTTGGGCACTAGCCAATCAGAGAAGAGCCATATATTCTGTGTTGTCAATGATTCCTGAGATCAAGGATTTAAAGCCAGAATAAAGAGAATTTTTGGTGAATTTCATCAAGGGCAAAGATGTTATTGACCTTCTTCCTACAGGATTTGAGAAAAGCTTAATATACCAGTTAACCCCGTTAGCGGCGCATTACACACGTGACTACCAAATAGCAGCGACTGGTTAAATTTAAAAAAATGCCCGCCTACTGTCAAGCGAATAAATTCTAACGCTACGAGGTCAGACGGTTTCTACGAAGTGAAACCGACTGATGACTCAGGCTAGAAATTTCTTGCATTTTAATGAAAATTGTAAGATTATCATAAGACTTCTTTAGCCAGGAAATTGGCTTAGATTTAAAAATTGACACAACAGTGTTTATCCAAAATAGACTAAAATCATGGTTTTGTGTGTGTTTATTGCTCTGATAAATGTATGTGAAAATGTGAAAAGTACAGTGTGGTACTACTTACAACAGTACAGTTACTTGTAGACTGCCTGTTACACCAACTGAGACTACTGTGGTGCGCATTTGACCAAAGCAACAGGATTTCTAATGATGTCTAATGACCTGAAAATTGTTCCAGACCACTCCGGAAAATATTCTTTAAAAGCAAAGCATTTCATTAATTTTAACAGATGCCCGTCTAATTTACAATCCACCCAACTCTCACTGTGTGGGCATACCAATGTGTTTTTCCTAATTGTGAAACAAGCTCATAAAGCAGTCAGAAGGTAAAACAAATGTTGCTAAATTTTGATTCATGGGAGTAAAGGTTTTCAGACTACGCCCTCTTCACACTCAGTGGGAAAAACGAGCTCTGATAATAAATGTCTCCTTCCCTTGATTTATCCCATTTTCTCACAGGAATAAATTAGGAGAGGAGGAATAGTGTTGAGAAATGAACACTGTTGTTGCCAATAAAAACACTGTAACTTCAGGTGATGTAATATTGTGTTATTATGAAATCAGATATGATTTAAGGCTGCTATAAATTAATCTATTTACAAAAAAAAATAAAAAAAATAAAGTTTATTTTTGTTTTTTTGTTTATTAAGATCCCCATTAGCATCTGCAGCATAACAGTAAAATGATAAGTAGTAGTAATCTTCAAAAAAAAAAAAAACTACATCTAAATACACATCAATCATTTAGCAACATTGTGTGTGTGCATGTGAGGTCAGAGCCATGTTTATCATATCATCACAGGGAAGCTAGCAACAACTAGCATGCTGACTGTGCACTACCTAATTATTGAATAGTAAAGGGTTTCATAATTAGAGGCTGGTAGTACAAAGTGGACTTATTTTAGACTTAGACAAACTTTATGGATCCACAAGGGAAATAACAAGGGAAACTGGACACAGTAGCTCACACCACCGTATATTATGATTATATAACACAGAGTAAAAAATATAAATGGTGTATTAATAAAATCTAAATGAGCAGCAATAAAATAGCAAGAGGCATGTGTCAAATAATGTATATCGTTATGTACAAGTAAAAATAAAATAGAGAATAAGTAATAAAAATATCTCAGCTATATACAAGAGGTTGTAAGAAAAACAGTGCAAATGTGATATGATGATTGACGGAACATATGAGGTTATCTGTTACATAAGTGTGAGCGGTTGTACAGTTGTATGGAGTATGGTATGAATGTTTTGACCTCAAAAGCTGCTTATAATATATATCTGTAATGAGGCAAGACAAGGTTTTCTCAAATAATGAACATCTGTAATAAACAAAATGTAAATATGCCAGATCATAGCTACTGCACTCGTTTACATCCACAGTTTTGTGTGTGTGTTGAGTGTGTGTGTCTGTGTGTGTGATGGGGCATGTGTGTGTTTGGTTTTACCTCTGGAGAGCTGGGCCCCGGGCTGAGCTTGGTCTCTTCTGGAGACTCAGGTTTGAGAGGAGACTCTGGTTCAGGGGCCTCCATCCTCTGGGAGTTCAGTTCTATTATTTTCTGCCTCTTCTCCTCCAACATGAGCTGCCGCCGTTCCTCCTGGATATAACGAATAATAACAATTAGTTCATGCTTAGCAAATACTTAATTCATATCCTAACTCCTAACCCCTAACTCCTAATTTAGTAGCCTGAATCATTCTTAATGAACTATTTCTAATTAATGAAGTATTAGTTTATTTTAAATGAAGTCTTTGTTCATGTTTTATTAAGGCTAATTAAGATATAGTCATACATATATAAAGTGATGTCCTATTTATTTTTGTTGACAGGCCAAATGATGGCAAAAATGTTAAATGAAAGAAAATTTTACAAGAAAATTTTGATCTGAATAGCACAACTTTTTATTAATCATCATTGCATTTATATAGCACCTTTCAAGACACACACTTTACAGAGCATTATTCATTCACTCCACCCTCGGTGGTGTTAAGATACTATTGCAGCCACAGCTGCCCTGGGATAGACTGACGGAAACACTGTAGGCAATGTGGGTGAAGTGTCTTGCTTAAGGGCACAACATAATTTTTTGTTGGCTCACTGTGGCCCCTGGTTTTCCGAGTGGTCTCATATCCAAGTACTAATCAGGCCCGGCCCTGCTTAGCCTCTGAGATCTGATGAGATCAGGCTCTGACAAACTGGTATGACTATTATTTATTTAAAAAATAGTTATGTTGAAATCTGGTCTCATCTTGTGGATCAAATCTTGTATCTCATCTCTTGGGTGGTGAGTCTCAGGACGGGACAATCCCTAGGCTTTTGATGACACATTTCACACAGCAAAAATCTGTGGTTTTTGAAATAGTGAAATCCCAGACATGCCCAGAGCAGTCCACATGTGCAGACGTCACCTCCACACAAAACTGTCGTTGATGGGGCCCATGTCTAACGCAGTGTGTCCGAGCTCATTCCAGGTGCCACACATGTTCCCACGCCTCACAGACGACAACCCCCCTCCCTCCTCATTCTCACCCCTCCAGCACCCATACACCCCCTCCTTCCCCATCCCTCACCAAACACTCACCCGCTCTCTAAGGAGTCGCTCCCTCTCCGCCTTGGCCTCTCTCAGCTTCTTCTCAATCTCAACCAGATCCAACAGGCAAGGGCTGAAAGACAAACAGAAAAGTATTACTTAAAGGTTGTATGGAGGATTTTTTGTTTTGTTTCAAATTGTCAATGATAGCATTATAGAGATGCAGTAGCCTTGTAATTATGATGACCAAAAAAAGAGAATAAAATTCATCAACTCTGGACATGGTGGGGCTAAACATTTGCCAATAGATAACGACACTGCCTCGTTATCTGTTAGCTGACAGGCTGTCAATCAATCTCCCTACGTTTCTAGCGTAACTGACTTGCCTGCGCCGCCGGTACGTGGTTTGCGTACTCCTGTCACCAGTCCACAGACGCAAGACGCTGTTTACTCCACCAACACAACAGTTCTTAGCGGCTTTTTTTGACCATCTTCCTCCAGTTAGCCAAAGTTTGTTGCAATGGCAGACAAGAATCCAGGAGCAGTTAGCCGCAAAAGAAAGTCCGTTTTTGAGGTCGCTGAAAGAAGAAGACAAGGGGAAAAGCAGCGAAGCCAAACTAAGGTGAATTCTTGAAGATTCATTCCAGCGATGGCGCAACTGAAGCAGACGCAGAGTCTAAAGACTGACGCATTGGTCGCCAAATTACTCCTGGACAGGTCACTTCTGCTTATTTGAAAACGTACTTTATTCCAAGAGCTCAAACGTTTTTCAGGACGAAAGCGAATCCTATGTCTGAAAAACGTAATTTTCAAGGCAAAGAAAAGTCGCTTGCTGCTGCGTGTGTAGCAGTTCATTCGCACTGAATCTCGACCTTCTCTGCACCCCTTTCCTGCTCCTCTCCCCGCTGCCCGATCCGCTCTTCCCCCTGCTCCTCACTTCTCCGGCACGGAATCTCCGCGCATGCTCCCCTCTCCTCTCTCCTCTCCCTGCTCCCTGCTCCGCTCTTCTCCCTGCTCCTCACTTCGTCCGCGCACGAAATGTCCGCGCACCCGCTCCTCACTTCTCCGCCTTGCCTAACCAACACTGTAGTTAGTTGTTTACAAGTCATGTGCAGCGCACCGGCTGTAACAAACCTGTTTCTGGCGTAGGAGGAGGCGGGAGGAGTAGGGACTGTAGGGGGGGGGGGGTTTCACGATGCAACATTTAAAAGGACAAAATCGCTGGTAATGTCAAGCTGTTTTTGGATTGGCAGGAGATTTTAAAGCTGCATTATGTGTCTTTTCTGGTGAATGGTGTGTCACCTGCTTGTCTGCTTGGAGATGTTGCTTTGCCTGAAATGTTCCACAGTATGGCCTTAAACTTATCTATCTCCACAGATACAAGCAGGATGAGGCCATGATAGAGGTCAAATCTGCTCAGAGTGGCCCTCTATCAGAAAAGTTACATAGTGCATAGTGTTTTTTTTTATAAACTATGAGGTGGGTCTGTTGAAATCTGTAGCCCAAATCTCTCAGTAGTGGAGGAAGGTGATTCAGAGAGAGAGGCACACAGCATCATGAAAAGGCAGGTGGTCTTAATACTGAGCATGCAGTGAGATTAGTGTAAATAACTACACAAAAGACTCATGGCCAAATCTCTTTGTCAAAGCCTGAATGTGTGCACAAAACTGTAAAGCGACTTTGAGCATCTGGAAAAGCACAATATAAGACTAAAGCGTTATTACTATTCAACATTCCGAATATATGTCTTTGAAATTATGTGTAACCTGTTTAGTAGAACTTCTGTGCGAAAATGGCCTTAAAAAGCTCCATAAAATATTTAATATTCCAGTATCAAACCCACCAGGTAAATTCATTATTTTTTTATGCAGAACAGGTCAGGCGTTCCCTGGGATAATGTATTTATATTTTCAAATCAGGTTTGTTAACATATACTGTATTTTCCGGGCTATTAGGCGCGCTCTTAAGCCTCCAACCCCATCAACAAACAACTGTGTGCCCCACAATCCAGTGCGCCCTATACATGAATCCACTCAGGTGTCCCAGCACGACTTCAGTAAACTACAAAGCTGCACCACCTGCAGCGCACGCAAACACACACGGAGCAGACATCGACCACGGAGCAGACAGCGACCGCGCAGCGAAAAAACACCTGCAGCCATGCTCATTAATCTCCGTGGACAAGGAATAGAACGGAGGAACTAACCGAAAAAGCGAGAGCAATGTGCCACTTCTAGACACAACTGAACAACTGAGTCACTGCAAACACGCCAACAATCCAGCCGTCCCAGACAGCACCCTCCCTACACGCCACAACTGAACAAAGAAGAGAGTCACCGTGAACAAACAAAGTCCCACTGACCTATCAAACTGTTGTGTTTCGTTTAAAGTCTGGTGCGGGTTATTTGTGAAAAAAGTTTGAAAATAGACCATTCAATGACAGTGCGCCTTATAATCCACAGCGCCCAATAGTGCGGAAAATACGGTAATATGGTATAGTTTGCATTATTACAGTAGAGTATATGCTACAGTAGGCTGAGCACACTACATGTACCTGTAGTTCTTAAACTGAGGTCACTGAAGGACTTTGAGAACATTGACTGTGTATTCATGAACACGAGATCTCTGCTCAGTCCAGGTGCAACACACACAATATAAACACACTGATAACAACACTGCAGGTAAGTTTTGACCTGATCATAGTGCAGTGTCGGATTATAATAAAAATATATATGCATGTTTTGACCAAATTTCTTTGAATCTAAGCTCTAGTTGGAGAAACTTTGTACTTGTATGTATGTATGTATTTGGCTGCTCATTTTCTAAGGTTGCATTTTCTGTGGAAATGCAACCCCACTCACAGTCAGAATGTCTGTTTTTCAAGGTATTTCTGAGCTATAAAACCACCTGTAACTGAATAAATGTAAAATAGAGCTGTTTAATGTCATACTGTGGAACTTCTGATACACTCATAAGTGCATTATTGTAATTGTGTCACTTCTCTTCTACTGCAGGTACACAAATATATAGACAAAGTGAGATGACTGTGTCTGACCTGGTGGCTCTGGAGCTGGTGGTGCTGTTACAGGGAGTGTGCAGACCCCCTCCGTTACTACTCCCAGGCTTGTGTCCGTTACCGTGACCGTTACAGATGCTGTTACTGAGGCGGTGTGAGGTGATGGGGGAGATGTAGGCCTCTGGGATCATGTGACTGTCTGCGTCTCTCACAAAACCTGGAAAAGGAAAAATTCGTCAGAGAAGACAAGGCTTGGAATCATGCTAAATAAAATATGGTAAGACAAGGTACAACATTTAAATGCTTCCAAACTCGACCCACCTATAAAGCTCATTGAAGACCATCCATAGTTTTTAAAACTTAAATTCATGTAGACTTTTTGAAAACTAGCTGGGATCTATCAGCTTTGTAATAACTAATAACAACAACTTTTTCTGGTGGAGAGTGTCTGTCATCTCCTTTTTTCTATGGATATGTCATTGTTCTGCCTGAAATGTTACACAGCATGACATTAAGCAGCTCTGCCTTACATTTATTTAGTTACAGGTGGTTTTATAGCTCAAAAATACCTAGAAAAACAGGATTTCTGACTGTGAGTGGGGTTGCCACTTCACAGATCTGATCTGTAACATGACCTGGTTTAGTCATGTAGTGATAGTTTTCAAGTTAACAGCTTCCTTTAACCTTTTGTTCAGTAGAGATTGGAAATTCCAGGTCTGAAATCATCCAAATGATTCTGGTGAAGGTGTAGGACTTTTAAAACACAGTGGAGCACTTCCTGTATTACCACATGACATCACAGAGTATTTTCAGTTTGAGAGAAGAACTCTGAGAGAAGCCAAAATATGCAGGGTATGTTTCTGATGAGGAAACAACATAACATAAATCAGAAAATAGCATAATATGGGCCTTTTCAGCTTTCTGAAATCCAACTGCTAACAACTACTCCTTTTATTTGAATTAGGTCATCTTTCACCCATATATCTGGTCTGTACAGGTAAATCCAGCTTTCACTTATTATGAAAAGCACCTGCTCACTGTGGCACACCTTTGATTTGCCTTAAAGGGAGGGGCCTGGTCGGACAAACTGACATTCAGCTCTGTATTGTCCTGTGTCCTCAAGCGTGAGATGAAGAAATCGCCAACACAATGGAAACATGTGGTAGTGAGGTCATTGCACTGGAGGCAGAGGGCAGCTGAGAATTATATGGTAGGATCTGGCAAAATGCAATTATATTTTGACCTGGTTTATGCTTAAGGGGTCCATATTGCACTATTTTCTGATCTGTAATAATGTTGTTTCCTCACTGAAAACAGACCTGGAGTTGTGATTTCTTTCATTCACATGTTAAACACACAACTCTGCATATTTACAGTTCTTCTCTCAAACGGAAAACGCTGTTCCACCTTGTGATATCATGTGGTCATACAGGAAGTAATCCACTGCCTTTTTAAACTCCACACCTTCGCTATAATGATTTAGATCAGGGTTTCCCAACCCCCAGGCCAGGGATTGGTACCGGGCCATGGGTCATTTGGTACAGGGCCGCAAAAGGGCGAAACCCCCCCTCCCATACTCTTCGTGGACCATCCGACCCCCTTCCCAACCCCCACCTCCCCTACACCGTGAGGACTGTCCCCCTTCCTGTACGTTGCGCGGACTGTCCCCCCTCCTGTGTGTCGCGTGGACCATCTCCCGTCCCATACGCTGCACAGACTGTTCCCCCATCCGGCACGTCGTGTGGACTGTCCCTTGTCCTGTAAGTTGCGTGGACCGTCCCCCCCCTCCCGTATATCAGAACTAAACCTGGTCTAAACCAGGTTTAAAAACTGTTTTAAAAACAAGACTAAAACCAGGACTAAAACCAGGACTAAAACAGGATTTAGCCAGGACTTAACCATGCCACCGGACCGCCTACCGCACCTCCTCCCTCCGGTCCGTGAAATATTGTCTGATATAAAATCGGTCCATGGCGCAAAAAAAGTTGGGGACCACTGATTTAGATGTCTCTTATCTTCATATCTCTTCTGAACAAAATGTAAAAGGTAGCTGTTAAATTGAAATCTATCACTTGGAACGGAGCATTTTGAGCTTTAGATATAGACAGACTAATAATGCAGGATTACTCATACATATGTGAAACAAAACACAACTCCAGGTATGTCTTTGAGGAGACAACAACATTCTAACATGTCTTATATTTCACAAGTGCCAGTTTTTCTGTAATTACTGGAGCCATTAACATAAAATAAAAACTGGCTTAACAAATGAAGCACAGTGAAATTGTGATTAGATTCAGAATGTTGGTTTTGAAATCAAAATTCTGTTCACTGCATAGACTGTATAAAGAAGTAGACTAAGGAAGTGTGACATCACCCAAAGCCGGTCAGATCTGTGGAAAGGCAACCCCGGTCACAGTCAAAATGCCTGTTTTTAGTATCTTTGAGTTATAAAACCTGTAATTGAATAAATGTAAGATAGATCTGTTTAACGTCATAATGTAGAACATTCTAAGCAAAGCAATGACATTTCCACTGAAACAAGGTGGCGGACTCACTGCCAAAAAGTTGCACAATGCATCTTTAAGTTTCACAGTGTAATATTATCGCCTGCCCTCCATCTGAGATTTGAGCATAATTAAATTCTAGAACTTGAATGCAACTGCTTATAAAACCTATGACTAATGCACATATCCTACATACCCTGTGTCGAAAGCGGCCTATCACTGAGCTTGTTGTTGCGATGCGCGCTCCTCCGTCTGGGCAAACTGGCAGATTCCCGCATAGGATCCTGGGAAAAAACGGCGAGCATGACAAACATTTCCAGAGAATTACGGTCATTAGTAAACAAGTAGATGTAAACAAGCTGCGTTTCCATGTCAACAAGGGGCATGTACCTGAGGAGGAGACCTTTGAGCGGTGAGAGGGGAGAGTGACATCATGCAGGGGGTGGAGCCAGTGATGTTGGACCAATCGGTGAGCGGCTTCTTTTCCTTGAGAACCTGAAGAACAAGAATGGGATTAGTTTGAAATCTGTGTGTGTGTAAACAGGGGTTGAAACCAGTTTGTGAAAAAGCGTGGTACAAATTAATTAGAGCAGAAGAACTTGAGCTTAAAGGTACTCTACGTAACTTTTTTTTGGTTAGGGGGTCCGTCACTTGCTTGTTTCTATGAATATGCCATTGCTCTGCCTGGAATGTTCCACAGTATGACATTAAACAGCTCTGCTTTACATGTACTGAATTACAGGTGGTTTTAGAGCTCAAAAATACCTAGAAAACAAACATTGTAACTGTGAGCGGGACCACCTCTCCACAGATCTGACTTGTAACTTGGTCTGGTTCGATCTCCATGAAGATAGAAAGGTTTAATGCCATACTGTTAAACATTTCAGACAAAGCAATAACATCTCCATGGAGAAAAACATTTGATGGACCCTCCACCAAAAAGGTTACACAATGCCCCTTTAAAAATCACAGACAAAAATGTAGAAAACATTTATACATAAGGGATGAAGACTGAATAGTTTGCGAGTGAGGTCGCCTATCCACAGATTTGACATGTAACTTGACTTGGTGCTGCTTGTCTCCATGGAAATAGATACGTTTAATGTCATTATGTATTATTATTTTCAAACTGTTGAGAACATTTAAAATTTGAATGTGTTTTGTTCAGGAAATAAATATGTTTGAATGAAGAACATCTGGAAATCTGTGTTACAATACTAAAATTTCGATACTAAGAAATTTATCCAATACCGCTTTGACGCTGTTTAAATCCAGGCTCAAAACCGTTCTGTTTAGCTGTACATCTGACTGAAAGGTTTTCATTCTGCACTCTTCTCTCTAATTTATGTAATTAATTAATTTCTCTCGCTCTTTTTAATGTTATGATGATTATTTATGTTTTGATTTGTTTTCATTGTGATTTTAATGTATTTCTTATTCTGTAAAGAACTTTGAATTATTTTGTGTACGAATTGTGCTATACAAATAAACTAGCCTTGCCTTGCCACGATGATAAAAAAAAAAACACTCTTTCACAACAGAATGTCATTTTCAGCATTAAATTGTAGTACTTTCTTTTCTATATCTGTGAAATCCCTCAGTGGTTCAGGTAGGTTCCATAGTGCTCCATGTAAGTATACTAGTCTATGTGCTCTTATACTCTTATAAACAGCTCAAGATCATTCTAAAACTATTTAGAAAAGATTTATTTGTCTTGTACATGTGACTTTTTAGTATCGATACTTGTCAAATGAGTATCAACTAATATTGATTTTTGATACTTTTGACAACCCCGGTGTAAATGCAAACCCAAGCGCTGTACATTTACATATCTGCATTCAAAATCTGTAAGGGCGTGTATACTAATGTGTGTATTATCATGCTTTTTGCCAACAGTAAACATGATACTCAAACATACTACAGTATTTCAACTAGTTTACTTCAGTGAAAATGAAACTGTCATAGACCAAGAATGTAGCTCCTTTAGTCACATCTACACAACATCTCTCTCTCCCCAGAGGTTTCCAAATGAGTTTAAAATGCCCACGGCCGCCCTATCTCTGTGTCTCTGTAGTCTTTCCTATCGCAAACACATGTATACAGCTCCACTATTAACTGCTGTCTCATGCTCCAGTCCTATAGGCTACATAAGGACAGACACTACATCACATCCAATAATAAAACGAGTAAGAATGCAAAGATACAACTGTAAAAATCGTAAAATACATGCCACATTAGTCTTACGATGTTAGATCAATTAGCTATAGGCATCAGTTTTAGTTATATCTGCCTTGAGAATCTGCCTGTGTTCACAAACTTTAATTTATGGTACATTTCTAAGAGGAAATCCAAAGTTCCGGTAATAAATCAAAAGAAAATTCCTGTTCAAATTTGGATTTTTTTTTCCTTACCGTGTGTTGAAATAGTCCACAAGCTTGCCTCTCTGCTTTCACATGTACACACTCACGATGTCAGTTGCTTCCCCGGTCTAACTCCGCCCCTCCCTCCCTCTTTCACTCCCTCTCTTTCTCTCTCTCTGTCTGTTTCTCTCTTTCTCTTTGATTTGCTCTCTGTCTCTCTCTACTCTCTCTCAGTTTTTCTCTCCGCTTTTTTTCTAGCCCCCTCTCTCCCTCCCACTCTCCTTCCGTCTCTTCCAGTTATTCCCTCCTCTCTCTTTTCTCTCTCCCCTCCTCTCTCTCTCTTCTTTCATGCCCTCTTGCATTCTCCCTCTCTCCTTTCCCTCTCCTTTCTCTCTCCCTCTCACTCACAATTTCTCCCACCCTCTTTCTTCTGTCTCTTCTCTCTATCTCCTCTCCTCACCACCTACTCTCTCTCTCTTCTCTCTTATCTCCTCCCCCCTCACTATATCCATCTCCTCTCTCTCACCTCCTTTCTCTTTCACTTCACTTCTCTCCTCCCCTCTTCTCCCTCTCTCTACCATTCCCCTCTGCTTTCCCCCACCTCATCTCCCTCCCTCCCTCACTCACTCACACACTCATCCCTGTCTCCAACTTGTCAGATGGGACTGGCCTGATCCTCCCTGGTTTTATCAGTCTGACAAAAGTTAGAAAAAAAAAAAAAAAAAAAAAAGGAACCCTGGTTGTGAGATAGCGTTGGTTTAATTAGCGGTAAAGTAAATCATAGCTCAGAGTGATAACACAGAGGAATGGAAAAGAGGGGAGATAAACATGTAGTTTACAGCCATATGTTAGTGACTCCAGTGTGTATGTACATGTAGATCTACGATAACTTAGTTTGTAAACCTTTTGGAACAGCTGACCATGTAAACAGGATTTAGATAGTTTAGGAGTAATTAGTATGCAGGCAAATACCTAATTCAAAAAGAAGATAGTGAAAAATATAAAGCTTTATGGTAATAAAATGAACATGTGAACAAATACATTTTAAAGAAGACCTATAAAGTTTATGTCTGCTATAGTTATAATCTACAACACCCATGGATCATAATGTTTAAATTGGACATTTAAAATTGCAATATTGATCTAAAATGACTTCATATGACTTCATGACTTGAACTGCTGTGTCCAGTGGGAGATGATGTCACCACAACATAGAGGTGAAATTGACTTCACCTTCTATTGATAGCTGCACATCACACTACTCTGCTGCAGATTTTTTTTTTTATTCGTACCAAATGGCTACACAATCCGTCATGTATTACAGATTAAGAAAATAAACTTTGAGAACAATATCCTGATAACCTATTCAAAATCTGTTACACAGCACTACCACCCCAGTGAGTAAGATTCATAGCTGTGTTTCAAACATGATCATTTAAGTTAAGACCCAAACTGCCCTCTGTGTTGTGTTGTAAGACTACAGTACATTCAGAATTCGTGCTGACCTCTTGTTGGCCTTCTCATCAAATACTGACTGACCAATCAGAGTGCCCCATACGCCTACAGCAACACATAGCAACCACCAGGGCCATTAGCTTCATAGGCCAAATGCTGTGTTGTCTTTTCAGTTCAAGTCTTAAACACCACAAAATGAGTTGCGTGAGAAAAAAAAAATATATTGTTCAAAATAAAACTCCAGCAGATTAAAGTCAAAACTAAATATCTAATTGACTATTGATTACTAACATGTACAGTTAAATACTGTATGTTTGTTTGTACTGTACACTGTATGTTTTATATGTGTTTATTGTATATAATGTGGATGAATGAAATGTGAAATATGGGACCTGCCTTTCAAATCTGCAAAACAAATTTACCTACGAGTACGAATAAACAAACCTAACCTAATACATGTACACTGCACAACTGAAGAACAGAACCGGGTTTTTTTTGCAAATGAAAGAAAATATAACTCCAGGTATGTTTTTTGATGAGGAAACAAAAAATGTATAAATTTTTGAGTGTGTGCATGGCAAGTGAAACTGGAGTGGACCGCCCAAGCACAGCCAACTGGAACACTGCTTTATGACTGAATTTTTTTTATTTTTATTTTAATTCTACACTGTTCTCTCTCCTCTTTTAATTAATTTTATTATGTTTATTTGATTTGTTTGTATTGTGAATATATTTCTTATTCTGTAAACTACTTTGTGTACGAATTGTGCTATACGAATAACCTTGCCTTGCCTTGCTTTCAGTTATTACTTCCGGGTTGATGGTATTAATATTTGCTATAATATAGAAATTTACAAATATATAAAATACTTTAGTGACTGTAGATGCGCGGTGCACGGTTGTCTCATTTTGTCACAAAGTGCTGCTTTTACAGTTTATCCAATTCACTCATTTACAAAAAAACATTGGATAAACCCAGCTTGAATATTTTTTACCAAACTTCATAAATTTGCTTCTCATATCCAACTTTTCAAAACAAAACCTGACAAATTTTTAGGAGCATAAAACATCAAACAATCAAGGCTCACACTTGGGTAATGGGGCTTTCTCTGTCATTGGACCCCAATATGTGCACTATCACAGACTTTGGCCTGTTTAAATCCAGGCTCAAAACATATCTATTCAGACTGGCTTTTCAACACAGTAATGCAGTGACTCTTTCCGCAATTTGTTTTATTTTGTTGTTTAATATTTTGCATGTGTTTATCTTGATTGATTTAATATATGTTACATGCAAATCATCCAAGCATTGAAACAAACAGAAACACACAAACAAACACACAGCCACACACAGCCACACACACACCCTTTGTTTGATTGTTTACCCATTACAAATAGTACAAACTGCTCTTACCGTCTGTTGACTGTTGTGCACCAGATCCTTCCTCTCCCTCCTCAGAGCGGTGAGCTGTTTCTCCTTTTCTCTCTCCATCTCCACCAGCTGCTTCTCCAACTGCTGTACCCGCTCCTGAACACCACAAACAGGTCAAAGGTCATGTGTGAAAAAGGAACACTGTGTCTGTAAGTCTAGTAGTAGTAGTAGTAGTAGTAGTAGTAGTAGTAGTAGTAGTAGCAGTAGTAGCAGTAGTAGCAGTAGTAGTAGCAGTAGTAGCAGTAGTAGCAGTAGTAGCAGTAGTAGCAGTAGTAGTAGCAGTAGTAGCAGCAGTAGTAGTAGTAGTAGCAGTAGTAGCAGTAGTAGCAGTAGTAGCAGTAGTAGCAGTAGTAGCAGTAGTAGTAGTAATATTAGAAGTAGTAGTCATAGTAATAGTAGTAGTAGTCGTAGTCGTAACTAATATGAGGATGTATTGACAGGACAGTTATTCAAAATGTCTAGTAGTAGTAGTAGTAGTAGTAGTAGTAGTAGTAGTAGTAGTAGTAGTAGTAGTAGTAGTAGTAGTCATAGTAGTAGTAGTAGCCGTAGTAGTAGTAGTAGTAGTAGCCAGTAGTAGTAGTAGTAGCCATAGTAGTAGTAGTAGTAGTAGTAGTAGTAGTAGTAGTAGTAGTAGTAGTAGTAGTAGTAGTAGTAGTAGTAGTAGTAGCCTAGTAGTAGTAGTAGTAGCCGTAGTAGTAGTAGTAGTAGTAGTAGTAGCCGTAGTAGTAGTAGTAGTAGTAGTAGCCGTAGTAGTAGTAGTAGCCAGTAGTAGTAGTAGTAGCCGTAGTAGTAGTAGTAGTAGTAGTAGTAGCCGTAGTAGTAGTAGTAGTAGTAGTAGTAGTAGTAGTAGTAGTAGTAGTAGTAGTAGTAGTAGTAGTAGTAGTAGTAGTAGCCGTAGTAGTAGTAGTAGTAGTAGTAGCCATAGTAGTAGTAGTAGTCATAGTAGTAGTAGTAGTCATAGTAGTAGTAGTAGTCATAGTAGTAGTAGTAGCCGTAGTAGTAGTAGTAGCCATAGTAGTAGTAGTAGTCATAGTAGTAGTAGTAGTAGTAGTAGTAGTAGTAGTCATAGTAGTAACTAATATGAGGATGTATTGTATTGAAGACTTTGACAGGGCAGTTATTCAAAACATCTAGTAGTAGTAGTAGTAGTAGTAGTAGTAGTAGTAGTAGTAGTAGTAGTAGTAGTAGTAGTAGTATTGGTAGCAGTAGTAATAATAGTAACTAATATGAGGATGTTATATTGAAGACTTGGACAGGACAGTTATTCAAAACAACATTGCAAATCATCACCAGCAGGGGGAGTATGACACGCAATGCCATAACAAAAAACTACAAAAAATTTGATTTTGTTTTAAATATTGTTGTGAGGCTTTTCATAATTACAGTTTTTTTTTGTTGTTGTTGTTTTTTTTCATATAGATCAGGCTCCCCTTTCCAAATGGCCTATCTTGTATTCTATTTTAATGTTGTCCAAAAAAATATCCAAAGAAGATCCATGAGACATTACCCAGTGGTAGGGTTGTCAAAATTATCGAAAATCTGATTGATCAATACTAAAGGGCTGGAGAGCTGTAGATTATATTTAATTCACAGGTTTTGTGTTATTTTATTTAACCCTAACAATATTCTGTGCCCCAAAAATTGACTACACACAATGTAAACCAAAGGCAGTCTATAAATCACTATCTAATGCCCAGGAGGTGGTATGTTTGAGTTCTTGGCACCTCTTGCGTGTTCCAGAGAAGTGGTAGCTTGTTCCAGGACACTTGAAATGACCAGTGGAATCCCCCCCCCTTCTCTCTCCCTGTCTATCAGTTTGACGGGAGGGCCTCTGATGTAATTAAGTGTAACAGTCATGTGACGTTGACAGGCTGTTGGCGAGGAGTGTGAGGTGAAGAGTTCAGGCTGCAGTTAGTGTTGTTTAGTCAAGGAGAAGGAACTAGTCATATACTGGGTTGGCCACGTTGTTTCATATAATAATGTGTCAGAACCATTGCTTGTGGTCACGAATTCATGACAGTAGTATGATAGTGGAACAGGAATAAGGCTATCTGGGGACAAAACCTTGACTGCCATTTGACAGTGTTGTAATTATCACCCCAGACAATCTATGCATCAAGTTTACCTAAAGAAATGATTAAGTGTACAATTAAGACAGGAATCCTATACATTTCATAACATAAAGGTCTAAATACAGGGTTAGCAGTTTTATGCATGATAATAAGACCTTTCGCAGACAACCTACACAAGGGGTGGGCTTTTTTTTTTCCATCGGGCCACACGAGAAACAGAAAATATTGTGGAGGGCTGGGCCAAAATGTTTAAACTCAATTCTGTATAATATTAATTGTATTTCTTTATAAAAAGCAGTAAATATTCTTTTGACAAGCTGATAAGAGCTGGATAAGCCGGTAAGAGTATATGTTATGACTAAGCAATGAAAAAGTGAGGTTGCCTTACAAAAAATGTAGTTTAAAAAAAAAACACTTCTAAAATAAAAGCAGCTTTAGTCTAGCCAGGCTGGCGCCACCTAGTGCCTCCACTCAATTTAATTCCTCTCCAGTGACTAGGTCAGGAATCACAATACACTAGACAGTTTCGCAAAACCCACGGAAGTGTAAGTTCAGGCACCAACCAGCGAAGAGTCATACATTCTGTTTCAATGCCCGAGATCAAGGCTTTAAAGCCGGAACAAAGACAATGGTTGGTGAATTTTATCAAGGGGAAAGACATTATTGTCCTTCTTTCTATGGGATTTGGGAAAAGATTAACATACTAGTTAACAGTGTTGTCCAAGTTCACACTTTTCATGAACTAGTTCAAAGTTCAGTTCACACTTGTTCAAAGTGAATAGTTCACGTTCATAGTTCACAATTTTAATTTTGAACTAGTTCAAAGTTCAGTTCATTTTATATTTAGATGAGATCTGTAAATGAAAGGCTGCATTTATTTTTCAAACTGACTTCTAGTTTACAACAACCTTACAAGATACACTGTTGGACAAGTGACTTTAAAACTGTAATGTGTTATTTATGACTTGTTACTGTCATTTCAAAGTCATTTGTTACATTACAATATTACTGTATTTAAAATGTAAAACATTACATGACTATTGCAGCACTTTTAATTTACTCTCACCAAAAGAACTGTTAAGATGCTGAACTTTTGCGCCGTATATGGACTGAACCAGGACTAAACCAGGTCTAAACCAGGTCTAAACCAGGACTAAACCAGGACTAAAACAGAACTGAACCAGGTCCAAACCAGGACTAAACCAGAACTGAACCAGGACTAAACCAGAACTGAACCAGGTCTAAACCAGGACTAAACCAGGTCTAAATCAGGATTGAACCAGGTCTAAACCAGAACTGAACCAGGACTAAACCAGAACTGAACCAGGACTAAACCAAGACTAAACCAGGACCAAACCAGGACTAGAACTTGGAATCTAGGACCGCCCCTGAGAGAACCCCGAGTGCGATCGGGCGTCAGCTGCGTTTATCTCGGTGGAGCGCGGACTTCTGCGTCGGTCCTTTCGCTCAGGATCACGGTCTACGCGGGCGAACCTCCGGTGTTTCACCGCTGCTGATATCGCGGTGATTTTAGCAAATTTGTATGAAGAAAAACGAAAAACCCACCATTTCAATCCAGGTTAAAAAAGCATTGTGACGCGCGTTACTGACATATGTACCAAGTAAAATAATACGCGCGCGGAGCAGCACGTCCTGTGCGTGTAGATTTCAGAAAATAGGATCCATCCTATTTTTTGACGCTCTACACGAGCGTAGGCGCGTATCCCCGTCAAAATACACAGAGAGCATGTATCTATTGTTGTATTTGTGCATTTACCATCAGCACATTGTGCTCCCTGGGCAGTTGTGTATCATGTGAAAGAGCCCAGATCCACATAGACTGTTAATTAGTGCTTTGAAATTTACTTTTGAAATCCTTGCGTTTGCCGTGGTCAGCCTGTACAGAAGGTAAATACAAGCAGCTAAACGCGCCCAGTCAAGTTTGATTGACTTCCCATTGAGAGACACAAGAGCCCGTACGTTCCGCTAAAGCTGCCGGTGGAGTCGCCTTCACGTTGACACGCGGCTGTGGTTTCGCGAGGTTAAGTGCGAGCAGATCGTCACTTGTCAGGTGAAAACAAATTTCGACTGAACCCCAACAGTGACGTACGTCGTTCATCACACATAATTTGAACAAATTCACGTTCAAGTTCTTGATTTACAAAAGTGTTGCGTTCAGTTCAAAGTTCACTGAAAAATGAACATGTTCAATGAACGCGTTCTTTTGAACTCGTTCATGCACAACACTGTCTAGTTAACCAAATAGCAGAGATTGGTTAAATGAAAAAAGTACCCGCCTACTGTCAAGCAAACAATTTCTAACACTGCGAGGTCAGACGGTTTCAACAAAGTGAAACCGGCTGATGAATCAGGCTTTAGTCCATGCATGAGATAAAATTATAAAATATGTTTATTTTGTAATTCCAAATTATCTCAAACGAGCCGGTAAGAGTCAACTAAAGGGCCGTAGGTAGCCCAGGAACGTCTGACTACACAATAGTTTAATGGTCGAAGCTGTAGCACTGGGCTCTGTTGGCAAGTTGACACGACACGACAGCAGCATTAATCTGCGGGAGCTGAAATCATAGGGAATCTGACCACTCTACCAACAATGTTTATGTTGAGAGCGAGATTAGAACCGCCAACCTTCAGATCAGTGGACAAACATTCATTTACCATTGACAATAACTGCCATGGACTGCCAACGTAAACTTTGAATAGACCCTAAGTCGTCTACTCTAGCTGGTCAGTGGTGAGCTATACCCACCTCATTTCTAATGGAAACAGATCATTTTAATGACATTTTCCTCAAGATATATTTGAAGTATTGTTTTTCTGGGAACAGGACATGCAGAGTAAACTAATGAGTTGATAACAATTAATGACTGTTTACCTCTGGAACACAGGTGGAAATGTGACTATGACTCATTTTTAGCATACTTAATTATAATGTATTGCCAATGAGCTGATCTAATACATCACATCGCATCATCTGGGGTCCTGTGCTTGCTGTATACAAAACACCAGAAGAGGGCGCAAGGACTCCAGCAGCTTGCACACCAAAGATTGAAGCAGCTAAAAATAGTAGCTGTTAACTTCAACTTGTTTAGTGGCATTAGCATAGGAAATTTGACAACTCAAACACAGAAGAGCAGCTCTAGGCATGTATATATAATGAGTAAACAGACAGTAGTTGTACCTGTGCAGTGTTGACGAGGTGCTGCTGACTGGAGATCTCCTTCCCCATATCAACTTCACTCTCTGCCCTCTGCTTTACTTCTGCTTCAGCCTCCTTCTCCTTCTCCTCCTCCGTCTTCTTCTCTTCCTTTTCTCCTTCCTCCTCTCCCTCCTCTTCTTCCTCCTCTTCCTCCTCCTCCCCTAGGCCGCTCTCTTTCTCCAACACTCTGAACTCCCAATCCTCAAAGGCCCTCACTGCTGCTTCCATTGCCTCTCGCTCCTGCAAAAAAAAGTCATGAACATAATTCCTTTTTTATAATGCAGCTTATCGTCAGTGCACTAGTAGTAGTAGTAGCAGTTGTAGTAGTAGTACTCTGGGGATGACAATAAACATAAATTCATTCAATACTTCTGCCAAAACTGCATCTCAAGTTTCTTCTTTGCACAGATAAGCCCTGTTGATTTCAGTATTTAGCCAAGTTTCACAGACAGGTGAAATGTGCCTCTCCTCCTCCTCATCCCTTCTCCTCCTCCCCCCTCCTCCTCCTTCCCTCTCTTTGCCTCCAGGAGCAGTGTGTCCTAAGATCTGGTCCGACCACATACAAGAAGCACGAGCTGGGTTTACGAGTGCGTGTGCAGACAGACCTCACTCACACAGCCAGTTTGACAGATACTAAAACACACAAGAGACAAGAGACTTTAACGGTGTGGATTAAAAATGCCGTCACTGAGAATGAGAGAGCCTGGTGTGGAGGGCTGTATGCCTTTAACCGTTAAATCGATTAATCTGTTGATTGTGCCTTAGTCAATTAATCATTTTATCCAGTTTATGTAGTTCATCATTAGTCGGTTAATGATTTGCTCAAGATTATAAGGATTTTATATAGATTATAAGGATTTCTAAAAGGGACAGTTTATAATAATATAGTTATTTTTGCATGATTATTAGTCATTTTATAAGATGGAAAATGACTTGTCACTTTTCAGCTTTTGGGTTGGAATAAATATTTCAGAATGTTGCGCTGTTGTTTTTCTTGCTTAAATACATTTAAATGCTTTTAAATCCCCAGCAAAAACCCTTGAATCAAGACTGTTACACTGATATCAGAATATCTGGTGTGTGTACATAACAAGTCAATTATTAACCATACTGTACGATGGGTCTGTTATTATGAGAAGTGTATTGTACATTCATTGTACATCTATTAGTATTTCTAGTAACAAAATCTTAGTATCCCACCACATATGACCACACAGGAGCAGTTATTCCTAAGTTAGTGTTAGAGGAGTTTAGTTAGTGAATGCAGCCATTTGCGTACTGTGCTGGAATATAGTGTAGTGCTGTAACCTTCTCGTCTCCCTTGTGATATATACTGTAAGTTTAATCTATATTGTGGAACATTCTAGACAAAGCAATAACATTTCCACGTGGACCCCCCACTAGAAATGTTACGAAGTGCACCTTTAAAACTGTCTGACAACAGGATTTTAATGCATGCATTTGAATTAATTTATGATCTCAGTACGAATAAATTATCCTCCTAACATGTGTTGTCTATGTTAACTATAATTCGACAAGCCTGTACATTGCTGTGCCCTCGTGACGCTACCACACACTGGCACTCTGTATTTCATTTTCCTTATTTGTTTTAGCCTGGAGCCTGCAGCCAATTCCTAAAGCACACGGCATTACTCACACTCTAACCTGCTCCACTTAGCCAACATAATAAACTCATAAAAACATGCAGTCCCTGTTCTCTTCTCCTTTATCCCACCTTAATTAGTTGCTGTACATTGTAGCCCCCAGCCCTACCTGGAAACTGGACCAGACCCACTGCACCAGACTATAGAGGGACAGAGGAGCTCATTCTTCCAACAGGCAGAAGACAGTGAGAGATACAGGACTGCATTCATACCATACAACAACTGTACAACAACTCACCCTTATGTAACAGATAACCCTATGTCCTGTCAGTCATTATTTCATCTTTGCACTTTCTCCTTACTACCTCTTGTATATAGCTGAGATGTATTTACTATATTTCTGCATTTGACACCAGTCCCTTGCCATTTTTTGCTAGTTATTGTGGTTGCCCTGTCATGATAATAAAATCTGAACCTCGATATATTGCTGAAGTAAATATAGGCGATAACCTATAATACTGAAATTGATTTAAGCCTCCGACACAAAAACCCAATAGTAGATTTAAACCACAAAACTGTTCTAAATGCACAATATTGTAAAAAAAAAAAAAAAAAAAACATGAGCTGCAACAAATAAACAGCAGATTGACACTTAATCAGTGTATCATTCGTTCATTCGTTTTTCAAAATAAAACCAAAAATAAGACAAATTATTTTCTTCATTATTTGTCTCCAAAACCAAAATGAAAAAACAGATAATGATTAATTTTTTCAGTTTTCGATTTTGTGTTTAAATGAATAATGGAAAAAACTGATAATGGCTGTTTCCTGTTGCCGTGACTTAAAACTGTGATGCCGGACTTTTGCACCACATATGGACTGAATCAGGACAAAACCAGGTCTGGGACCAGACTGGAACCAGGCCAGGACTGAAACCAGGACTTAGACCAGGACCAGACCAGAACTGAGACCAGGACTGACTCCAGGAACAGGACCAGGACTGACACCGGGAGTGAAAGTGGAACCAGACCTGGACTGAGACCAGGATTTCAGACCGGGACTGAGACTGGGACTGAGACCAGACCGTGATTGAGACTGGGACTGAGACCAGGACCAGACTGGTACTAAGACCGAGACTGAGACCGGGACCAGACCAGGACAGAAAACGTTTTAGTCCTGTTTTAGTCCTGTTTTAGTCCTGTTTTAGTCCTGTTTTAGTCCTGTTTTAGTCCTGTTTTAGTCCTGTTTTAGTCCTGGGTCAGTCCGGCATCGCAGTTTAAGCCACAGAAATTGGAAATAGCCATTATCTGTTTTTTTCCATTATTCATTTAAACACAAAATCAAAAACTAAAAAAAACGAATTGTTATCTGTTTTTTCATTTTGGTTTTGGAGACAAATAATGAAGAAAGTATTTGTTTTTTTGTTTTATTATTTTTGAACAAATACACGGGTTATACTTATGTACGTAGTTTACATCAGTAATGAGTCTTAGAAGTTATTCATTCAACTTTTTACAGCTTAAATCTTACTATATAACCAAAAAATAACCACACATTTCTGAGTAGTGCAAAGAAAATATAAAGACAATATATACTGACCCCAAAAAATATTGTTCCATCTGTCAGGTACTGAGCGATAAGTCAATATTGTAATTATCGTGACAGGTCTGTCTTGTGGATCAATAAAGTTTGTCCAGGTCCAAGTACAGGTCCAAGTCCAAGTCCAGGTTCAAGTCCAAGTGTACCTGTTGCAGTTGTACTTTGAGCTGCTCTCTCTGACTCTCTGGCTGGGTGGAGAGGAGGGCTTCTTTCTCTTCACATGTCCTCCTCAGATCCTCCACTCTGCTCCTCTCCACCTCCAACCTCTCTCGCTCCTGCAGGTCACAGAAAGAAAAATCGTATCTAGTCAAATATAAAAGGGCATGATTATTTGGCAGAAATTTCACAACGTAAGAATCATTTTGAGGTGAACCAAGATCTGTTCTCACTGCATTAAAAGATTCCTATGTATTTCAGAGAGGTCTGTCTTGCCCCAGTGTAGATATATTGTATAAGCAGCTCTTGAGGACAAAATATGTGCTGTCTGCATCTTATTATAAAGTGTTGTACTGTTTAATAATCATGAAGTGCGAACTATTTCAGGCTACTTTTCTGAGTATCAGTAATAACCATCGCTGCAGCTGAAACAGCATCGCAATTTCAGTGATCGACTAACGGAAATTCTTAAAAGCAACACTATGTAACTTTGTTTCTGTGGAAATAGAAAGTTAAAGCCATACTTTGAGCCTCCTCCTGCTCGTTTCCTCCTCCTGCTTGTTTCACAGTATGGCATAAAACTTATCTATCTCTATGACGAATACTCTGAAGTTTGATTTTAACTTTATATTTCCATGGAATCAAGTAGGTGATGTGCCAACTCTAGAAAGTTACACAGAGTGGCTTTAAAACATGCAAATATTCTGGGGTCAGAGCATGGGTTTGTGCACTTTAGCTTTAAGATCAGTTCACCAATACAGAATAAGAATATTTTTCAAAAGAACACAGCTTATATACAGTTATCATTCAACTTAAAGGTGCATTGTGGAATTTCTTTTGGTGGAGAGTCCATCAACTTTTCGTTTCTATGGATATGTCAATTTTCTGCCTGGAATGTTCCACGGTTCCACATTAAACAGCTCTACCGCACATTTATTCAATCACAGGTGCTTTTATAGTTTAAAAATACCTAGAAAAACAGACATTCTGACTGAGAGTGGGGTCGCTTCTCCACAGATCTGACCTGTAACTTGGCCTGGTTTCATCTCCCTGAAGATAGAAAGGTTTATACTGTGAAACATTCCAGACAAAGTAATAACATCTCCATGGAGAAAAGCATTTGAAGGACCCTCCACCAGCAAAGTTACACAGTGCACCTTTAAAATATGTAACGCCACGTCCTTGGACCAGGTAGGTGTAATTCCACGTACTAAAAGCTCATATAGATCTGCTTACCGTTAGCTTGTGCTGTTGCGCCCTTAACTTAGCCTCCTGCTGTAGCCTCTGCAGTTTGTGTGTGTGCTTCTGGAGTTGGCTCTTCTCCGTCTGCAGCTCGCCCTGAAGCAACGCGATCTCCAACTGCAACTAAACACAACACAGCACAAGCCCTCATATGATTCAACCTGACCTGACTGCATGCATTCCACTGTATAGAGACCAGTGAGCTATGACAGCACTGTGCGGATAAACAGTTGGAGATGTGGAGTGTGTGGGGGAGACAGTATTGGGTTGATGTTATGTTACGTGAGGGCGTGTTGTGTACCTCGATTTTGAGCTCCTCCCTCTGCTGGTCGATCTCGGTAATGCGCTGTTGGACTCTGGAGGGAGATGGGAAAGCGCGAGGAGAACCCAGCTGCAGGTGTCTGACGCAGGACTGTGGAGAGGGCGCACACATGAGGGTACACATGGTCAGTGCTACTCTACAAGATGCAAAAGTGTGGATTAAATATAATTACATAACAAGCCACAGCAACCTATATATCGAAAAACAACAATTATTGATACTTTGCAGCTGATGTATCAACATTTTCTGGGGCTGTGATTCTAACTGTAGGTATGATCTGTCTGAGGCTTTGTTTAGAATTTAATCTGAGCTTTATTTTAACACAATCTGACCAGAAAGAACATATTAATCGCTGTAAGTGCTTTTCACAACTCTCAGCGACTAGAGCAAAGAGCCATCATGAAAAAGTTAACAACAAACAAGTTAACTGCGCACTTCCTAACTATCTTAATGGTAAAGCATTTTATTGCCAGATAGACAGTACACAGTGGACATATTTTCATATGTTCGTACTATATACTGTATAAAGAAGTGGATTAAGGGAGTGTGATGTTTCCAATAGTGTTTTGCTCCAGTCAAATGAAGCTCATGATGCCGGCAGTTATAGAGGAGAATTTGGAGTTTCATATTGGGAATAGGAAAAATATTTACAGACAAAATACTGAAAATAAAAACACCAGAATCATGTAAAGCGGGTTAATACAAACATATTTAACATATTTATACCAAAATGATGACAGATATATAGGGAGGGTGACAATTTTTCAATATAAAGTCAATCGGAGCCAGAGTTGATGGAGCCGGAAGCCAGAGCCCTGCACTCCCAAAACAGTGTGGTGCGGGACACATTTTGAAAGCTCACTGCGAACATGGGCGGGGGCAGGACTGTACAATGCGGGAGCGGGCAGGTGGGATGATAAACTGCAGTCCCGCAAATTAAATATTGTGTGTATGCCTATCATACATAATTTGTGCTGGATATTTTTTTTGGCATCAATAAAAACATTATAAAACAGCCTAAACTTGTGGATGTGGTCTAATCTCGCGCACATTTTATAGATAACTCCTTTCCGCTTCTCCATGTTTGATAGAGCTTAAGAAAGCGAACGTCCCTGTGTTAAGGGATTTGCAAGAGGGAGCGGCACAAAATATTGCAGATGCAGGTGGGAGCGGGACTGAAATTTACAATTCTTTGCAGGTGCGGGTGGGAGCGGGACTGAAAATTCTGTCCCACGTCGATCTCTGCCAGAAGAATCCCCATGTTCAGTTCCTATTTGTAATGCGGCAGCTAGCGGGTTACATATAGAGTACAGTCTATGAGCAAGACAAATTTTGCTCAAATATAAAAAAAAAAAAAAAAAAAAAACAGGTACAGGCCTTTTAACTGTTACCAAACACAAAATGCATACATCATCAGCTACTGCGTAAACACGTGTAGATGTGACAGTACCTGTGCATGAGCCGGTCTGCCCGATGCCCGTCCCTCTCTCACCTTCTCGCTCTCTGTGCTGCTGCTCTCTGTGTCCGACTCCGCCCCCGAGGAGGTGGGGCTTGGGCTGCCCCAGGGCGGCCGCGACCCCGTCTGCCACTGGCTCCGGCTGTTCTCCATGTTGTGCTGGGGCATTTCTGTAACAGAGACAGAGGCAGCACAGGTGTCATTGCTCCACTCGGGTTTGGGGAGGATATTTTCGTAATTCGACCTGGCTTGTGTGAAAGCAGATCAGGTGACAGTTCAAAAGAAAGAGAAAACAAAAGGGAAGTAGTCTGGTCTGCGAAGAGCTTCTAAAACAGAAGGTACAATGCATGGAGGGCCTTTTGTCTCATTTGAGTCTAGGATTCTTGGGTTAAGTCCTGCTTTTATTAACCAGTGTAGACTCTGATGGAACCACACATAGAAGTACAGCAAAGAAGGATTTAGATTTATTTATTTAAAAGGTCCAATACAATGTAAATATGCCAGAATTTCCATCTGCAGTCCCTGGTAAGTCAGGACAAGAGACAACATTTAGCACTGAACAGACATTCTCTACAAACAAACAAACACATTAAAATATTAAGCAAAAAAAAAACATGTTTGTGTAAAAATCAGACATGGTTCATCTTGAGCATTTGAGGTTCTTTTTAAATGTGTTTCATCTCAGACAGCAGCTGGAATAACAAAAACACAATATGGGCACAAGGGGAAAAATAGTCCTTCAAAATGGTTGTTTACCCATTATAATCTATAATCTATGGACAAAAAAATGGTACAGAAGACTTCCCTTTTTGTGTTATTTTTTGAAGTGGGTAGAGCAGCAGACAATGATTTCCAACTATACTGTAACCACAAGAAACTATCCACAATAAAGTAAATGTACATCAAAACATACCAGGCATCGCTTTGATGGCAAGAAATATGAACTGTCAACACGGTACAACAATTTCAAAGTGAATCATTGAAAGCTGAGTATTATTATAGTGTATTGTGTCCTTGAGTCAGTGTTTGTTCTGTGGTTTTAAGAATTTGTGGGAAAATATTTGTCCCGCCATCTTGTCCTACCCGCACACCCGGCCTTATTAGGACAGGGGAATGCTCACAGATAACTGGGCTCTGATATGACATGAAGAGGAATTCTCCAAAGAGACTGGCTCCACTCAAGACAGACAAGCAGCGAGCATCAAGGTTACAAATACGGACACACCTATCCAGCATTTTCAGTTCTGATACCGATATCGATACTTTGATATTAACCAGTACTAGTGCAGGTACAGAAAATGACACTTATTTCCTTAAAACACAGTTAATTTGATATCTTGTATAATCATTTGGCTTATGCAACTGTTATCTTTCAAATCACTACTGAACAGCTTTGTAGAAATAAAAGTTAAAACATTTTGAGACAAACAACTAAATCAGTCAACCAGTGGAGTTAAGACCCGATCCAGTGATATTCAATACTTGTATCAATGCATCCCTAGTTACAACCTGGATAAAAAAGTAATGTGTGTCCAAATTTGATGTGTACATAGGTCTGTTATGATAATAATTAATTTTTGGGAGTCAATATCTATGGTGGGTAGGGATATCAATCGAAAAATCTGATACTAATTGATACTAAAACTAATATTGAAACTAAATACTCATTTGAACAATTACTGATACTAAAAAAGTCCCACTCAGGGATGTAACAATAACCGAAATATCGTGATATCGTATCGTCAGAGTTTTCCCAATAATATCGTGAACCATCACAATATTACAAGTCTCTATTATTATTATGAGTTATGGTGCAGCAATAGCTAAAAAAAAAAAAAAAAAAAAAGAGGGAACTACATAGACCTGATCATAGACATGATCCTTTGCTCCATTTCAGGGTAAACTACATGAAGAAATAACAGTTCTAAGATTATTTTTTTCCTTAGTTCTTTGGATTAAGTCTTCTTAAGTCAAGGCATTTTAAGAGGAAAAAGTAGCATATTGACAGTTTTGTTAACCTCCACAAAATATCGCAATAAATATCGTACCGTGAGATGTATATCATGAAAATATTATACCGAGAGATTTGGATATTGTTACATCCCTTATTGTGAGCCTCCCCACCATATCATGAGCTCTCCCACGATATGGTGGAAAAGCTCACGATATATCGTACCGTGAGGTTCATACTGTGACGTTATCGTATTGTGAGACTTTGATATCGTTACACCCCTACCCACTCACAGACAGGACAGAAATTAACCTTCCCTGAATAGCTTTAGAATGATCTTGAGCTGTATCAGAACAAGTATAAGAGCACATAGAATAGTATACACCCATGGATTACACAGATATAAAACCACATGGTAATATAAAAGAAAGTACTTTGATGCTGAATTTCACATTCTACTGTCTGAAGAGAGAGTGTTTTTAATTGTGATATCTGAATCAGTACTGAATATCCGGTCAATCCCTTAGTATCGAAATAGAGTTTGAAATTTTGGTGGGTACCTTTTCTTGTTATCTTATTTTTTGTAATTTTTCTGTACTACAATATATATATAATAACATAAGACAGAAGGTTGTAATGTAATTGTTTAATTCTGCCATTTATTAACCACAGATCACATTTATAACAATATTTTACATTTTAATAGATAATTTTGAGGATTATTCAGCTTTGAATTTGTTCCAATATTATCTTTTTTTTGTCTCATCCAACCCTTAGTGAACAAAGTATAAAGAACAAAGTATATAAAAACAGTCAAATAAAATACTAAACAGCCCTACCCCTGGTTAAACACAGCACTGAATCACAACATCAAATTAATAATGAAAACTTGTTTGCTCAGTAATACAAACATTTAAGATAACATATATTACTTCATTATATCTGGAAGTTTTTATGACGCATGCCTCTAATAACAGAACATCAAATTAGTTTGTATAGTGTTGGACATGACGTGGGCTTTAAAGGTCCTAGATTACACAAAATTCACTCTTGTGAGCTTTAAGCCACGTCATAATGTCGTTATCTCATCAAAAACATACCTGGAGTTGTGTTTTGTTTCATTCCCACCTGCAATAAGCATAAACCAGGTCAAAAATATAATGACATTTTAACAAATTCTGCCATATAATTCTCAGTTGCCCTCAGAACTCAGCCTAAATATGCAGGGTTTGTGTGTTAAATGTGTGAATGAAATGAAACACAACTCCAGGTCTGTTTGTGATGAGGATACAACATTATAACACTGATTAAAAAATGTGTAATCTGGGCCCTTTAATGTAAACAGTGAACACACAGCCCCGTTTCACCACATACTTTTACTAAATAATCTAATAATAACTGTCTAAGTCCAGCTCATGTTGTAAGCAGATCAGAACTCGTGATCATAAGCAGAGTGGCACACAGCCCCACAGCTAATGACACTAACTGAAACCAACCGATGTTTGAAGCATTAAAGGGACAAGATGGTTTTGCATCTCTTTAAAAAAAAAAGGTCAGAAATAAATGTTTAGGAAGTGTTAGTAAATTATATAATTACTATTGTCCACAGCTTTTTGTTATAATAGAGAGAGGTCTAGAGTCAAGTCACTAAGAGAACAAGTCAGGTTCAGCATTGATGAGTTTACCTTTAGGACATAAGCGAGTACTGTGTAATCAATATGTAACAATAACCGAAATATTGTGATATCGTATCGCCAAAACTCACACAATAATATTGTAGCTTGTCACAATGTATTGAATTACAAAGTGATTAGCTGAAAGGTCTTTATAAATGAGGGAACTACATAGACCATGATCCTTTGCTTCATTTCAATGTAGACTAATGATAAAGTAGCTGTTAATAAGCACTTTTAAATCTGAATTCTCTGGATTATAACAGTAATGATTCACTCTAAATTAAAAATGAATATGAAAAGAGAAAAGGATCATATTCACAATTCTGTTAGCTTTTCCAAAATATGGCAATAAATATCATACTATGAGATGCATATTGTGAATATATCGTGCCATCTCAGTAGTCAATAGAGAAACCTGGCTCTTGCCCCATCTGTGAGTGTGGCATCATCACATTCTATAATCTGAAAACCAGCAATAGGAGCTGTGGTTTGGTTTTAAATAAAGAGCTGCATTTAAGAGAATATTTGTGCATCTTGTCACAGAAATATGATCACGATTACTCACATGCACACACCACTTTTATACTAGGCAAGGTGGGTGAAGTGTCTTGTCTAAGGATGCCACAACAGTAACTGGTCCAAGCGGAAACTGATCCTCTAACCTTCGGGTTGGGGGTCCTGCAGTAACTTTTTTACATTCTTCTCCATTAGGGATGTAACAATAACCGAAATATTGTGATATCGTATCATCAAAAGTCTCACAATAATATTGTGGTCACAGTATACTGAATTACAAGTTCCTTTGCTTAAATGCATGCTTTTATAGTAGCAACAGTTTATAAACATTGGAAACTACATATCCCATGATTCATTTCAGTGCAGACAACATGAAGAAATATGTTTTTTACTTGAATTCTTGGGATTATGATGGAAATAATTCACACCAAAATCTTGTCAATGTATTTTAAAAGCTAAATCTACAATTATATTAGCCTCTTCAAAATATCATGTTAATATTGTGAGATTTGGATATTGGTACATCCCTATTATCCATACAAGTGTTCAAAGTAGTTCATAAGAGTTCATATAGTTCCTTTAGGCATTGTTTCGGTGTTTTGGCCCAAACTATATATGTGCCTGAGAATGACAAAATCACATAAAAATAAGTTTCAAGTGAGAACCAACCTGCTGTACATGTGCATGTGGGTGAAAACTGGAGTACCTGTTCTTAAAGGTGCACTGTGTAGCTTTTCTAGTGGTGGGTTCATCACCCGCTTGTTTCTATAGATATGTCATTGCTCTGCCTGGAATGTTCCACGGTATGACATTAAAACAGCTCTACCTTACATTCACCTGTACATTCAGTTACACGTGGTTTTATAGGTCAGACACATCTAGAAAAACAGACATTCTGAGTGTACTCGAGTTTGCCTCTCCACAGATCTAACCTGTAACTTGGTCTGGTTTGGTCTCCATGAAGATAGAAAGGTATATCATAGCATATTGTGTAAGGCTCAAATTTTTGGGTGCAATTTCAATTTGT